AGGGTAGCTAGGGGTTTTCATCCGTTATACAATTTTTCCTCTAAATTAAGAAAGGAAGCAATACCGTATACCCACTGGGTAAAACTATAGTATAGTTTAGCGGAATAAGACAATATATATATCTATATTTTCTTCGAATTATATTTATACGCGGGGGTCTCCAATAATGTGAGAGAAGGTTTTTAATTATTAAATAGTAAATTAGGTAATTAATTAAGTTAACTAGCGGCTAGTACTAATATTAACCTCGTTATCCTTATTAAAAATCGATAAGGGAAGGTATTCTATACAATATTTGGTTTACTATTAAAGTAGCTATTTCCTCTCTACATTAATTTAATAAGGGAAATTCTCCTCTATATTAAATATATTGTTATTGTAAACGGGGATATATTTTTATTAATTATCCTATTTATACTTTTCGAACTAAATATTTTAAATAACTTTAGCCGGTTGACTTCTATTAGTATTAACCTTCTATTATTCCTTTAACTTCTTCTATATAACGCCGTTAATTTATTTTATGACCCTCTCTTATTTTTTTATCAACTCATATATTTTTTGTTGAATCCGTTCAATTATTTTAGTATTAAGTTATCCCTTCGAAAGAGAAAAATTAAGGCCGTTAATACTATTACTAATTTTATATACCTTCCTCTTTATACGCCGATCGGAATTAACCTCCCTCTTATAGTTATATTAGTTACGTTCTTAAATTTTATTATAAGTTAAGATAGTTTTTATAATAATTTAGAATAGATAAAGGTATTTCCCGCGGGTAGGGGAGCTGAACGAATAAGAATAACGGTTAATAATATAGTTAATTACTTCGATAGCCTTTCTAAAGTAATTCTCGTATAGCATTATAATAGGGTGTGTAGGGTATAGTTTAAAAGCTAGTTACTTAATTTTAATTTAAAATAATACCGTTTATTTATTAATTAGCCAAATACTAAACTCCTTGAACCCCTTCATAATATTGTACTTCGTAAAATTATTATTTATAATACCGTTAAGCGAATGTACGAAGGTTGCCCGGGTAAAGTTATATTCCCTTCGCTAGACAAATTGACGGAGGACTTTCTAGTAATAGGATTTAAAGGAGGAGAAAACGCCTACCTTAAGAGGTTATATAAGGTAGGTAAAATAAAGAGGTAAAGCGAGTAGTTTTATATCGAATGCTTTAATATAGTCTTTAATTACTATATTACAATAGCTATTAAAACCGTTGATAATAAGTAGTCGATATATAGGATTAGTGTTAGGGAGCCGCCTTTTACTAATGTTGATATAATTACTTAGTTGACGGCCGTTAATATTATACTTATATTAGTTACAACCGAGCTAGTCTATAAAATTACACCCTATCTTTTTGAAGGTTGGGGAAAATTTAAAGAAATATTTATTGAAGTATTTTAATTAATTAAGACAAACTCTACTCGCACCGTAGGAAAACTCCATTCGGACCGTAGTTTCAAACTTCAACCAAGTATAACTTTGCTAGATTTAAGCGTATAAATCCAAAAGTACTATTAGAATATTTGTCATTTTTCGTACTATTTTTCACGTCAAGCAACCCTCCTAGCCCCCTACTTACTAGAAGAGTATTAGCGACCTTAGATTCCTAATATCCTTAAATTCCCATTTTAGTATCTTTTTAAAATTGGAGACTTATAAAAGGGTTACCTTTAGGGTATATAGAGTGTAAGGTAGAGAAAAAATAAATTAAAATTCCCAACACGTTTGGGAGATCTCAAACCCTAACCCCCTCAAGTTATTTGAAGATTCAATATTTTACCTACGGTCCGTGTAACGGGTCTGCAAGAGCGTTGCACAGCGAGCAGTCGTATAAGGTTGAAATGCTATATTTGATAGGGAAAGAAAGGGAGGAAAGATTGTACCAGAAGGGTGTAGTTAAGACAAGGTTTTAAGGTTGAGCGTACAGGCTAGGCAGTTATACGGGTCTGGCCAATTAGAAAGCTCGCATCGGCTTATCGGCTTATCGAGCCTGTAGGGATCCGGCTTGGCAAAGCCAAGCCAATACCCTGGGTACTAGCCCTATGACATTACCCCCCTGCTCCCCTATGGAGAGCTCGGCCTACAATACAATATATGTCGCAGCTAAAATATACGAAAAAAATGACCAAAATCCAGCACAACCGTACCTAGCCAAATGCCTATCTAAACGGGGAAAACTAATAATACTGGAAAAGTATCTATATTGAGCCTCCAAACAAACGTTGTACAATTACCTGCTTCCTACCCGAGTCGGTAACGATGCGCTTACCGCCTACCCTTATAGAGTTGCGCTATGGCCTGGTACTAAGACTAAATTAGGGGACATTTCTAGACCTTGCCTAATTCCGGGGCCCTCTTTTGCCGTGTTATATTAGCGATCCGTAACGGAGATAATTAAAATTAAAGCTATTACCTAATACTTCGTATCTGTCGGTGGGCTGGAAAAGGCGACAACGAAAAAGGGCTTGATTGTTGTTGTCTAAAGGAAGAGGAGAAACGGAAACCAGGGCAGCCTAAATACCTGGAAGGGAGTGCCGGTGAATGGGCGGCCCAGTGCCATTCACTGGGCAACCTGGGCACGGACTTCCAACAGTATCACTTTACTTCTCCTACCAGTAGTAGGTTGCCCTCTCGTTCCCTCGCTAAGGAATAGCCTCAGTGATTTTTATACCTGCGAAATGTAATACCTATTCCCTCCATCGGTTGCGTTATAAATAGGTACTACTAAATATAGTTGGGCGGCGAAAGGTATTATTCTAGAATTTGCTTATTCATTTAGTAGACGGTATACCCTAGCAAGCTAACTAGCGATAGTAGCACTCTTCTACCCCTAATATTATTAGGGTCGTCTTCAATAAGACTTCGCTCAATCTAAAAGCTCCTCCTCTTAATCGTCGTTATCGTAGCCGTCTAAGCCCCTACCGGGTTACATTCGAACGTTATTTATCCTTATCTTTTACTTGCACTATTTGAACTAGTAAGAGCCACTCCCACAATTCGTACACTTACCCTCCTTCTTCTACTTATTCTTCTACTTCTAAAACGGCGACATCTTTCACGAGGCCACCGAAGTATTAATAGAGGTATCTATAGGATCACTAGCGTCATCATCATTAACCGGGGTATACTTCGAAAACGAGGAGGTAAAGGCTAAAAGAAAGGAGTTACCGTTAAACTTCCTTAAGTAAGTGAGTAGCTATATATATTGTTTAAGTACGTCGGTCCTATCGTTGAGCTATTATTTCCAATTATAATTTAAGGCGGCGGTTACTTAATTGACTTTGGCGGGGTCCGACTAAGAATCTGCGTAAGTATAGTAAAGTACCTCTTCGAACCGAACTAAAAAGCTCGCTATTAACTCCCTGCTCTTCTATCGCAATTGGTGTAGTTCTTGGTTAACGCATTTGGCGGAGTTGGGGGTCCCCGTAAGTAAGACGGAACTTATCGAGGAATACTATCGGCGACCGCACTAAGGGGGAGTTAGCGAAGGCGACGAATGGTTTCTTAACAGTGGACAATAAGCAAGCGAGCAAATAGTAAAATTGCGCTTTTAAGTCGCTAATAGCGTACCTATCCATATAGAGTTTAGTTAGCGCGCTCAAAACTTAAGTTTCGAAGTCCTCTTTATTCCCAGAAAACTTTTCGAGGTAGGGGAGTATTATCTTTCGTATAGGAACATCGAGAGAAGGGGAGGTCAAAGCTTTAAGAGTAACGAGCTCGCTTAATACAGTCTCGAAGGTAGCGCTAAACTAATTGAAGCGTTCTTAAGGGTCTTAGGACTACGGAATCTAATCCGGTACTATTATCGAGAGGGACGGGGGTCTGGGTAGCAAAAGGAATCGGTCGGTGGATAAGAACAGTTGTCGTAGATGAGAAATTCGTTATTAGAGGGGATAAGAGCAACGAAGGGGAGAGAGACTCTTTAGGCGTGCCTACAAGAGAAGGGTAACGGTATTAATTTAAAAAGAGGGTCAAATATGATGTAACGGGTCTATCAAAGCGTTATATAGCGAGCAATCGTATAAGGTTGAAACACTATATTTAATAGGGAAAGAAAGGGAGGAAAGATTGTACTAGAAGGGTGTAATTAAGATAAGGTTTTAAGGTTGAGCGTACGGGCTAGGTAGTTATACGGGTCTGGCCAACCAGAAGGCTCGCATTGGCTTATCGGCTTATCGAGCCTGCAGGGATCCGGCTTGGCAAATCCAAGCCAACACCCTGGGCACTAGCCCCATGACAGTCCGAATAGAGTTTTCCTACGGTGCGAGTAGAGTTTCTCTTAATTAAGGGTAAATTTTACGTTCGAAAATCCTATTGGGGATTTAGCGAATTGTATATCGCTTAGGATATTATTATTAATAAATTCCTTAGTTAAATAAAAATAAAATAAAAAGTAAATAAGGATTCTATATTTATTTTGATACGGGAATCTAGGGATTGCTTCCAATACGGTACAGATTATAAAGGATGCAGTAGCATTAGAAGCATATAAAGGTAGTAAGAAAGATGATTTAAAAAGAAGGGGACGGTTAGAAGCTAGCCGCCTGTACGAAGAAGATATCCTGCACGGGGAGCGTAAGGCACGGACTATAGAGTAGTCCGAGCTCTAAGCCTGGCAGGCATGGAATCCTCTATGCCAGCCCAATTAGTTTAGGCTGCCTTAGCTAGTCTAAGGTATAATAATATAAGGGGTGATAACGATAATACCGTATATCGAAGATATTCGGTATTAAATGCCGGCTTATAAGAAAAGAAACTATTGTCCTTGATAGTCCCAAGTGTTTAAGTCTCCTCCGATAAATATATTTATAAAGATAATAAGAGAAGGTCCGAAGAAACTGTCTATGAAGGCAATAAGGTCCGGAGAAACTATCTATAAAGGCAATAAATTATTTCCGAAGTCCTCCAGGTCTCTATTATTAAATTCCAGGTCTCCTCCGATAATGTTTAGGTCTCCTCCGATAAGTTTTAGGTCTCCTCCGATGTATCTATCTATTCGGGATACTCTGGGGCGTATTGGGGTATATCAGAATTATAAGGGCGAAGATAGTAAAAGTCCGTAGGGGTCCGATGAGGTCTGGGAAGTTAGGTAAAGTTTAGGAAGCCGGGCGTTAGTTAATTAAATGAAAGAAGGAAAGAGAAGGGGGTATTCGAAGGAGTAGTTAAGAGGGCGTGAAAAATGAAAAGATTATTACGTAGATAAATAGAAGTAAAGTAAAAGGGTATAAAAAGGGATTTCTAGTAAGTTGGTACGAATTGTAAAGAGCTATTAGGAGGTAATAGGGCCGTTGACGAATTGTAAAGTGCTAGCAAGGGAATTAGTACGGGTTATAAAAAGCTATTAAGGAATTATTAATTCGGTATTAGTAGGGGAGTTGGTACGAATTATAAAGAATAGTTAAGGAATTACTAATTCTTTTATTTTTATTATTGATTATTAATTATTAAAATAATTTAGTTAAGGAAATTGTAATACTATAGTTACGCCGGGTTACTAGAGAAACTATTACGCTGGTCAAGTCTATCGAATTATTAAGAGAAGAAAGGTAGAAGTAATAGGATTAAACGGGAATCAAAAATATAGGGTTGGTAATAATGCTTTAGTATTATTATTAAGAGAAAAGATTATTTAGTTTATAGTTACCCGCCTAGAAAGAAAGAAAATAATGTCCTTATTATAATAATAAGAGAGGAGGGAATTGAAAGCTCGAAATTTAATAAGAAAGTATTATTATATAGATAAATCTTAAAGTGAGCGTTTAAATTGCTACATTATAAAAGCTAGGGTAGTGAGTTTACTAATTACATTTTTAAGTATATTAAAATTTATAGTTCCTTTACTACTACGCTAGCTAGTATTTTTAATGGTGAAAACTTTTAAGGTACTAGTCTTTAATTTAGTAGGCCGGTAATAGTTATAATCGTAGGGATAGGTGAAGAGGAGGTTTCGTAAGCTAAAGATTTTATTATAAGTACGGCAATTATAGGGAATTAAAATTTAACTACTAGAGGGAGAAGTAGGCTAATTACTATTTTTATATTTATTAGAAGTAGCTATTGGACTACTACTTTTGGGAGGAGATAAAGCTACCGGCTACGGAATTAGAAATACTATAGCCGTAGCCGTAGTAGAGGCGGAATTGTTCTGCTTGGAAGCTAGGGATATTGTAGCGTTACCGGTAATAATAGGAAGCTTTTTTTCGTAACGCCCGAAGTAAGAGAAGTCTTGTTGGAAGTCCGTGCCCTGGGCCGCCCATTCACCGGCTTTGCCCATTCACTGGGCCGTTCCATTACCGGCACTCCCTTCCAGGTATTTAGGCCGCCCTGGTTTCCGTTTCTCCTCTTCCATTAGACAACTACAATCAAGCCCTTTTCGTTGTCGCCTTCCAGCCTCCATCAAGTCTAGCTTCGGTAATAGTTTAGGGACGAATAGTTTAAATATTAGAATATTAGAGTACGTATCCGCGACGGGAATTAGAAATACCGTAGTAGGTATTACGGTAATTATTTTATTCTTAACGATGGTTAAATAAGAAAACCGCTTTTTGAATTCGCGGTTTAAATTATTATAAATCTTATCGAATTTCGCTTCAAAATTAAATTTTTAGTAGTTCGGCTTAGGAAGGGGAGCGCGGCGGCGGGATTCGAGAAATTTGCGATACCGCTCTTCGAAGTTCGGGGTTGGTAATACTGGCGAAAAAACTATAGCCGGGCGAACCGGGCGAATTAGAACCCGATAGGGGGCCGCTAGGGAAGTTAGGCGGCCGTTAAGGAAATTAATAATATCCTCGTTACTAGGGTAACGGTTAACTTAGTAATTCGGGGTATTATTAGCTGTAATAATAAGAGATCGCATTTTCAAACGAACATTAGGCTTATATATATTTGAATAGACGTAGTTAAAAAGGGCGTTCCTCGAGCGAAAATTAGAATTACTATACTTATAATAAATATACTTAATTACAGTTTTGGGAAACGGTAGTTTTGAAGTTAACTTTTTAATTTTAATCTCCGCGGGAGATAGGGAGACGGACGAAGTTTATAATTTTAATATTGAATAGATATAAGGGTCTAATACTTAAAGCGCTTCGCGCGTAGTTCGAAATTATTATTTAGCGGTATAGATAACTTTCTTAGGAACGACGATATATTTATCTTCGTTATTAACGCTAATAGCGTTTAAGGTAATAGAAAAAATAGTTTAAATTACTAAGATTAAAAGGATACGAGGTTTCTTTTCTGGGGGGCGGTAAGAAAGAATTAAAAGTTAGCGAATAAGAAGAATATTACCGGGAAGTATATTCGCTAAATCACGGTTGCAATACTAATTAATAAGTATATAATTGAAAGAACCCTATTTTCGTTGATAGAAATTTATAAAGCTAATTTTAGGTCGAAAGAAAAGCTTCTAGAAAGAAAGTATTAGCGTATCCTTTCTAACCTCTTTTAATTTAGAAAGATAAGGTATTTTCTAAATACGAGGGTCATTAAATTATTCCTTATCCTTATTTTCCTTATATTTACTATACGACTTCTTATCTTTGTCCATTTTTTTATACTTATTATATATTTCTTTTTCTTTAACTTTATTAATAATAAAGTATAACTAGATAGTATAGCTTTTAGAAATCTTTTTAAATATTTTCGGCGGGGAGGAATAGATTTTAGATAGCCTTAAAATAATTAATACCTAATCCGTTAATACGAATATAGAAGAATTATTTGTAGTCCCAAATAATTTGTAAAGAGTAAAAGAAGGCGCGGGGGTCCCTAAGTTTATTGCCATCTTGAAAAAAGGTTCTATAAGGATACTCTTTATCCTTTGGATACTATAGGTAATAATAGAGGCGGGCTATAGTTGTTTAAATTTATTAATAAAGGCTACTTGATTTAGTTTTGCGGAAACGCTGGAATATATTGTTTAGAGGCGGGCATTCGAATCATCTAATTTATGGCGATGTCCGTATTTTCGTCGCGATGGAAAAGGGTGAATTAAGAATTCGTAAGGTAAACTTAGTTCGGCGGGAGCGCTAGAATGACTTATTTATTGTAATAGAATGGGAGTTTGGTTTATAGTCGGTCGGCGCGCTTAAGGATAATTCGCGTTGGTAGGGGAGTTAGTATAGTGGCCGAAGGCCGGTACTAGTGCTAGTATTAGAATAGGGGTTTTAAGAGTACCTAAGTTCGTTTCGAACGGCTAGGAAGCGGCTATCTAAATTCGCTGCTTTACGAAATAGTATAGTATTAAGGAGGAAATATTAGCAAGTACCCAAATTCGTTATTAGTAGGGAAGGGTATTGAAAATTCTTAAAATTACTCAAATTCGCTTTAAGAAAAGAGCGGTCGCGTACTTAAATTCGGCGGCCGAGGAGGTAATAAGGAAGTTAGTAATAACGAGAGTTACTGGAATTTTATTATTACCGTCGATTAGATTAGTAGAAGGTTTGCGCTTTCGCTAGCGGTACTTAAAATAATCGTGTGCCTAGTATTGAAGGTAGGGGAATATCGGATATAGTTAATCGTATTGCTCGTGATAAAGTCGTTTGCGCCGTCGGTATAGTTAGTATAGTTTAAATCGCTAGTATTACTACAACCGTTTAATTGTAGCTACTATTTAGTACGGGAATTTGGGGATTGCTTCCAATACGGTATAGATTACAAAGGATGTAGTAGTATTAGAAGTATATAAAGGTAATAAGAAAGATGATTTAAAAAGAAGGGGACGGTTCGAAGCTAGCTGCTTATACGAAGAAGATATCCTACGCGGGGAGTGCAAAGTACGGACTATAGAGTAGTCCGAATTCCAAGCTTGGCAGGTATGGAATCCTCTGTACCAGCCCAGCTAGTCTAGGCTGCCTTGGCTAGTCTAAGGTATAATACAAGGGGTGATGATGACAATACCGTATATCGAGGATATCCGGTATTATATTTATATTTATACCTATAATTAAGGAATAAGACTCCCTATTTGCAAGATTAAAAATTTCTAGTTAGATTTAACTATTAGTATTAATTTCGCGCAATTAAAGGGCGTTGAATTCAATTAATTCAAAAAAATTTCGTTAATTTTTCTTTTATTCAATTCCTTTAATACTACTACCTTTATGTGATTACTCGATACGTAACTAATACGTACGCTACATTTATTATTATTCTAGTAATTATACGGGGGAATAATAGCGGTAATATCCTTATACTTATTAAACTAATCGTTTATGGATTTAAGGTTCAACTTTTAACAGTAGTATTTAAAATTAATAACGTAGTACGTCGTTAACCGTAATTCCGGGTAATCGTTAATAAATTTCGTATATTAGTGCCTATCGAATTGAGTCGATGGAGAATTCAGCCGTATCGATCGCAAGCGGTTAGTAATAATTATTACTATAAATTATAACGTAGGGAACCGTCCCCTAAAGTAAAAAATTATATATACCGTAATAACCTCCTTTTTAACGGAGGTTAACGACTGCGGCCGCCTTCTAAGTTTTGTTAAAATAGTAGCCTTACCCGTATCTTATAATAATTTTATATAGTAGGTAATTAAATTATATAATTTACTAATATAATGAGCGATTTCTTTGATTGAAGGCGGCTTCTTATTATTAAATTTAAAAATATTATATCGATCGCGCGCGTCGAAATACCAGTAGGTATTAATTAGGCCGGCGGGGACGGGGAATTCTTTTTAGAGGAATCTATTTATATTAGAATTAGTAAGTTAACTAGCGACTTTAATTAATATATAGATATATAAATTCTTATTGTTTTATAGCTTTACGAGGCAAATACGATAAAAAGCGATGCGTTTGGGTACGAAATGCGGCGATATTGCTATTCGAAATTACGATGCAAATGAGCGATTTTGTAGGGGGTTAATAATCGAATTTGTATCAGTTGTATTGGGCACTATCCCAGATTAAAATATTATCCCAAATTTTTAGCGCCCCCTACATTGACGAAATGGAGGGGGCAAAGAAAGCTTGGCGCCCAGAAGCCCCCAAGTACACGACCCTCGTCCCCCGTCGAAAAAGAGGAAGCGGACACACAAGAAGCCGAAGCCGAAAGCCCCAGCCGACGTCCCCCCTGGCCTGGACGTACAATACAGCCCTGGTTTGTTTGTTAGTCTGTACAAAAAACGGCAACTTTGCTGGATATAGGAAAGTGTTCGGCTTTCTATCGGTTAATTACCGTAGACCGATATCTTCTAGTCTTGAAGGAGTCGGAGAGAGACATAAGAGGCTTCTGTGGCGTCAAAAACTGATGGAGGCTGGAAGGCGACAACGAAAAGGGCTTGATTGTAGTTGTCTAACGGAAGAGGAGAAACGGAAACCAGGGCAGCCTAAATACCTGGAAGGGAGTGCCGGTAATGGAACGGCCCAGTGAATGGGCAAAGCCGGTGAATGGGCGGCCCAGGGCACGGACTTCCAACAAAAACCCTTGTCATTGTCCCATGATGCTTCAAACGGAGGACAGTTCCTCTCTTCAAAGGCCAATGAGAGCTCCGAAACTCCCCTGTTCAACCCATGATCGAAGAACCAAACTAACAAACAAACCAGTATTGAATTGTACCTTCAACCCCCATGGGCGCTGCAGTTCAGCCTATGTCGAACTCGGCAAACGATCTACATGGACTTTGGTTCTCGAGGGTCGCTCGCACCGTCTCTCACGAGATAGGCCATTGTTTCTGCTTGGGACACTGCTCCTATTATGCTTGTGTTATGCAGGGTACAACGAGTGTGGCAGAGGATGTTAGACAACCTCCTTACTTGTGCCCTGTCTGCCTGGCAAAAATCACACATGCCATGATGGGCGTCTCACCCGAAACTGGTGATAACGAGCAGGCATACATTGTGCAAAGATATCAGGCCTTGATGGAGTTCTGCCAAAGCTGGCTGCATGTGGGTGGGTATGTTTGCCGGCTTTCATGCCTGGCTTGAGAGAAGGGTCGAGATTCTCTCCGCAGGGCGTAGTGCCTCTCCGCCCATTTGTCTTGATTGACGAACGAGCACTTATTGGTGCCCGTGAGACGTAGTTGTTGGTTCTTCTGATGGGCCATGCTTCTGGTACCGGAGTGATTACCTAGGGGTAGGTAGGTACGCATGACGGATCTTACACAGGACACCGGTTGCGGGAAGCCGACATGCTAAGTACAGTCACCATTCACCTAGACTTTGATGTGGAAGTTTGAACGCTCTTGTTTCTGTTACATTTCTCCGGTTTCCCTCTAGTATCACTTCTTTGCCCCTTAAGTACACGATTAAAAAGCCTACCAGCGATGTTCAGGATGCAGTGTGTGGCATTGGGCCTGGCAGCTCGCCCCTTTCATCTCTGACAGGAGCTCTTGATGGTACTGGTGAGTACCGCTTGCGCCGGATCAAGTGCCTGGACCGCGTATTTCTGTTAGTGCTTCCGTCACAAGTGACTTTCATGTCACAGGCGGGATGGGAACGCAAAGAAGGTCAACTTACACCAAGCCGGCAATAACACCGATCAACACCGGTATTCCCAATCCCAACGAGACACCAAGAATAACCCTATTGCTGACACCATTTGTGTCCTTGTCGAGGAAGTCCTTGACGTCTTGAATGGCTTCACTGGCGCTGGGCAAGAAGCCGTCGTCTGTAGCAGATGGGTTATATGAGGTCGGAGGCCCGCTGACGGATGAAATCATGTTATGAACGTTAGTTCCAAACTCTGGAATCGAGGACACCGAGTCCATCTGGGTAGCAGGGAAGACCGGAGAAACGCCGGCTGGCAAAACGGTAACGAGTGTGATAACAGATTTCATTGTTGTGCTTTCCTGCAGCGAGACCGGGCAGTTGACCAGTCCTGGAGACTTGCAAATCTGCCCAAAGAAGGTTGCCGTGGACGAAATGGTGGTAGTGACCAGTTCTTCTTCCCGACGGCCCAAGAAACGGTTAAGTAATGGTGGCGGAGTCATGCGAGGAAGCCAGTTGAGTCTGGGGGATCCGCGTTCCTCCAGGCCCGCTGTGGTTGTGGCCGTGACTGTCGCCGTGGGCGTGGTCAGGGTAGCGCAGAAGCCGCCTATCTTGGTATGGAAAACGGGGATAGAAGAATTAGGACTAGGACCCCAGGTGTTGCCTAGCGCTTCGATGGTGGCACCCGCGGCGACCGCAAGAGCAAAGGTATAGAACGCTTCAGCCTTGAGCTTGCACTCTTCCTCTTCTTCGTCATCCCCGTCTTTTCGAACTGCAAGTTCGTGGAATGACGAACTGTCAGGGTGCACGGCACCGGCCGATTCCACTTCGTTTCGACGGGCAGCCTTCTCAGGGCCCGAGTTCTCGTCACCTGTGGATATCGTAGGCCCTGTAACAGATATCGAGAACTCGGCCACATGGGCAACAACTTCAGCAACCACTCCAGCACCAAATAGCGGCTTGTCGTCCTTCGTTTTCACCTTTGGGAGTTGCTTCGTCACCTGCTTGAACTCCAGTCCAGCCTTCAGCGCGACTCTCAACACCGCCTTGATAGTAGCTGTTGGAGAAGACAGGGTGACTGGCAGGAACTCAAACTTTCCTCCGTGGAAGTTGAAGTCCGAAATGTTGCGGCTGAACATGACAAGTTCAGCACCCACGCCCTTGTCAAACTTCATATTCTTCATATGAAAGCCGCTGCTGATGTCAACCTCGGCGTCAAGCTCGATGATCAGATCAATGACAACCGCAAGGCCCGCTGTGATATCATCTCCCTCGGAGAAGCCAAAACTCGGATCCTTAGAAGAAAAGAGGTTCAACTCATATGTCGACGCTGCGCTTATCTTTGTGTTGAGCTTCAGATACAGCTCGAAGTCGTCCTCGAACAAGAACCCGATTTTGACCTCTGGTAGAGGAGCGAGATCGACGTCAAAGTCCAGGTCCAGGGTTGGCCAATCTATATCGGTGAAGTCGGTATCTCCTTCGTATATCAGCTCTTTGAATTCGTTTACGATGGCCTCTCCGCTACCTTTGATGGCATCCGTGAGCTGGTCGGCGGCTGCCTTGGTCACGTTTTCGATTTCTCTCCCGATCTCGAGAGTGTGGTTCCGGAAGACGTCGGTGAAGTTGCCGTTGACAGTGAACGAGCCGGTGGCAGCCCCCCTAATGTAGCACTCCTCGCAGGTAACCTCGATATTGAGGCTGGAGCTCAAGCTCTGGTTTTTACCGGGCTTGTCTTCCCTTTCGCTGTAAGAGACAAAAGTAGTCAGCATGGACCGTGGAATCGAGAAAAGAGGAGATTCTCTGCAGTACATACAACTGGAGCTTCATAAGTGTGGCTCCCCTCCAGCTCCTGTTAAAGTCTATCCTCCCGGTCGTTAGGTTCTTGTCTCTTCCCTCCAACCTGACAGCATTTAAACTTCTTGCAACATGCTTTAATGTGTCATGGGACGTCATTCCCGGCGCATTTCGAATCTGGTAAGCAGGGACAAGATCACCAGCTACTGGACTGGCGGAAACGGTACCCAAGCCCGCAAGTGCCCAGACAAGGGCCGTTACAAAGCCTCCGAGCACCATGGTAATGGAAAGAGTAGTATGCTACTCGTTGATGAGTGACAGGAGATAGGAACAATGGATGCGTACAAGGAGCGAACAGGTTGGTCTGCAGCAGCCTGGGAACGGGCTCCATATATACATATACCTAGCCATGGGAGTTTGTCGTGTCAGCCCTAGCAGGCTCTTGATCTCCTCGTTGATATGGCACCAAGGCAAAGTTTCCATTTTGTCGCTGGTGCCGAAACAATAATCCAGGAAGCTGCTGTGATGTAGATGTAAGATGGGGTAGTAAGGTCCTCAGCCCTGTCAGACGCTACGGCAAGGTACATGAGTTCCATGCTGTTGGTACCGAGATTCGAGAAGAAACAACAGCGTTTTGTGGCTTGGAAACAGCTGAAATGCAGCTTGCCTTAGCAGCATTGATCCGTCAAATTTCCTATCTCGAATCATCCCCGCGAGCAAACTCGATGCGAACTTGTATGTTTGCCTTGGAACCGCTCTGGCTGAACGTGTCCCAGGTAAAGTTGGTCTTCCAGCTTTCACACTTATCTCGTGTATATCGTAAAGGAGCGCATCTAACCCAGGCTAGGCACTTTGTTCTGGAGAGATAACCAGCTTTGTCAGTCCTGTCTCATGACATTGCAAGCTATATCATACCCCTGCAGGTCTATATGTCTGTTGGTGACAGCATCCCCGGCCTACATGCGTGCCCGTGGCGTAAAAGCCGCTGCATACCCGACAATGTCACGCGGAGTCTAACAAGAATGGAACGCTTCTCAGGGCCCCGCATGCTGGGTGCAGAGATACAGTGCAAAAGTGTCTTTCTAGCTGCTACTCCAGCCGAGAGAAAGAATCACGCACTGGCAATTTCTACTCCGCTCTCGCCTCGCTGAGCATTAATAAATGGCATATCGCTCAATACCTCCAAGGCTGTGTCAGGATTAACGAAAACTGTTTCAGCCACGGTTCTTGCTTGAGGTGCTTGTCGGCATTTTCGAAAGATGACCATGGGTCTCATGCGGCGGGGAGGCTAATGAACGACTTACACGGATTCCCGAGGATTGATAGAAGACGCGATCAAGGGCTCGAGCTCGAGCTGGACATTTGTTTGGCAGCACGAAGCTCGTAGGATCCGACAGCAATCCGAACCTTGCTATATCGGGCGGCCGCTCGGCAGCCTTGGCATCAGGCCTACTGAGCTCAGCTTGCAACCTCGATCAGATAGGTAGGTAATGGGGCATGACTTCCAGCCACATCTCAATTACACTAGGGCCAGGCTTTGGGTGAAATGCTCAACGGTTCAGGTAGAAGCAGGAAGGCGAAAGTAGGTGTACCCATTGCTCCGGTGTCGGGAGGTAGAGACAGGTATTCACCCTCTCTGGGCCAAAAGCCAACATGCGATATTTTGAAGGCGCGCCGATATTATCGACCTTGATCGACAAGTTTCGTTGTGTTTGCAGTGGTACATCATTTGAGGATGGTCACAAAAATTGAACCCAAGGTCGTGATGACCATTTAGGTCAGAGCGCAAGTTGAATCCCTGGACGAGGGTGACAAAACGCCGGAGATCATATAGGATTTTGAAGATTGCCGACCGAGTAGGTAAGCGACAACACTCACACATCACCTCAGGAACCTAGACCTAATCTCCCTCATGCATCTCGGGTACCCTTCCCTCCCATTCTTTCTTTCCGTTTGCCTATTGTTCTTTCATCAGACCTCCTGCCTAATTCCGAGTGCTTCCTGCGTGTTTTTCCTTCTCGACTGATCATATTCACCAAACTTTGCTCGCAGACGACCGAATCCGCTGATGATGTTTTTCGCAGGGCTTGTATGTCCCTCCGTGAGCTGCTACCTATCTTGAGACTGACGACATACGGAGCTCTTTGGCGCAAACCTGTGAGGAAGCCTCGCAATGGTTATATTTGAGTAAGAGTCCGTCCTACTTCATCATGAACTGGTGATTTTAGGAGCAAGTGTCTAACAAGCATCTTTAGCAGCTTCCCCAGCTCATAGCCACTCTTATCAATTCCCCAGGAATTTGAGGCTACGGGTCATCTCAAACGATGGCACAACATCAACGCCGCAAGAGTGAGATCACAGCAGCTCGAGGACTTTGGTTGTGAACAACAGATACCCAATCATTGGGTAGCTGATCTTCGATCTGGTGTAACACAGAATATCACCACGTTCTCCAACGTTGCAAAAGAGTAGCAAAAGAGTAGCATCTGCCCAAGTCAACAGCAGGACCGGACTCCGGTAACCGGGTAGCTAATGTTGCATCTTCAGCCATTGACGTCTTTTTCGGGGAGCAGTCTGGATCTTCCCTGACTCGACAGACGCCATGCCTTAGGCTTTGGCCTTATCCGGAACCCACGCCTCTCTCGCGGACCAGTTGCCGGTTCCCGTAATTGGGTTATTGGGTAGTTGGAGTACCGTCCACCCAGTGACAGCACCATCGCATGGCAGCCCTGCACTGTACACCTCCCACAAGGAAATCCCCTCAGACGTTGCCAGCTTTCTGGGGATTGCTTGGAGGCTGTCTGCTCTGTATTGCTAGGTATCATAGGATGCCCTGTGCATTACGGGCTCTTCGAGTCGTCGGTGAAAGTTGGGCATATCGAGGACAGAAGAGCGGGGCGGTCATTCTGTTTTCTTGAGTGTGAAGCCATCCGTTCGAGTTCGGAGAGGTACCTGAACGTGGTGTGTAGAGAGACACTGTCGTCACAATACCACCTTGGACACACCCAATCCAGTCAAGATTCCGCCAGTAAGGGAGAGGGTTACTGCAAATGGATTCACACGCCGATAAATTGGGCTCTAGGCTTTCCGCTAGTGGCATGCCGAGGTAGGTCAACCCTTCGATATCTCATTCCCCAGGGATTCCTTGCCTTATTGAGGGGTCAATAAAGAATATGATTTGAAGAAACGCTCTTTCCTGTCTCGATAGAAGCCTTTTCCACGCAGGAAGGTGTGGTAGCATAGGTACACATGCAACCAGCAGATGGCAAGACTAGTTTCCAAAAAAAAAAAAAAAAAAAAAAAAAAAAAAAAAAAAGTAAGTCTTGTGGTCAGCTTCGAGCAATAGGCGCCGCAGAGGGGTGTATGTCAACACGCGGGTTACATAGGGTGGATATGGAAATAGACCCTTCCTTGTCTCATGGCTCACTGGGACCTTATCCAAGCGTGACAAATCCTGCGCGCCTTCTCGCAACTCCATAAAGGATCTATTGCCAACAATCAAGGATCCATCCGCGTCTCTCCGCACCATTCCCCAGTCGTTAAGCTAAACGAGGATATCTCAAGGCCAAGCTACCTCCAGTTGTAAGACGTATGGTAGAAGCGCCTCATGCCTTGTTTACGACAGAGGTTGTGGCACTGGAGATATAGTCGGGTATGGACGCATGGTTCCGGAAAGGCGGGAGAACACGTCTAGTACTCGCCTACCCATCACTCTTCTAGGGTGGTGGTGAACCTTTACTGCAACCCACAAGACCAGGATGATCGGCAGCTATGAGGAATAAGGGAGCTCCTCGGTAGCCAATGGAAGCTTTAACTTTCTGTTCACAAGCAGAGACCGTCGCACCCATCATGCTACAGGAAGGAACTGAGGGTGCTGCTGTAGTACCCGTATACACGAGTCATCTACCACTGACCTATCGGGGATATCCGCTTAACATCTCGTTGATGTTTATGAACTTCCGGGACCAATGATGTTGCTGGCAGCCCGGGGGCAGGAATATTGGGCGTACTTACTACTACCGGACCAGTCTTCCCTACTTGCCGGTCTGCCACCATCGGAAATTCAGGCTTCAGATATCGGGTTTCCAATGTGCCATCTGCTTCTTTTGTGGAAAGCTGCAATGTCTTGGCAAGGTGAAACTGGATCTTTGTCGGTTGCCTGTGTGCCTTTGTCACCATGAGCCCAACCGTCACGAAACCGACATAAAATGCCTCCATCTGGCACCAAGCTACTTACACCAAGAGAGATTCTTTTTCCTGACTTCAACGCGCCTTTGACTTGCTGCAGAAAAGAGATATCGACTCCTTTGAATTCTATTATTCCGGTCCAGAACAGGAGCCGAAGGCAGGGCCTTAGCTGAGCACTTGCATACCCGTCAACATTTTCACCGGGCATCAGAATACAAGCTCTCTCACACAGAAGCTCACATACTCTTTGCCTGTCATCAAGACCCATGACGGTGAGTAAGAGTGCGCGGGGGTATTCCACAGGACAGAACAAAGTATGGGAAAGGGACCAACTGATGACAATGTCTTTCCAGTATCAGATTGGCGATGTTGTCTGCATCCGGGGCGCAAGTCTCCGCTACAAGGTCATTGCCGTTACTGGCTCAATGATCACGATCATCGTCGTGAATCCTCAACCAGACGGCCAATACTTGCCATTCACCTCCACGTCCCTCCAGAGTGTCGACGAGTCAAGGATCGAAAAGGTTGAGACCTAGCAATACCATGCTCATGGCTGATTGTGACCTGGGAGGTACGGGGTCGTGCGTACATTAGGGATTGCTTCTGTGTTGGAAGTCAGATTAACCAGCGTCCAAGGTCCAGCGAGGAAAAGCACTTAGCCTAGTACAAGTAGGAGCAACAAGCAGAGGAGGCAAATAGTGCCCGTATACCATCCGACTTCCATCGGTTGATCACTGGTCGCCGGGCCAACCATACTCTGCAGTGACCTCAAAGTGAAAAGGGACTGAGACGGGAAGGCCCTTCACCCCCATTGTAAGTAAGGCTGCCAGGCAACAATACCTTCCGCCCTGCCACGAAATTACATACCACCCCGCCCCTCCTGTTACCGTCTTCATCTCTCTTGGTATCCTTCTTCCACGGGTTGCCATCCCATTCCTTTTCAGCCTCAACAAACTTGCAAATAAACAGCTTCCCGCCGACATACCCCCTCCCTTCATCCACTTCCACTTGGATTGTGCTACACCGAATCCGAGTTAGTATTCGGCCATCTTCCGTCGCGCTCCTACGACTGGGACGCCACTCGCAGCAACGCTTGACAACAATTTCGGCATCATGGAGCAGCCTCAGGTCAAGATGATCGGTGGCCGCGAGTACGCTGCCACGGGCTCCAAGTTTGGACCCTCTTACCTGCCCGTCGACGTTATGGCCCGCATGAATGCCTCGCCGCACCAGGGTCTCGCCATGTCCGCCGTCGTCCACGTACTGAACCCCTCCCCGCGCGTCTTTGAAAGTATGAGGATAACTGACATGGCGCTCAATAGGACAAACGATCTTTGGACTCAGAGGCACCCGCCAGAGAGCCCCTCCCCGGCGTTGACACTGACAAGCACTTGACCATGCCTAGCCCTAAGCGTGGCCCCGTCGCGTCAACCTTCCGCCCGCTGCCCAAGATCTCCAAGGCAAACGGTAAGCTACCTGTTCGTGCGCTTTGGATCCCACGTCCGTACCCAATGGCGCGCGCTGAGACTCCCCCCATCATTCTTCCTCCTCCACGCTTGTCGAAAGGATACGTGACCTCGGAGACCCTGAAGTTTTCCAGACCCGAATCCACCGGAAACCTGAGTGCAAGCTACTACAGCTCGGCATCGTGGAAAGAAGAACTCGCAAAGGTTACCAACAAGCAATGACGGCGTGGCTCCAGTCTCCAGAGATAACGCATGCGGAAGACCAAAAAAAAGCACAAAAAACACAAAAAAAAAGAAGCCTAGCATAGTAATAGGCAGAGTCTCATCGTTTCTCCCGACTATAACTCTCCTTGCTCTCTCCTTCATCCCTTGTCGTTCCATCCTTCCTTGCAGTGTTTCGCTTGGAACTATCTGCCAGCGCAGTGATATTTGCTGCATCTTTGTCAATGATCAGGATAGGAAGCTAACTATCTGACGATGTCGTGTACTGTTTACCACAGGCCAAGGATCTGTCCACTCTCTTTCTTTGCCCGTTAGCATTGCCAACAGCCCCGCGGAGGCAGCCATGGCCCACCTTATCAACACTCTTGTCGATAGCGCCAAAGCCACCTTTGAGGATCTGCTCGCCAACATGGCCGGCTCGGCTTCTAACACGGTCAACTCGGGCTCCGACTCTGGTGCTGCTGACAACGACAACGGCAACGACAAGGGCAACGGCGACGGCAGCGGTGATGGCGCAGCCTCTTCTTCCACCACTACCACCGCAGCCAACACTACCTCCGCCACCGGCTCCAACATCGGCACTCCCCGCCGTCGTCGCGCTGCCGGCGGTGGCTCCGGCGGTTCAGGCCGCAAGCCCGGCGGCACTCCCCGCAAGAAGCCCGCCTCCCGTGCTGACGTCATTGAGAAGCGCGGCTCTTGCGAGCGCTGCAAGAAGTCCAAGGCCAAGTGTGAGCCCATCCCCGAGTGCATCCGTTGCGCCAAGGACGGAGTCGAATGCTCGCTCAAGGAGACGATGATGCAGGAGACTGGTCGTCGTCTGGGTGCTTGCCAGCGCTGCAAGAAGAACAAGGTCGGCTGCAAGAAGATCGAGAGCTGCGGTCGTTGCCACAAGGCCGAGCAGCCTTGCTCTTGGGCTGTTAAGGCTTAGACCGACACCGATAGGATCGTTGAAGACGTTGCGGGAGTTCTGGAAAAATGGGTTTGTGGGGCGGGTTTTCCATCGCATTGTGGTGGAAGGATTATCCGTATAACCTGTTTCCGAAGACTTCAACTGCTTCAACGCCGACTTGTGGCCTAGAGATACCCGACTTTATGAGCTTTAGTTTTGGTGCAGTTGGCTTGGCTGAGGGGTCCTTTGCGTTGTTATGGATTGATGGTTATCACATGGCTTGGAATTGAGGAGTGTCCTTTGCGCACATGGGCTGAATCATGAAGACGAACTGGGGATGGGAGGAACTTATCTTGGACTGCTCATTGTCCGTTGCTTGGGGTCTTTTTCTCTTGCTGTACTTTTATGGGAGACGATGCCTTTAGGGTCCTCCACGGACAGCTGAATCCAACAGTCCAATGCATTCAGTGGTTAATTGTCGACTGCTCCAAGGCGGAATACATGAGAGTGATGTTGTGTGCTCAAACGAATCTGATGTGCACAGCCAATTCCATATTTGACACCGTAATGCATACATGCATACTCTATCTAGGTTACATTCGCAGTGCTTATCTCATTATAGAGTACGTACCTGCTACATGTTGGACGACTTTACGTCATACAAGTAGTCCCCTCGCTCCTTTCCATTTTCCACAATTTCTCCAAGCACCAGAACTCTGTCCCGACACTCAACTTCACGAAAGCGTCGACGCCAGCTAAAGTGGCCAAAATGATCAAACGTGGTAAGCATTAATCATCTGGCTCTCTCTATTCCATCATTCATGCGCTAACTCAGGTACTGAAAACAGCAACATATCTTACCTCCATCGCCGACCCTTCCCTCCAACCGTCGCATCAGTCGGCGTCCTCCCCAAGCTCGGGTTAGCCACGTTATCCGGAAACGAGCCTCCCACAGCAACATTGAGCAGAATGAACTTGGGAGTCCGCGTAACCGCCGTCCAAGCCGTCTCGTTATTCACCCGGTTCCCATCCACAGTGAACACGACATTCCCATCGATCCTCCACACGACCTTCTCCCCCCTCCAACTCCCGCCGGGGTTCGTTCGATCGATGTCCACCGAAAACTTATGAAACCTGCTTCTGTCGAGCGCCGCCTGATTGGTGACCCCCGTATACTCATTGCAAGGCCCGCCCGGCGCATTCGGCCCGCAGTGTATCGTCTGCCACGCTGCCGACGCGCCGTTGACGTTCTCCAGGATGTCAATCTCGCCAATCATCGGCCAGTTCCAGTAGTTGCCTCGGTACGCAGAACTCAGCATCCAAAATGCAGGCCAGATGCCAAGCTGCTTGCTGGCGGGGAGGTCACCGAGCTTGATCCAGGCCTCGATTCGGATCGCCTGGCCGGGAGGACAGACGATATCTCTAGCTGCGACAGTCTCAATTCGGGAGGATGTCCAGGCGCCCGTGACTGGATTCTTGACTGGTGTGATTTGGAGTGTTCCAGAAGTGGTGATGACGATGTTGTTGGTGGAGGAGGTGTAGGTCTGGACTTCGCCGGTGCCCCAGTTTCCTGGACCCCCGGGGTAGGATGTGCCCAAGTCAAAGGCCCATTTGGAGGTAGAAGGAAGGGAACCGGGCCAGTACAGGGAGAAGTTGTCGACGAAAAGCGCCTTCTTGAAGCCCTTGGGGAGGTAGACGTTATACCCGGGTCCGTAACCCCATTCCTGGACTGGTGTTGCTGCAGCCTGCACGCCGCCGAGGAGAGCAAGACCCGCGGTCAAGACGACACAAAAAGGGCCCATTTTGAGGGATTGGACGCTCGGCAGGGACGACGAGCTGGCTCGCGGGAAAATGCAAGGAGAGAAGATTGGGTCGAAGCCGGAAAGCACAACACCACTACAGCGAGCCGCCTGGTATTAACCGAACCGAGAAAGGGAAGAAGGTAACATCCTGGAGCTACCGTATAGGTCCATCTTATATGCTAGTCATCCAGGCACTTTGCCATACCCTCGGGGGAGGCTGGTTTATTGCAGCCACCATCGTCGCCGCGCCGGCATGCTTCGCGTTCGGGAACGGGAGCATTCCAGTTTACCCCTGACCTCACTGACAAATCTGCTCGAATTATGGAGGCTGAGAAGCTAATATGTCTCAGATCCGCTAGCCACGCTACCGCCCCACTTGAAAATAGGTAGTTCCGAGAACGATCCAGTCCAGACTTGCCATAGTGGCTACCTATCCGTGGTCTAAATCGATCCGAAGGCCACATGCACAACAAAAACCGAGGCAAAGGATGCAAGTTCACGGCCTCATTCAGCTGAACACTATACGAGAACGATAGCGAGCATATGGAGAGGCAAGAACTCGTACATTACCTGGTGCCCCAATGTCATTCTTGGTATCTCCTCTAGAGGTATCCTTTCAACGGACATTCACTGGAAAGTATAGCTGTGATGCGTCGTGCAGTTGTTTACCTACTCCTTTAGCCATAGGCTGTACAGATAAGGAGTGAATGGCATCTGAGTGTCGCCGGCTGGCTATCTTGGCGCAAATTGCAAACGCGTTGTGATGCATCGCGAGTCGTCTAGGCGGTGGGCGCAACCTGACTTTTGTGCCTCACGGACCAAAAAGGACCATAAATATCAGGAAGCAGTAGCCTTCCTACAATCTCAAAAGTATCCAAGATTACAACATACGTCCATCGTCAACTAGGCTTTAAGCGGTATCCAACTTTGCGTACGACCGTCAGTCAATTCAGGGCTCACTACCATGTGTATCCGCCGATTTGCCGAAAAGAAATGCTGAGAATGCAAGAACGTCATTTGGAGCGAGGTCAAGGAGGAAAAGTGCTGGCCGATGGTTCTGGAAACAGAGGAGGAGGCTAAGAAAAAGGGTCGAAGCCGAGGGCAGTTCGGAGGATGCACACAAGGGGTGACCAAAAAGACTGATACAGACTGGAGCATTTGCTCCGACTGTGCCAGGAAGTCGTACGTCTAGGGCGTTGACGGTAGGGTTCGAGTCAAGCCGATAATTCGATGACACGATGGCAGTTTGGTGGACGAAGGGAGCTGACAGCTCAACGCTCTGAGCAATAGCAACTTCAGATCACCACAAGCATGACACTCTCGTCTACTTATAAGAAAAATGCTAGCCCCGAGGGTAGCAGTTTCAAATACGTAAACTCAGAGATGGGATTGATCCATGGAGTACAGAGTGCCGGTGACGGCATCATCTTTGCATGCTCGAGAAGTGACAACAGCATTCACCTAGCACAACGCCCAATTCTTCCGTCCTCACCTTAATTCTAGACAACAAGTATCGGAGGATGGTGCACCAGCAACCTCGATAGCGGCCAGTCTGACCTGTATCCAGCCGCATAATGGCACATCCAATGTGTCACTACAGAATAGAATGGGAAGCATCTCGTCATTGTGTAAGACCAGCCCAACTCTGCTTTCTAGGGCGCTGGATCCTATAAAAGACTGGCAGCAGCGAGGCAAATTTCTCCCATCTCGGTCCCTATAGCCAGTTCCAAGCTTCAAACGAAGCTGCTTCAACCTTTGTTCCACCCTTTGACATTCACAGGCACCCAAGAATAACCCATCAAGCATCAGCCATCAAAATGTGCAGAACAACCGTATACGAAATCTACTGCGCCGACTGTAACAGATTCATGCGCGAGCACAGGGGCAGGGAATATTGTGAACAAGTTGACGAATACTATAGAAAAGGCTACCGATCAGGGCTAGAATCGAGCGCTTCTTGGCCTGACGGGTATGGCAGGTGCGCAGCCGGAGAGACGATCAACACATTTACGAACACGAACACGCAGCGATGCTTTGCTTGCAAGAGGAAGAGAGACGAGAGAGGGGAATCACTCAGGAGAAACATGATAAGGCGCCAGAGTTTATGAAGTACCACGGGAGTTATTAGCGGCTGGGGAATAGATGCTTCCAATCCTGACGAATATTAGGTAAAGGGGAGAGATCTAGGTTGAACGTATGTCAGAAAGAACTCTCAGTCGCTGTTTGAGGCTTCTCCGCCTTAACGAGCAGGTGTAATCAGTCAGAAGGGAAGGAAGAACAAAAGAAAGCACGAGAATAATTGGCGCATGCATTTGTTTGCACGCAATGTAGATGAGAGACCCTACGTGCAGTCGTGAGCCCTAGTCTCCTTTCAACATTTAAGTACTGTTTATTCTTCTTTGCCATCTTTATAAAAGTCCCAACGTCCATCGTATTTTGGATCAACCTCCAATTTGGACAAGCAACATATCCCCTCTGTGCCTTCCCGTACCTTCGTCAACGCCATCAGCGTCTGCAAAAATCCACTAGTATCTCGCACATCACTACCCAACCACCCTGTAGGTATCCTCCCTGACGAACCCTGTGTTTTATCCCAAACAGGTCCAACAGCTCACTTTCCCATCTCGGCAGCAAGCTTCTCATATCACCACTCAATCAAATCCACCGCAAGCCCTCCTCCACCATCCACTACGGCTTACCGTCAGTAGAGGTAGAGCCAGCCTCCCGTCTACTCCGTCCTCGAGCTCCGAATTCCGAGCACCGATTTGGCTGTCCCCTTCCAAGCCATCACAGCTCAGAAGCCCCGTCAAAACCAATTCACTATGTGCCGGCACAACATCCACTCGATAACCTGCATGTCATGCGGCGTAGAATACGAGAAGTGGATCCGCGAGAAGCCGTGCCAGAACCAGTTGGCTCGTGATCCCAATCCATTGCTCTACGAGGAAATGGACGGATTTCGCAATATTGGCAAGAGGGAAAAGGTTATGGAAGGCCGGGGCGCGTGTAGAGATTCGGTTATCTGCGAGATTTACTGGGATGGCCTTTGCACGACGTGTCGTGAGTATTCTAGGGAGGATTGCCGAGCGGGCTTTTCTCCTCGAGGGGGTGTTTGGTGTTGGTTGGATTGAGGGGTGTTGGATACTTTCCGTTTGAGATAATGACGATGGGGATGTTCTAGACTTGAAGGCTGATTTCTGATTTTTATATGATCGGACTTTGGCACCGTCATGGCACTGTTTGGTTGAGACAATGAAGCAGTGCAGTGTCCATCCAGTGTGTGTCCTTTGCTTGTGAAGCAGAGTCCAGACACATGTGCGCGGAGAAAGGCGGCTTTCACACAAACTTTCACGTTATTAGCTAAGAAACGAGGTCATCCCAAGTAAAAAGAGACCACCGCATTCGTACTTCCCATATGGCTCTGACGGAGACCGCTCTCGAACGTATACCTCTAGTAACATTGGTTCAAACCCAAACAAACCAAATGTAACAGATGAAAATGTGTAGTCCACAAGATAAATACCTCTGCCTCTACCCGTCCATCGCTCAGTCCTCCCCTACACCTCACCATCCCAAACACAAAGCAGTTCAAGCCTACAGTGAAAACCACCTGCGTTAACCAACAACACCATCAACAACTGTTCGCTGCCTCACCACCTACAGTCCAACAAAATGTGCACCCATGCCATAACCCGCACCAAGTGTCCCGGTTGCGCTAGGGAACTGAAAACCGAGACCAAGGAGACCAAATGCAGCGACGCCACAGCCAACAACAAGAGCTGGGGCAAGTGCAAGAACGGCGGTAGTACCACGGAATCGAGCAAATACGGGGATAAGCATTGCTCGAGTTGTAAGTGCAAGAAGAAGAGTACCTAGCGCCTAGCTTCGAATAAATGACTTGTTGGGTCATCTCGCCACCATCCGTGAGGGAGTGAAAGGGAGCGGAAGGGAGTGGGAAGTAGGTAGTCTAGCAGCTAGGAGTAGGGAAATAACAGTCTTGTGTTCTAATCGCCTAATTCCGCTGATACTGCCTGCCGCCTCGCCTCACTTCAACCTCCCTACGTACCCTTCCGCGTCCCAGCCCTTACTATCTCCAGATGTCCCCTTTCCCGCGTAGCTTTCTCTGCGTGGCTTGTCAGCCAAGTGGTCGTAAGAATTAACCGAAAACATCACGGTCCAATATATCACGCCTTCAGTAGACTCTTTCATGCATCCACGCGTCTTTCATACACCTTTTGATCAAAATTCAGAACATCTCTTCGTAAACAAGGCATAACAGATTTTGGCCGACGTCCTCCAAATTATTACGAGGCATGCCACAGTTTTGTTAACGGCCTTTCTTAATCAAAGCGAGCGGCATTGGACTGTCCATGCAACTAATCGGTTTATTCTTACGACCACTCGTCGGTGTAAAGGGTACCTACTCTAGCTACCATGGTCGTACTGTGTCGGGCGGCGCGTTCTATGTTCACCGTTCCTGCCACCGTTCCTTCCTGCCGCCGCCCAGCCGGTACGTCCTTCTCCTGACATCGGACGACAAGACACTCACCCGCCACGCGCCTGCCCCTGACTGGCCCTAGCCCAGGCACCAGCGGCCATTATAAGGTCCGTTACCTAGCCCCTCTACCACAACGGGGAGCCCTGTGGTCTCATGGCGCAGTGGTTACCGTTGATGAATAACTTAGCGCGGCGGTTTTCGTAGGTATGCAGCTGGGGTATTGTCGTTCGTTCTACAAACCTACCTGGGCAACTTAGCTTTTTGCTTTCTTTATTTGATTGGGGAAGTGGTGAGGATGTTGGAAATGGGGGGTTTGGTTTTTTTCTTTTAGTTTTGGGGGTGGAAAGAGTTTTTGTTTGGGGAGAAGGGAGGTGGAAAAACCAAGCGATTTGGAGAGGGGACTGAAGAGGAAGAAGGAAGGAAGGAAGGAAGGAAGCTTTTGGGGACGCGAAGAAGTTGCTGAAGCGTGCTGTGCATAGTCGAGTTGAAGAGTGGTCCGAGGCACAAGTAGAATGAGGAAGAGAAATGGACAGAGGGCTTGGGGAGAGAGCCTCCTTGGATCATGGTGTTGTTGGTGTCAAACGAAAGAGTGAAGAGGACATTGTCGACGAAAGCGGCGAGTCGGAACGAGGGTGATGGACGAAGAGGAGAGCCTTTCGTCCTCGTCTGTACAATTCAATACTGGTTTGTTTGTTAGTTTGGTTCTTCGATTATGGGTTGAATAAGGGAATTTTGGAGCTTTCATTGGCCTCTAAAGAGAAGAATTATCCTCCGTTTGAAGCGATATGGGATAATAGTAAGGGCTTAGGACGCTACAGAGGCTTCTTATAGGTGTCCTATTATGCCTCTCTCAAGGCCTTTAAAACTGGAAGATATCAGTTTCACGGCGTTCACCCGATAGAAAGCCGAACGCTTTCCTGTATCCAATAAAGCTTTGGCCTTTTGGTACCAAACTAACAAACAAACCAGGTCTTGATTGTATACTATAAAGTCGAAATGTCATGTCGGCCCTCAAACCATCAATTCACCTGCACCTGATCCAGTCCCCGGGGTGACGAAGTAGTACGTGTGATGTATCCAGCGTTGCACACGCCGTGAAGGTAATCGATGTATTCAAAATATTAACTCGCACGTGAACGGCCTCGTGGGAAATAGATATCGAGTATTATCGAGTATAAGTATCGTAGGCCCTCTGGCTTCCCAAAGGCCGACGAGGTCAGTACCGACAACAGCAAGCCCAAGCCTCCATCTTGACTGAGACCAGAAACAACCACACCCAAGAAACCCAAGCAAGCTATTACAACTACGGATAGCCCACCCAGCCAAAATGTGCACAAACCACATTTACGTAACGACTTGCTATTACTGCGAGGCCGAAATGGGCAGAAGGACCGAGGAGGTCAAATGTGACCATGTCCGGAGGTACTACCTCTCATGGCGCGGTTGCGGCTACAGCAACAACGTGGAGCATGCCGAGTTCAAAACCTGCTCGTCGTGCAGGAGGTCGATACGCAGGAGATGAAGGACAACGAAAGGGGTAAAGAGGAGGAGGAGTAAAGGAGGGAAAGAACGGGGAAGAAGAAGACGGGATGATGGGAAATCTGAAGGGGACATGGAGGAAGGAAATGATTGAGGAGTGGACTGTGGAAGGGGGGTTACCGGACCTGCTTGGAATGAGATAATTTGGGGCTGTCACTCAGCTGGTTGGTGACGGGGAAGGGAAGGAAAAGAAGAAGTTGAAGGAAGTAAAGAGGTGAAGTCTGGAAAGGAAGGATGAAAAGGGGTGTGTTGTTTTGCTTAACCCACTGAACTTCCACCCAGTCTCAAATACACTTTTCAACCAGACCATGACACAAAACAATAGCCAGGTGATCATCCATGAAACCCCTCCTAACAAACGCCCAAGCTCCAGAACTGGAGCCACCCTTTGACCGTGATCTTATCCGTCTTGTCGATGAAGCACAGATCCCTTATTATCCACCTCATCTCCATGATCCTTTCCTGCCATTACCCATATGATACCGATGTCCCCTATCCCACCCTATACATCCTCAACCCTTGTAATGTCTACCGTCTTCACCGTCTTCGTGGTCTTGGTGTTCCTTGTCCACCACCCCTGGAACCTCTTAGTTTTCCCGCCCGTGGTGACCTTCAAACAATCCTCAGCCTCCTTCAGCAAAGCCTCGAGTTCCTCTTCCGTGGCATTTCTTGTCAGGAGGGGCTGCATGGAGGCAGTTAGGCGGTCCAGTCGTGCTTGGTCGAAGCCGTGGATGAGCCCCTCGGTTGTTGTGGGTTTGGTGGTCTTTTTGAGAGGCATCGAATAATATTTCTGGAGTTTGACGAATCTGTCGGTGGGTATGTCGGTTTATTTGTGAATCTGATGATGCGACTGGTGATTATTGTGGGCAATTAATACCGATTACAATACATGTGAATTCTTGTTGTTGAAGTGCTTTATGGTTGAGAAATCGAATTCGGGATTTCGCTGTCGGACGGAACGGCATATTAAGCTTAGGGTCCTGACCGTCTTCTAGAAGTAGACTCCTTCCTGTTGTCTTTGAGACACAGTTTGCCTTGCCAACAAGGGGCCCATTGTCGAGTCTTTGTCCACTGAGGCAAGTGCTCGGCAAGTGAACCATACAGGAAGTCGGCCATGCGCCAGGCTGGCTGAATGGCTTTGAAGATGAGCGGGCTGGAACAAAGAACGACCATGGGGAGGAACCGAGTCCGCGCCTTCGGGAACTGTAACGGTCCTCTGGGTAGTGGGTGACCAACCGGAAGGCCCTCTGGGGTAGCGATTTCCACATTGGGCTGTCCACCCCTCGGTGGCTTGATGCTGACCCGAAGAGTCGGGTGGAAGGAGACACGGGAAACTGTGAGGCGCCGGCAGTTAATGGATCTATCTGCCGGAAAACAGAGCAACGGAACGGGACAAGATAGTAAGTAGCGGATCATCAAGTGGTTTGTCATGGGAATGAAAGAAATAGTAAGAAAGTACAGGTTGCTAGATGTCCAATGGGGCCTAGAAGAGCAATACAAGAGAACGAATCATGAGCCCGGCCATGACTGTAAAACCGAGAACTCAAAGCACAATGATAGCCACTAGGCGATACTCGCCATCAATGGGGACATTCAGAAAGTAAGGTTCTCTGGTATCACTCGCTCAAACCAATCCGCTGGCTGACGTAAACAAAACATAAACTGCTTGACCGTACAATATCCATCCAAGAGGCATGTTTTCCCATGCCAAAAAAGCCGGAACGCCTATATATCCACCAGGCCCAAGAACGCCAACATGCAGAATCAACAGGATAGATAGAAAAAGGATGAAAACAGGCCAAAAGAGGACAGCCTATTCCTCAGACCACTGCTTGGGTGCTTGTGTCTGTGAGTGAGAAGCGACCACCGTGTTCACCTAGATACTCCTGTTGTGCGCTTCCCTCAGACGCTTAATCCAATGTTTGCGCACGTGACTGGGCATCTTGCAGAACACCATGGCCTTGTTCTCGTCCGTGAGGGCCTTTTCGGCCACCTTGAGCTGAAAGTCCATATCCTCCTGGGCGAAGTCTCGGAAGAAGATCTCGACGGCTTGCTCTGCCCAGCTCAGCTTGGGCTTGGGAAAACGGAAAACCTCTGCCAGGGCTGTTACCGCATCGGGAGTAGATAGACTGCTGACTGCGGAAGAGCTGGCAATACCCGAGGCTTGGGAAGCGTGGTCAACAGAGCTTGAGGCAGTACGACGGCGTTTTTCAGCGTTGGTAGAGCCGCTGGAGCCACTGCTGTCAGGCATGTGAGGCCTTCTCCGGTTCTGGACAGGATTCTCCTCGGGCGGCGTGAGGGCGGACGTGCTCGGGTTATTTCGGGGTTGATGTGCGGTCGGGTTGGGCCGGGAATGTGGTGGTGGTTGAGACGACGGCAAGGTTGGTGGAGTGGGAATGGGGGCCAAGACGGGGGCGGGGATGGGAGAGGGAAGAGGGGCGGAAGCCGAATGGACTGGCGGCGGCGGAGGCATGTGGCCCTGTGGATGAGGGTTTGCGTAGGATGGGTCGGCAAGGAGGTTCATGATTGTCGTATTAGGGGCATCCTGGTCGGCGTGGCCTGGACCATGACCGGAGCCGGGGCCGGAAGGGTTGAGGTTATCATTCGTCTTGCGGGGGCGTTGTTTGGTCAGCCGTTTAGGGGCACCGCCAGAGCCGATGACATCGGGGAACAAGATCTCGTATAGTTCTTCATGTTCAAAGGGTCTGCCACGAAGGGAGCGAGAGAGTGGCTCCATCTGATAAAAGGAGACATGGGGTTAGCGGAGTGACAAGGCAAGACGGGACGAGGCAACGGGATGCCGACATGACATGACGCACCTGCAAATGTCTGGCCCATGCTTCTTCGGATGCATTTACAGTCCTGGTCATGACATCGTAGTGGAAGTCTGGATCCTCCCGCAGACCGCGCCACAGACGGAACTTTTTTCGAGCATTGTCACTCTTGTTGATGAGGTGGCCCTTGTTGGCATAGGCGTTATGGTGGGTGATGAGGGCCTGCAATGCGCGGTCCCAGGCCTCGGGCTTGAACGTGTTGCCCTCGCGTAGACCGAGATGGACAGACTCGCAGAGGGAGGTGAAGAAGGTGGTCTCATAGGCCGTGTTCCAGCTGAAGCGGGGGCCGCGGTGCTTACCGGGAGCCAAGGCGGGAGGGCCGGCGCCGGAAGCCGAGGCGGGGAAGGGGTCGTCGGACATTGGGGGCCGTGTGGTCCGTGTTCCGTCCGTGGTTCCGTCCGTGGTTCCGTCCGGGATCCGTACGGGGTCCGTTGACTATTTGTACGGACTGTACGGTACCGTTAGGGTGCGTTGTCGAGATGGGTGGAGCCCCCTTTCTGGTCAGATGGTGACGGATGCCGTTGACGCCGTTTGTTGACGCCTACAAGTGTCCGACGGAAGCTAGACAGTGGCCCCGTCCGCCCGTCCGTTTGTCCGTCTAGCAAACGGGACTGACGGATGGCCAAGAAGAGGAAAAATGAGAATCGAAGACGGGAACCAAAAAGCTGGGGTTGGTCGGGAGGGTGCGAAAATAGGAAACGGAGGCAAAGATGGATTGCAGTCAATGGTGGGTCGAGGCGGGCCGGGACTGTGAAGTCGGTTGGGAAGCGTCAAGCAAGGCAAGCGTCAACACACAGCGCAGCTGCCAAAGCGACGGTCAACCCGACAGGTGATTGCGGTTGTGATTGCGACTGCGACGGCGACGGGAACTGAGCGCGCCTCGGCGTTTCAATGATAAAAAGGAAGATGTTTCGTTTCAATCGCGCTTCCGTTTCATGGCAATCATGGGAATCCCGTCATCAACCGCGTAGATGAATGGATGGTTTGAATGGTCATAGAGTGGCAATCGGGGTTTGGTGCAGGTCAGTGACAGCCGAGGACGGGAATGCGATGCGAGAAGGAAACTGTGAAAGTGCCGCAGTCCAGTTCCCCGTCACCGTTTTGCCGAATGATTGCCAGACACAAAGGCTGCCAGGACACTGCGCAGTGAGCCTGCACTGAAGACGGCAGAGCGGGGCCTGTCGGACCGCAGATAAGGTATGCTGACAGCTGGCATAAGCGTCTCCACTGGCGGAGGTACAAGCAAAGGTACAAGGAACCTGGAAGTAATTCGAGCAGACTGCAGTCAAAGCGCAAAATTACAAGTCACCAAAAGTGAAACGGAAAGAGTCGAGTCCAGACCTTTGCTTCCTCTCCTGCCAAGCCAGGTCACGGGATCTTGTGGACCGTGCTCTGCGACTTTCTGTTACTGTAGGTAGATTCTGGCCCAGTCTGCACTAACAATTCCGGCGCCACCGCACAACCAGAGAAGTTGTTCACTGCTTCGACTTTACGGACTTTTACAAGACATCAAAGCTGACACTTGACTTTGACCTCAAGAATCCCCCATTGATCCTTGCACTACCAGCCCGTTATGGCCAGCACGCGTGCATAATTGGGATCATCGGGCTATGTGTGTCAGGACAGCTCCAGGTGCAAGTGCCAATCCCCGGAATATGGGAGTCGTCCTCTTCCGTGATCCGGGGATAGCTTCTTTTTTCTCAAACGAGTCGTTCAAGCTGATCACAATCCACCGAGTTTCATCGGGCGTACTCAGCCAATCACACATGACCGAGATTAGGTGTGCCCCAGGCCACTTACACGCCCAGTTTCAGAATGCCAAGCCCTCTGTTTCAACTGTTTCGAAAATTACCGAGTTTATGAGTCGTTACAACAACAACTCGAGAGACTCGACAAGTGTCACAGCCATCCATACCTCTAGCTACCAATGGAGTTCAGAAGGATATGGCTGCTTGCGCGGCCAGCCCCTTGGAGTTTCGATGCTCTTTTCTTCCGAGCCTCCTGACGAGGCCTCCTCGTCGGCGTCAACGGTCTAGACAGCAGACCATTTCCCCGTCTTTTGTCTGAGCGGTTCTGGGTTTGAATCTATATTGCCTCTTTCCTGTCCTTCCAACAACATAAAAGATGCAATATTGACATCCAGAGCTTACTTTGTCTGTGTTTTCCCATTCGCTTCTGCTATAGTCTACCACCTGGCGTGGTGGTTGCCCTATTATTCTGTCTTTTTCACTCCCATCACTCCCTCACAATGCCTGTCCTTTTCAAGCTTTTCATCCTTAGCGTCTTGCTTTCCCTGGTGGTGGCTGCGCCATACACCAAACGCTCATTCAAAGTCGAACGGATCAGGAATCCGAACTTCAAGGCACGCAATGGCCCCAGGGAGCTGTTGAAGGCGTATCGGAAATACCGAATGCCAGTTCCACAACCCCTACTTGATGCCATGAACGCCCAGAGAAACGGCACCACACCAACAATCACATCAATAACCCAGGAAGACTTCTCCGAGAGCTCCACGCCCGACACCTCGCGGATAGATGCCATTGGTGGCAGTGGTAAAGCGGCGGCAGGCACAGAGGCTGGTGCCGTCACAGCCACCCCTGAACAGGACGACGTCGAATATCTTGCTCCAGTCACCATTGGCGGTCAAACCATCAACCTCGACTTCGACTCGGGCTCATCCGATCTATGGGTCTTCAACACACAACTCAGCCCCCAGATAACAAACGGCCATCAAGTCTACAACCCTGCTGCATCCAAGACCTTTAAATTGCTGCAGGGACAGACATTTTCCATCAGCTATGGAGATGGCTCTGCTGCTGCCGGCAATGTTGGTACCGACGTGGTTGAAGTTGGCGGTGTCGCTGTCCAAAACCAGGCAGTCGAGCTTGCCACCCAAGTTTCCCAGACATTCATCCAAGATACACAGAACAACGGCTTGCTTGGCCTTGCCTTCTCCAAGCTCAACACTGTCCAGCCTCAGCAGCAAAAGACCTTCTTCGACAACGTTCTCCCCTCTCTCGCCGAGCCCGTTTTCACTGCCGATCTCCGCCATAACGCTGTTGGTGCTTACGAGTTTGGCCGCATTGATAACACAAAGTTTACGGGACAGATGGCATGGATCCCCGTCAACACAGGCATGGGCTTCTGGCAGTTCACAACGTCTGCCTTTTCCGTTGGAAACGGCCAAGCTAAGAAAGTGGCACCGGCACAGGCTATTGCCGATACGGGCACCACTCTGATGCTTGTTTCCCAAGCAGTGGCCAACGCCTATTATAGCCAGGTCCAAGGAGCTCAGAACGATCCAAATGCGGGAGGAGTCACATTCCCTTGCAATGCAAACCTTCCGGATCTCTTCGTGGATGTGGGCGGGCGGTATATGGCCCGCGTCAAGGGCGACGACATCAGATTCTCCCAAATCGATGCTACTAGTAAGTCTATACCATCTCCTTACGACAGAGCCATATGCTAACATCTATGCTTCAGCTTGCTTTGGTGGTGTTCAGCCCACGACATCTGGGTTGGAAATTTGGGGAGACATCTTTTTCAAGTCTCAGTTCGTCGTTTTCAACGGCGGTAACAACTCACTCGGTATGGCCCAGCATGTGTAGAGCACATGCTCCATGCCGAAGAGTAATGACCGCTATGACGTGTTTTGTGCGAAAATGATTGAATATAGTATACTTAATAATATCATTTTGAAGAACCGTCCTTCGGGATCTATTGCCTTGCTTTAGCTCAGCCGGTGTAAGTTATGTGATCACTCAACTCAGTTTGACTTGTGACCTCCGATGTCAAGTGGACAACTGATTTTGCACGGCCTGTCTCTCAGCTACATGAACCTCGGCGTCTTTCCTCGAAAACACGGTATATGGATGATTGGTGGGAAGATTTATACGTATGCATCGCACCAAGAACTCTGGTTGATCGTTTCCGCGAACCATTTCCGATCTCGTCACAAAGTTGCATTTGCCATACGGCCTAAACCCGGTCCCCCGCACTCAATCCGACATCACAGCCAGGAACATACATCACGCGAACTTCAAAGGGACCATCCCCCGCATTTCCACTTCAGCACTGACGACTGTGGCTTCGGCGTGAGCTTCTCTTGGTATCATTTCCCCAATCCCGAAAACACGGTGGGAGTTCGGCCTTTCTCAGGGGGCGGGGTGTTACACAGCGCGAAAAGAGGCTACATGTCGCCTAATCAATATATGGCAATGCGGCCCGGCTGTTGTCGGTGGCCACAACCGTTCGGGATGCTTCCTTGGCCAGTTGAAGCACATAGTATTCGCTCGCCTCGTGTCCTTCCGAATCTCCACAGCATCTCGTCCACTGCCGGAACTGCACCCCGCCATTTATCTCGCACATGAAGCATGACCCCAATGCATCACGACGATCATTCGGGGCCTCAGCGCCCGATGTCTTCCAGTCTGAATCCAGGTCTTGCATGCCCGGAAGATCGTATTGAGGATGGGTTTAGGTAAAGTGGCGGTAGCTATCCGTCCAGGAAGCTCGCCGTGGTTCCGACTGGGCATTTCTTGGGCGTCAGTATAAGAGAAGGTCGTTTCTTGGTCCGGGGAGACGGGAGAATGGGTTTGGCCTTACGGAAGGAACTCAAGCCTGGCTGAAGAACAGGGACACAACACTCAACACAGAGCCCACCATGCACCTTTTAATATTCGCGGTGTTGGCCACGTCCTCCCTCGCCTGGGCCGAGACCGGCGAGAAGCAAGCTCGTCAAGCTGGTTCAGGTTCTGCGGCATGGGACGCTGCCTACTCCCAGGCAAGCACTGCTCTCTCCAAGCTATCACAACAAGACAAGGTCAACATCGTCACCGGAGTCGGTTGGAACAAGGGCCCCTGTGTTGGTAACACCCCAGCAATTGGATCCATCGGCTATCCTCAGCTGTGTCTACAAGACGGCCCTCTTGGCATTCGGCTTGCAGGAAGTGTCACCGCGTTCACACCCGGTATCCAAGCCGCTTCAACATGGGATGTCGAACTGATTCGACAGCGCGGCATCTACCTCGGTGCGGAAGCTAAAGGCGTTGGCGTACATGTCCTTCTCGGACCCGTCGCCGGACCACTTGGCAAGATCCCCAATGGTGGACGTAACTGGGAGGGTTTTGGTCCGGATCCCTATCTCACAGGTATTGCAATGAGCGAGACCATTGAAGGGATCCAGAGCAATGGTGTCCAAGCTTGCGCCAAGCACTTCATCCTCAACGAGCAGGAGACGAACCGCGAGACTATCAGCAGTGTCGTCGACGACCGCACAATGCATGAGCTCTACCTCTTCCCTTTCGCTGATGCTGTACACTCAAACGTTGCAAGCGTGATGTGCAGCTATAACAAGGTACGTTTTCCCCGGTCTCCCTTGGAAGCTGAAGGACTTGAATGACTGACATGCTTCCAGGTCAATGGCACGTGGGCATGCGAGACTGACAAGATCCTAAATGGCCTTCTAAAGAAGGAGCTGGGCTTCAAAGGATATGTCATGAGTGACTGGAACGCCCAGCACACCACGAACGGCGCTGCAAACAGTGGTATGGACATGACAATGCCTGGCAGCGACTTCAATGGCAAGACGATCCTGTGGGGACCACAGCTCAACACCGCCGTCAACAATGGCCAGGTCTCCAAAGCAAGACTGGACGACATGGCCAAGCGCATTCTTGCATCGTGGTATCTGCTCAAGCAGAACTCAGGCTACCCGGCCACCAACCTCAAGGCCAATGTCCAAGGGAACCACAAAGAGAACGTTCGCGCAGTGGCAAGAGATGGTATTGTTCTGCTCAAGAACGACGACAACATCCTACCGCTCAAGAAGCCCAGCAAGCTGGCAGTCATCGGGTCATCTTCCGTCGTAAACCCGGCCGGAATCAACGCCTGCGCCGATCGTGGATGCAACACCGGTGCGCTCGGCATGGGCTGGGGCTCTGGCACAGCCGAGTACCCCTACTTCGTAGCACCCTACGATGCTCTCAAGACCCGGGCACAGTCCGACGGAACCACCATCAACCTTCTCAGCTCCGACAGCACCAGCGGCGTAGCCAACGCTGCCTCCGGAGCAGATGCCGCACTAGTCTTCATCACCGCCGACTCCGGCGAAGGCTACACCACCGTCGAAGGCGTGACCGGCGACCGTCCAAACCTCGACCCCTGGCACAACGGCAACCAGCTAGTCCAAGCCGTGGCGCAAGCCAACAAGAACACCATCGTCGTCGTCCATAGCACCGGCCCCATCATCCTGGAGACCATCCTCGCACAGCCGGGCGTCAAGGCCGTCGTGTGGGCCGGTCTTCCCAGCCAGGAGAACGGCAACGCCCTCGTCGATGTCCTGTACGGCTTGGTCTCTCCGTCGGGTAAGCTGCCGTATACCATCGCCAGGAGCGAAAGCGACTACGGCACTGCAGTGCAAAGGGGAGGAACGGATCAGTTCGCTGAGGGTCTGTTTATCGATTACCGCCACTTTGATAAGAATGGCATCGCTCCCCGGTATGAATTTGGTTTTGGTCTTTGTAAGTTTTTCCCTTTCCTGTCCCCTTCCATACTAAGAACAGTCCACTTACCTCTGTATGCCAACAACAGCCTACACAAACTTCACCTACTCCTCCCTCTCCATCACCTCCACCGCCTCCTCCGGTCCCGCCTCGGGCGACACCATCCCCGGCGGCCGCTCCGACCTCTGGGAGACCGTCGCGACCGTCACCGCCGTCGTCAAAAATACCGGCGGTGTGCAGGGCGCTGAGGTGCCTCAGCTGTACATCACGTTGCCGTCTTCGGCGCCGTCGAACCCGCCCAAACAGTTGAGAGGGTTCACGAAGCTGAAGCTCGCGCCGGGGGAGAGTAAGACGGCTACGTTTAATTTGCGGAGGAGGGATCTGAGCTATTGGGACACGGGGAGGCAGAATTGGGTGGTGCCTAGTGGGAGCTTTGGGGTGGGGGTGGGTGCTAGTTCGAGGGATTTGAGGTTGAATGGGAAGTTTGACGTCTCATGAGTCTGTCGAGGGGAGTAGGGGAGCTAAGCCCTTGCCTAGCTACCTGTTTTTGGATGTGGCCGTATGGGTGATGGGTTTTGGATGACATAACCTTTAGGGTAAAAATTTGGAATGCTTATATCTTCTTCAGCTGGATATGTGTGCTGACGTTTCGGCACCTGTGCAGTCTCGGACTTGAAGACCAGTTTCTAGTAGAAGAAAGGTCTAGAAACAAGCCTGGGTCTTATCAGCAGACACCACAGTTCATGATCATGTGGTCGAACATATCGATGGGTTCGAAGTCTCCGCGGATGTTCGGATCTTAGCCTTGCTCTCTGGGCTTAACCTTCTCCCTCTCACCCCCAGAGTCCCACGAGATTCACGTCTGCACAGGAGAGGCACAAGTCAAATCCCGTGTAGCATCAGCCCATCAACTACCACCGCCCAGCCTCCCCACAAGCCCTTTATGTCATAATCAGCTCCAATCCACAGGCAATAGAGTAGTTCGCAGTTGGATCATCACCTCTTAAACCTCCCCCCCCCCCCCCCCCCCCCCCCCCCAAAAGGACCGCGCATTGTCATCCAGAAGCAACGGCCTAAGCCGAAGCAACCAACCGGCATCCCGTCCCCGGATTCCATCCCATCTATTGACTTGAGAACCATGTTTCATCTTCAACAACCCCCATCTGCTCATGGTGCCGGGATCAAGGGGCGATGGTAACTTCTCATGTCACACGATGACATGCCTGTCTCCGGACTTCGGCTGTGGTACCACGCATGCTCCGAGGATGTTGAAGGTCAGCCACGGCAACTACATACCCTCCCTCATTTCCCAGATACGGTACTTCAACTCCCTTCCGCGTCATCTCTTCGTCGTTCCCCCCATCAAGCAAGAGCTGAAGCTTCAAAGCTTCGAGAACTAGCTCACTGTCTCTGCTGTGCTTGTACGTAGCCGGCGTGGTCGGTAGTCAAGAGTGGAGTTGACAATGTAACCGGCCTGCAGCTAGCCTATCACCAAGACCGCGAAGCTAATGGGGGCACACCTAACAAATAACCTGTTGTTCTTGCCCTCCGCGTGCCTCCGCACGGCGTGCGCCCTGCATCCCTGGAATCCCGCCTGCTTTGATTGGGAAAGAAGTTCACACCAAACCCACGAAATGCGCTCACGGGTGTGTCAGACTGCCAGTGTGTGTTCGTTCGTTCACCCGCCCTTCGTTCGTTGTTCCCCTCACTTCCAGACCCTAGTGGGGGGATGGAACATTCATGAGGGGATTGCATTAAAAATAAGTTCAGGGCGACAGGGCGTGACGGCGTGGCTGGCCCCTTATTCGTCTCACCATGGCACTAGTGACTAGTGTCGATGCTACTGTAGGCTTGTTGGGCTGCTAGAGGTAGTGCTGGGCAGTCAGCGTAGCGCCACTACCGCGGGCAGCAGGGCTTGGGATATAAGAATTGAACTTCCCCTCAAACTTCAACCTGATGTTTTCCTTCTTCTTCTTTTTAAGACTCTTCGACTTCAAATCAGCCCTGAACGAACATCACAAACTCACCAACTCAAACAAACCCCCAACAACAATAATCATGTGCGGAGACTCTTGCTCTTGCGGTGACAGCTGCAGCTGTGCCAACTGCACCACGCACAGCAAGTAAATACATTTGACGATGCAAAATTGTAAGTGACACACGTCTCCCATCTTCACGTTCAACTGAATCAACCCCTAACACCATCCAGAAAACAATTCCCAACTGTGTCAAACCCGACATCTCCATCTTCTTCCGACGTTTTCCGATTATCTCATCAAGACATCGCCTCTCATTGAACCAACTGGCAAGGGGGAACCGGCAACACCGACATGGAGTATCACCTCACCACCACTCAAGAGTTCCTTATGAATCGGTTCCGAGATTCGGTCTGACTGGAAGTGATGGACATTCGAGGTTACCACACTGGGAAAGCTTGTGATGGATGAACGACTCGTTGTGCTGCATTAGACAGGCATTAGCGTGAGCTTAAATCCAAGGAAGATGGACCAACTTTCTTTTTCGTTCCTCCCCTGATCCCACAACTTTGTGGAACCGGGTTCGAATCACTGCATGCCCGGATGGGGGTTCCGGTGTTTCGACCGTGCAGGTTTTTTGCCTGGAGTTATTGTGAGGGGGGAAACTTGCTTGTTTTATTGTGCTCGTATGTTGCTCATTCATTCCTATTCGAAGACGGAACGGGCTGGGAAAGGTGAGTGGTGAAGTCGTGCCCCTCGTCCCCTTCTAGCTCCTGTGTCAGCACTGGAGTCAAGTGTCAACATGAGATCACTCCTACAAATCGTTATCTTCAACACTGGAATATCTTTCTCATATGCCAGCCAAGTTGCGGCCCCGAGTCTCAACCTTCCAAATTTCATGATATCAGAGCTACATCCCATGATTGACAGTGATACCAACGAGAGACGCCCGGTGAGTGCTCCTGGAGCCCACAACATCTGTCTCGAAAGGCAAGCCCGGCACTAGAGCTCGCCACGCACTAGTCAAGTCAAACGCCCACCTTTCTCTCCCTATACATCAAGTTACCCACAAAGCGACGAGTCCAGCTGTTAGGGCTGAAGATGAATCTGGAGATGACCAATAATTCATAACGAAGATCCCGTATCTCCCAAGGGTCACGGACGTCAAAATCACACCACGGTGCACCGTATCGCAACATCATCGATTGGTTCTCCCATCTAAAACTTTGTGAGAACGTGAAACGGACACTGGTGCAACCGACAGATAACTTTCCCATCGGAGTGGCCGAGCCGCGAGACAGAATGCCATTTGGCCATCTCCAAGCACAGGCACAAGCTTAATGCTGTTTGGCACCTCGCAACCCACCAGCAGCATGTCGTGGAAGTAGCAGCCAACCCGTTCCCATCCCACAATCTCATTGGGGGCTTGATGGGATATGGCCTTATGGCCTTAAGCTCAGCTGCCCTCCTCAACCGTTGGATTTCTGTGATGCCCCAACGTCATCCAATGCACGATTAGCCACCACCATCACCGGTAGATATAATTCTCCGATGTCACTTGTCTCAGATGAGATATATAGCGATGTAGGGACTTGAGGTGATATGCACGATTGGTTTATACTGGCATAGCCACGCCTTGTTCGTTGAGTAGGCGGAGAGATCTCAACTTGGTCAGGATTCTAGAAACATCGAACAATCTACACACCCAGTGACCGAGATGTAAGCCCACGATGACCACCAAAGGCAAAGTCAGGAGAAGGACTGAAGGAGAATCCTTTAAAACCTTCCTCCAACTAGCCTCTAGTCCACCCATATCCCCTCAATCTCAAGTCCTCAACAGCTCAAATTCCAAGACAGCAAAACACACCATCTTTGACAACCTCAACCACAACTTTAAACACCCACATCCACACCCACACCCACCTCTCACTTTTCACTTCCACTTCCACTCACTTCCACTTCCACTTCCGCTTCCCACCTCCAAGCCACCCTCACCCAGTCAGTCACCCTCACCAGCACCACCAAACATGTGCACCCAAACAATCACCCAATCCCTCTGCTCCCACTGCAAGGAGCTTCTCCTCGAAGTAACCACCGAAGAGCGCTGTGCCAAAGTCATCCAAGCGCAAGCCTACACCTTCTCTTGCGGCACCAAGAAGACGACCAAGGCGAGAGAGTACCCGAGGAAGTGCGCTTCATGCGTGAAAAAGGAGCGATCAGAGAAGCCGGGGATGGAGAGATCAGGTAAGTTGTGTGCAGTGAAAGGAAGAGAAGGGGAAGGAAGCATGATGGCAACGTCTTCTACAGCTACAGCTACCCCTTTGTTCAGGTTATTGGCTGACCTGTACCCCTTCTAGCGTCGGCACTCCTGTTGAACCCTCTCCTCGCTGGTCGCGGCATCCGCTGCCACTCATGCCCGTCTCTTTGGCAGCTGGGAGGACGAAGTCGATGAGACGGAAGGGCATATATGTGTCAGTCAGTCAGTCAACTGAGCGTTAAAAGATTGGGGGGGGGATCCCAGCCCATTCATTGAAGGTCATCAAATCCGAACGAAATGACGACAGATCGGAAACTTAAAGGAGTGGAAGAAAAGCAGGAATCGACGAAGACACAACTAGCAAAAAAAGAAAGAGTCTCGAAAGAAGAGGGAAAAAAACATACAACACCAGGGATTCGCTGGTCGTCACCGACCCAACTACTAGTCTGGCCCTCACTGGCTTATCTATGGGAGAGCGGACGGGATCCCGAGTTTTCCAGTGGGTATGGTCGTATGTGCTTGTTTCCTCAGAATGTGGAGTTTATCAAGCCAGATGGAATCCTGTGGGCCTCTCTGTCCTTGGCATATCCTTCTTTCTTACGGTCGAGGATACACTCCATGGTCTATAGAGCCTCCACAACACATAGAGCTGTCTGAGAATAGATCGAGATTAGATGTTAGCTGCTTCTGGCATGTCCTTCGAACCCTCCTACCTATCCCATTCGAGTGATGCCTGAGTCAAACTCCTGGTCTTCCCCATAGCCAATCCCATGATGAGTTGCCGGCAAACCCAGACAGAACCATGATTCCCTGCTAACAAACTCTTTAGCTCCCTCCGCCCTCCCCCCTTCTCCTTATCACATTATCCTCGGAAATGAAGACCTCCAAAACACAAACCTCGAATCCTCCACACCCAACCCTCCAAACCTACCCACCCTCACCCTCGGCCTCCCAATGCCCAACTCCCTCCTCCCCTCTACCAGCTCCTCAAACACCCTTCCCCATTGATGCCTCCTCACTTGAGCCCACTCGTTCGGATTCACCTCCACCGACCTAAACAACCCAATGAACTGCTTCACGCTCCTCGCCATCACCGGACCCCGGGAGAATTCCGCATCTGTAGCTGCCCGATCCCATCTTTCCCACAGGTCAAGGACCTCGCTCATGCCTGTAAGAACGATGCAGTCATCGGTTACTGGGCTTACCCCGGTATCGAAATGCGAGAGGTGATGAATGCGGATGTAATGGCGAATATCCTCTTGCTCGGTGGGAAAGGTGAGGGTGGATCGAATACGCTCCTCCCAGGGCATGTGCCCGGTGTTGTTTCGGTCGGTAAGCTGGTAGAAGTTGTCGACGGGCTCAAGGACAACGCAGGGTCTGCCTTCGTGGGATCTCTTGACACTCAAGCGGACGATGAGTCTCAGACCGTGGTGAGGCCGGGCGCGTGGGAGGTTGCTGTACGTGTACATGGTGTGGTTAGTCCTAGTTTTTTTTTTTTTTTTTTTTTTTTTTTTTTTTTTTTTTTTTTAGCTGTTGTTGATGTTCGTAAGTGGTTGGATGGACAAGTTTGAGCGGTTGACTTGAAGCTCCGCGCCCTTCGACCAGATATATAGTCAGACAGTCGCCTCTAAGTCCATGAATTCCTATCACTTCGACGATTCGACCGGCCAATGCGTCTGTTTGCCATGTTCAACCACCATTTTTCAAAGGATCTCTGTTGTGGTCTAGGTGTATGTCAAGGAATGTGCATTGACAACAGGTGAAGGAATTGGAAGCTGGGAGACATCATTAGCAAACTAGAGACAAGAATGAATATGCTAATGGGTGACGCATGAGGGCGCCGCAGAGCGGTTATGTACATAGTGCCTGGCATTGTGCTTTTGTAGCCCAGCTTCGACGTGACGAAACAGCTATCGTGCGCAAATCAGTGGAAAAGCGAGGCGAGGAAGCGAGCCATGAAGAACAGAGATGAGATGTCAATTTGACGGGAATTGACCCAGAGCTAAACAAACGCCAAAGTTGAGTATCAGAGAAATGCAAACCATGCCCCCCGTCACAGCCCATAAAACGTAACATTTCGAGGAAAGGAACAAGTGTTGCCCTGCAACACAGAAGAGAAGAATCGGTCATGATCAAAGTCGTGTGGACTTTTCAGACTTGCGGTTCCAGGTTCATATCCTCTATTGGTCCTTGGCCTTCTTGCCCTTGGCGAGGTACCTGTACACTCAATATTAGCATTGTGGAAGATATTGTAGTTGTCGCATCGAGGTAACGTACCCGCTGAATACACTCTCGAAGACGGCGACAGCGGCGAGGATACCAGCGCCACGGCCGGCATGCTGCCACGTGAACTGCCTGCGGTCGTAGAGGCCCCAAGCCCTGTAGCCGAGCCATCCACTAAGACCAACAACGGCGAAAAGGTTGACGGCAGCGAGAGCACCAGTGGTACCATCGCTCAAGCTGGCGAACTGCTTGGTCAACCAGTTGTCGGCCTTCTTGGCCTTGCTCTTGGCCTTCTTCTTCGCGAGGTCGGCCTCAGCGCGGGCCTTGGCCTTGGCCCTTTCGGCCTCCTCCCTGGCTGCTTGTTCCTCCTGCTCGACGCGGGTGGCCTGGGTCTCGGTCTGGATTTCCTGCTCTTGGAAGTCGGAAGGGACGGTGTGGACAGAAGGGGTATCGACGTCGATCAGGGAGGAAGTGGAGGTAGACTCGTCAACCTCGATCTGGGGAGGGAGAGGGGCAGCAGCCTGAGTGAGAACAAAGGATATGTTAGAATCGTTATCTCATGGTGCGCGAGCCAATTACAGAATCATTGCTGGGCGCGTAGCAAAGGAAAGCAGAGGTAGCGATAACTTACCTCCTCGGGAGTCTGCTTGGGGCCCTTGGCAGCAATCTCAGCATAAGACACTGTCACGAATGGTGGTTAGCTATGTTCTCGGAAGTGTCGCGTGGTTTTGGGCTCGGGCAGATATGCCGCGCAAAGCCGCGGAGAAAGGCAGAACTTACTGTTGATTGATTGTGGTAAAGGTGTTTGTGTGTTGATTAAGCGGTAGATGGGAGAATGGGAATGATCGCAAAGGTGAGGCGACGTCGAAGATTTGTTCTTGGATGTTCTTGAAGTTGGTGATGATCTGGGGAAGGGAAGCTCTTGGAGTTGACGGCCGAAAGGATTTGTATTTAGGGACGAACAAGCACGGGATTGGATGAGCGTGAGGTCACTTCGTCAACCAAGGAACGTGAAAAGCCGGAGAAGGGGCTTGGCAAACGTTCGGATACGATTGATTCAAGGCATGCAAACGGCCTTACGGCCCATGTCAATTTGGCAGTCACATTCAGTGGTGCGATGCCCCGTGCCTGCTTGACTTTTCGCTTGAAGACGGGAGCCTGATGCTGGCTGCAAAGAATCGTGACAGCGCATGAACGGGGAGCTCCAATTCCAAAACGGTGACGCAACCGGACGGAGCCAAGGTCAGCTCACCACCCCGGAAAACAGGCCCCAAAACAACCCCGCTGCCCCGCTATACCCACTAAAAAGCCCAAAATGGAAGCCAGCACAGCTGAGCACCCATGTCGCGAATGACGTCTGCGGCTCCGCTAGCACGCCTTTTTAGCTTCCAGGCCTCTCCGATCCAAGCAACCTTGGAGAATGTCAACACAGGGAAGTTCCCCTGGCATCGGGAGACGGCGGGACGTCCCAAGGTGTCAATTGGGTTGAGGTTGAACTGGTCCCTGATCAGCATGTCATTCTCCGTTTTCCTCTTGAAGACGGGCCGTTGAAAATGATAAGCTGTAGGAGCTATTCTAGGTAACGGAGGCCCTCCGTCGTCGACAGCAACACCAAGTATGAGCATGGGATATGTCTATTTTGCGCTTGCATTACATGGTATGAATACACAAAGTCGTACATTGCCCTTCAAAAGCGGAAGGCAAACCAACCTCAACCCTCTCGCATGCGCCTCTAAACTCCCATTATCCCAGATGATACTAGCCAGTCGCTGACTGTGGTCGCCATCGTTGCGCCTGTCTTCTCCCTTTTCTCTCTCTCTCTCTATGCCATATGTCAAATCGTACAGAGCAATGGTACTAGAAGTTGTAGAAACAGCAGCAACAGGCTAGCTGTGTGTTGTTTGTCATTGTTCGTCGTCTGTGTATTTATTGCTGCTTCTTGCCCTTGTTGGCAACGGTAGCATCGTGGGCGGCGGTGGGGACGACCTCGGAGGTCTTCTCGGTGGTAGCATCGTAGGCAGAGGCAGGGACAGCAGAAGCAGCGGTCTCGGGAGCCTTCTCCTGCTTGTTCTCGACGGGAGAGGCGGCGGCGGGAAGCTCAGGCTCCTCCTTGGCGGGGGTGCCCTCGGCGGCAGGGGCAGGGGCAGAGGCGCGCTCAGCCTCCTCGTCGTCAGCTAGCTCGGCGCCGTAGACCTCGGGGTACTTGCGGAAGCAATCCTGCATGTGACTGTTGGATAGTTAGCTTTCAATGTTCCACCTCGATTTCGACTAGAGGAAAACGTCGGCGACAGCTCTGGGTACGTACGAGAACTTGTCAATGCACTCCATGCCCTTAGGCTCCTCCGTGGAGTAGACGAAGCAGCTGAAGGCAGCCTTGAACTCCTCGCCACAGGGGCCGTGGGCCATGCCACCCAGGCACGGGCAGTCCCAGTTGATCTCGCCGGTCTCGGGGTTGAAGGCGCCCTGGGCATCGGCCTCCTGTTGGAGAGCCTCAGGGGTGGCACCAGCCTCGGGGATGACACCCTCGGTGGACTCGGACTTGGGCTTGGAATCGCCCTCGGGGATGGCCTCAGCCTCGGCCTCGGCCTTGGTGATCTGTTCCTCTACCGACTCGGAAGGTGTCGCCGGGGTGGCAGCGGCCTTAGCGGCAGCCTGGGCAGCCTTCCTGGCGGCGGCATGCTCGGCGGCCTGGCGTCTCTTCTCTTCGACAATGGCGTCGACGGTGGGAAGGTCGGCGTCGGTCAGCTGGGAGGGGGCGGTACCGGCGGTCTCTGTGCGAATTGGCCCATGTATTAGCATTGGCGCATTGTGTGGTCGATAACACGACGGAGAGGCCGAGGGTGCGCAATAAGGTTGCTATAGCTAAAAGGGGCGCATACCAGCAGGCACATCGGAAAAGATGGGGCTGGTGTTGTAGTAGTAAACGGCAGCGACGGCGAGACCCCATCGTACGGCGGCACCCTTCCATGTGCTCTTCTTGGGCGCGGAGGTTGTGGAGGCGAAGCGGCGGGCACCGGAGGAGACGAGGGCCGACGGGGAGGTGGTGGGCCGGATTGCGCGCAATGCGCTTTGCGAGGGGCGGAGAGCCGTGCGGTACATTGTGTCGTCGGTGTCGGGACTCGAAATCAGAAAGACAGGCGCAAACGGTCGGAGGAGACGTCGAGGAAAACGAGGGTCGGACGGTGCTTCCGGAGCTCCACGGGTCCGGGAATCAAGAGGTTTGTCATCACTTCCAGAATCCGACCGACAAAATTTCTGGCGATGCTCCAGTGTAGGCCAACCGGCCGACCGACCGGGCGGGCCAGGGCGTTGTTACTCCAATTCACTATCTGATTGGTCACACCCGCTTAAAAGTGGCACCCGTGTCCTTGAGAATGTCATTGTTTGAAGCATGTGCAGCAGATGAAATTGGAGAAGAGACGAATAAATACATGGCGACGTTAGATTGATCAAGAGGAGATTCGGGTTTAATTTTCGACATACGATCAATACAAGATTAGGAACATGGCGAGAGTAGTCTTGAGGCAGCAAGACATCTCAACTCTGGACTTGCATCTCTAAAGCTTCTAGAGGGTTGGGGTTCGGGTTGTCTATGTGTGCAGCGTATGAAGCTATTACAAGCTCGTCTTTCACAGATATCTGCTGCTGGTCGTCGACACCACTGCATGCTGTAACGCCGGACAGCCCACCGGAAGCGCCGAAACGGGCCTCGGGGCAGAGACAAACAGCACAACTTAATATATAACAACCTCTGTTCTTGGATCAAACTAAGTTCGGATTAATAAAGCTTCCCTCTCACTTACGTTCACCACTACCCAGCTCTACCAGCTGAACAACTACAGAGGGTGTGCAATACATCCGGATGAAACAATGAGCACAACCAACGGCGCCACACAGACAACCGGGGCGACCGGTGAGGACCAGATTTTCGAATGGTATCCCATTGATTTGTTACGGGATTATGAGCAGCAGAAGAAGGATCAATTGCAGAATGGCTCAAATGGAACCACTCACAAGACCGGACGATTCGCACTGGTCGTTCTCAACCAACCACTTACTCATTTGGGGTTGGTAAAGCGCCTGTGGAAGAACGGTATGTTAAGGCGAACAGTCAGATGAAAAGAAACGGGTATTAACATCGAACTCCCACAAAGCATCTATCCGCGTCGCTGCCGACGGAGGCGCAAACTGTCTTTATGACGTCGCCGGCAAGAACGGCGACCATGAGTTTGTAAGAGACATCATCACCACCTCTTCACCTCATCCAAATTATCACTAACAACAACCTTCAGGATGACCTCACAGCAATCATAGGCGACCTCGACTCCCTCACCACCGAAACCCGCACTTACTTCACCACCCACTCCTCTTCCCCCACCGCCAGCAAAACCGCCATCATCCACGAACCCAGCCAATACTCAACCGACTTCGCCAAGTCCGTTGACTACCTCCGCGGTCCCTCCTGCTCCAAACCCGACGCTCCACCGCCCGACATCGTCGCCATCGGCGGTCTCGGCGGCCGCGTCGACCAAGGTCTCTCCCAGCTTCACCACCTCTACCTCTTCCAATCCTCGCCCACCTACGCCGACGGGCGTATGTACTTGTTCAGCGGGGAATCGCTCACCTTCCTGCTCAAATCGGGAACCCATCGAATCCGGGTGAGGGAACCAGGTCAGACAAACCAGCCGGAGAAAGACGTGTTCGCCAAGTGGGTGGGGATCCTACCGGTCAAAGAGCCGAGCAGGATCTGGACGAAAGGACTGGAGTGGGATGTGGAGGATTGGCCGACCGAGTTTGGCGGGCAGGTGAGCACGAGCAATCATGTGTTGCCGGGGACGGAGGTGGTGGAGGTCAGGGCGACGAGGGATGTGTTGTTTACTATTGCGCTGAGGGACGTTTAGGGGGTGTCCTTTGGTGTGGTGGGGAGGAGACGCATGACGGGGGATTGGTTGGGTAGGGTGTGGTGAGGTAAGAGGCCCGCCCGGCTTGAGAGGAGAGACCAGAGGTAGGAATGGGAGGTTATCTGCTGTGAAATGGTTACGATCCGGTCATTCTTGTTGCATACATGGCGGTTAAAGGGAAAGGGCATATGGTACCTTTTAGATGAAATTGTTCACGCCTTGCTGCCCATGATATTAGACCATGTTTGTTTAGTTAAAAAGTAAACCAGACCAAGCCCAGCACCCAAAACTCCACGCTTGATGACTGTGAGACAGATGCCGCCGTCGCCGGGCCCCATGCCGCAATCTGAACGGACCTTCGCTAAGAGTCCTCCTCCACCGCTAATAAGATAACCCATCAACAATTAGTCCCGTCTGTCTCTTTTTTTTTTCCCCATAAAACCCATGTTTCGACCACCAACGCAGCAACAAGCAAGCTCACCTCAAATAATGCAACACCAACCAACAGAACAAGAAGAAAACCACCACCCCTCCCCAAAAGATCCACTTATCCTGCTTCGCCCTCCTCTCAATCATCCTGATGGTATCGCCACTGATCCCCAGCGTGTTGCCAACCGAGTACAGCTTCCGCTGCGTATTCTTCATGATCTCCCTCTGCTGGTTCAGATCGCCCAGCACCGCCTGGCCCCTCGCAATGTAGTCGTCCAGCGCCGAGTGCGTGCTCCTAAAGAAATCCTGCTCCCTCAGCGCATGCTGCTCGCGACTCGCGTCCCCGGAGCCCAGTACACTGCTGCTGCCCATCCTCCCCGACTCGGCCATGCTATTCGTCCTCGCATGCGATATTCCGTACCCTCCTCCTCCTCCCGTAGCGCTGCTCGTCGCCGTCGCCGTCGCCGACGCCGACGCATTAGCATACGGATTCTCAGGCGTACTCGCCACAAACGGCCTGCGCCCCAATAACTCGGCGCGGTTCTGCGCGTGCATGTGTTCCTCGCGCTTGGATTTCAGCGAGTCCAGCTGCGTCCGGAAGTCGTGCAGCTCGGACCGGAAGTTGCGTATCCTCTCGTAGGCCTTTTCCTGCTTGGCTGCGTTGAGCTCCTGCTTGGCGAGGTGGTTGTACTCGTCGATGGTCCGGTTGAAGGCGGTTAGGGAGGCTGAGAGAGAGCCCAGCGCGGCGGGCGTGAGAGAGGTCGGATCGAGCTCGTGTGAGGAGAGGGCGGCAAGGTCTTTGCGGATGGAGGTGCTCTGCTTGAGAGCTGAGTTGAAGGTTGTGTTCTGGAGAGGGTGGGAAGGGTGTTAGTTGCTTCGGGGACCGTGAAGCTGTTGATGCTGGTTGACTTACCATGTTGGGCTGACTTTCAGGGGTTCATTCGAGGATCGGAGTTTCGAGAAGACAAGCAGGCAGCAATGCTTATCGTTGATGGGAGGTGAGGTGAAGGAAGTATGGTTTATTAGAAGCTATAGGTAATGGATGGATCTCGAAACGATGGACCAGGCAGAAAGGTAGCTTCAAGCTATCTGTTCAAATGCTTCTGGAAGCTTTGCAAGGTGGCATCTGCAATTGTTGGAGTTGCGATTTGGAGCCTGGGATGGATGCTGCTCGTGATTGTCTTGGCGGCCGCATTTTAGCGCTGCGGGTGGGGTGTATCTAAGCTCCCCGCCGGGTCTGGGCACGAGTGTTTGTGGGGAACTGTCCAAACTCCAAAGTGGAGGAGAAGAGGAGGGTTGGGGTTGTCCGTCTTTCCTCCTCAACGTCAACCTCGACCTCATCTTCCTTCTTCATCACGAGCCGGACAACCAAAAAGACATTGATTAAGAGCGCTTTTATCTCACAGTGCACAAGGCTTCGAGAAAGTCAAATCTGCTTCCAGCTGCCCGCATCATCCTGCGTTGGCACCACTTCGACGACCAGGAATTGGCCAATCACTAGCCCGATACACCGAGCCTGCTTCCAACGATTTCCATGTCACGTTTGAGACGGGCGAACTCCACGTGTAACCCTGAGCAGATACGCACCGCGCCAGCCCGTAGTCTGTCTGTTCACACTCCAGCTGGGGCAGCTTGGTGGTCGCGACGCCGCTGAATTGGACCCTGTTTTTGCGCCTTCATTAGCCAACTATGCTTTACCACTCCAGAGGAATCAAGAGGGAACCTACGGATGCTCAGGATCAATGTCGATACAAACCCAATCCGTCTTGATCGCAATCTCCTGAGTCTTGTCATCATATCGGAACGAGCAAGTCTTGGGCGCAAGAGGCTGTTCGCCAGCGCCAAATGAACCAGGATACCAGGTCTCGGCGTCACCCAGTTTGACGTCGTCATGGTAGACGAACACCGGGAAATCAAAGAGGCTGTTCTGGGTGTTGAGACGCACGTTGAAGCTGATGGCTGCCGAGCTCACGTCGTCACCGGTGCTCTTGTCGAGCTCAAAGTTGCCAAGGACCCCTGAGGGAGAGACGACGGAAGAGATGGTGCAACCGTCTACGGTCGGGATGTGATCTTCGATGGAGTAAGGGGCTAGGGCAGTTTCTGAAAGGGCCTGACCTTGGACCGAAACTCTGTCGGCTTGGCAGTATGTGGTGGTCGACTCGGTGCTGCAGTTCAGAGGGAGAGTGGTGCTTCCTGTGCCTGTGATGCTCACTCTGTGGCGTCACTCGGGATTAGCACTCTCTCTTCGACCAAACAAGACGGCCAAAAAAACTTAACGGCTTTGCAGAATCAACATCGTCGCAGTACCACGTCTCGTTGATCTCAAACTTCCAGCTTCTCGGATAAAACACGGCGTCAGTTCTGATATTATACCGACTCTTACGATCTGTGCCCCCGCCGCAGTTGATCTGGAGACGCGGATCCTCTCCTGGGCCAGCCAAAAAGTAGTTCAGGCAACCGACTACATGTCCAGTGGCTTCATTGGTGACTTGGAACTGGATCGACTGAGACTGGATGGCAGACGGCCCGTCCCCAGTCTCGTTGATGAAGATGATAGTTCCCAGTGTCCACTTTGGCGTCTTGGAAAGGGTACCACAGCCTGGGTTCTTGTGCCCCGGCGGTCCTTCGGCGTATGCGGGCGTGATCGCAACAGGTTCTGAAAGCGAGCCCTTTACCAAGTCAACAGGGTTGGATGTCTTGCACCCATCGCCGTCACAAACGAGAGGAATAGATGCGTTGCCAGATGCCCTGAAATGCAATCCGTCGTATGCTTGACGTACGGACTGATACGCTTTCGTAGTCGTTCTGTCATTGCAGTACCACCATTCATCTACGTGGACGATAGCGGTAGTTGCTTTGAGCTCGACTGCCCCAGCAAATGTCAATCCATATTGCGGGCCGGAGGCAAGGCAAGTGCCATCTTCTGCTTGACAGCTTATGTCTAGAGTGTAGTTGGTTGCTCTGTTCACGAGGGTGTAATGCGCATGGTGTTGGGCAAGATTGGCGGTGAAATTGTGGACGAACCAACTTGGGATGGTGAAGGAGTTGGTGGTACAGCCTCCGGGAGCGGGCTGAGTTTGTGCCAGTGCACTCGCGGCCGCGAAAGTGAGGAGGAATATCGACTTGAGTATGGCCATGATGGTGTGCTCTCGAAACACCGCGGTCAGACGAGCTTACTGGACAAGGCGGTTGGGGATGGCAGTGGCTTGATGGGTGAAGCAATCAACGCGAGCAGGCGAGGAGGAAGAGCAAAGCTGCAAGTCTCGTGCTGGCTCACATCTCCAGATGCCGCTTTTCATCTAGATGTTCTCCCCAGGCATTCATGCCGTGTGTTCTATCCAGGCCGCTTCCCCTCACCATCCTACCCGCTGCAGGTACCATGAAGCAATAACGGGGACTTTAGCCTTTGAAAGGGGCTAATACCGGGACTGGATCTTTTCGGTGCGTGCCGTTATCTCGGGCAATTGAGCCTCATGTTGAACCGGCTGGGCTGTTTCACTCGGTGCCATCTCAGAGACGGGACATATCTGGACAAAGACAGTGACGATAAAATAAGGTTTATGGTCCCCACATGAATGCTATGGATAGCACAGCCAAATGCTGAAGGCAGACGGGATGCCGGAGATGGGAGAGAAGAGGGAGCATTGTCACCCCGAACGTATCCGAGAATGACGTACCGGCGACTACTCTCTAAGCACGTGATGGTCTCCGATGGGCTCCGAATCCCGATGGGCTCCGACCACGACTCATGCCCAATTCGGAAGGAGTTGATCGAGAGCAACCGGTCACAACATAACCGCTAGCCTCCGATTTCGGGGCCCTAGCAGCAACCATTGCAGTAATCCGCGACTAACATCACGCGTCTTCTTTGTCAGCGTCATGGTGGATGTTGACGAATAACGCTTCCGCGACTCCGTCCTTGACACAGTCATACACAGATTTTCAGACATCCAAGGCAATTGCGAGGAAGATTGTCTTCGTCCCGGCAAGCACGACCACATCTCGATCAAAAGTCTCCCGCAACTGAATCCGGGATATCCGCCTCTCTCTGCCTTCTCCCGCCGCCACCTTTCCTCCCTTTACACCCCTTTACTCGCGTGTGGGGGCCTTTCTGCCTATTAACAATCCGGGTCGAAGCCCACTGCATCGAGCTATTCCCTCTCCCTCCCAAGAACAAGCGTCTCGTTTTGCGGCATTTCCCGGACGCCAGTGAGTGAGAGAGCCGTCCTCCTTCTCAAGCACCGTCAACAGAAGCATCCTTCATGCCGACTTTCCTTTTATTCGATGAGCGTCCTCGCTCACTCCTCAACATCACCACCAAGTGGTCGTAGTCTCTGCCGATAGTTCGTACCAGAGACACCGGAAATAACCGATGTCCATGCGTCGTTAGCAACTGCCTCCCATGGCTTCCCGCCCAGGGCATGACGGCCCTCAATCGTTGCTTTCGAGTCCCTATAGCTCCGGTTATCAGCGTTCTTCGGTCGAGTGACGGGACGCTGGGAATTCTGTCCCTCTAGGTAAGTGAATGGTGTGCTAAATTTCTCAGCAGATGGGCTGACATTAATTGCACAGCTGGGCTCTTCTCCAAAGCCTCCTTGTCCTCCGTCCTACATCTGCCGTAGAGAGACGTGATTCCCAAGTGCCAGTCACACACAGCTCATCAAGTTCGCTTCTTGCATCGACACACCAAGGGCATCAGGGAGTTGCAAACCAAAAAGAGCTTGTCCAGTGACTAGCAGCTAGCCTCGATTGCCTCATCGCCCCTAGCATTCCGTGATTGGCTCAGCTGAGCTCGCAAAACAACTCAACACCTCGAACGTCTCAGCTTCAGCCCTATGTCAATACGAACCGTCACGCCATAACCCCGAAATATCGACGACCTTCAACGATACCAGCGCGGTGGAGTGATGATTGGGGGTCACCAAACTACCTTCCTAGCTAGGGAGCTGCAGCAAAACCAGGAGCAATTCATCAGGAGAGCCAAGAATTCGTCCATGGCGACAATTCATCAAAGGATGTGATGGCCATGTCTTGGCCGTATCCTCAGGCTGGATTCAAGAATCAGGGGATGGGTTGGGGTATCCGCCTCGCACGGGCCACACGACATGCTTTTCTTCATGGTGGACCTCGTCGTCGAGAACTTCAGTTGGCGACATCATGGGGAAATCCCCATGACGATTTCACGACACATATAAGTCACCTCCCCCAGATCTTCAATTCAGCCTTGAGGCTTTCATCTTCATCTTTCGACGAGTCAATGATCACGCATTGGAGAATGGGATTGGGGTCCATGGACAGGGGGAGGACACTGAGAGGCACCACCCCTTTCGCTCTTCTCGATTGTTGCATGGTTCCTGATGGGTCAACTGGACATTGGATACCCAGACGCAAGGAGGAAAGAGAACGACCATGTTGTTGTCGTCGGCTCACAGAAGGGAGAAACTTGGCATTCCAGCATCAGGTACGAATCCGGACAGCTCCAGCAGGCCCCTGCATTGCATTGGCTCTTATGGTTGTTGCCGCAATTCTTGGCTCTGAGCACGACATCGACACATTTTTCCATTTTGTGGGCCATGCCCGCCCATTGCCTGTTGCATGCGGCGACTGTTAATGAGAAGTGCCAAAAGGCCCCACAGGACCCAGGAATCCCCCCCCCTGTCTCGGCCTTACCCTTTGTTGCCTTCGACTGGATCACATCCCGCAACCCATCAGCCCCATCTGTGTGATCCCTTTTCGAATCCCACACCAACGCCGTCTTGGCGAAGCTTTTTGGATGCCGTACGGAATACGGGGCCAAGACAGGACTCCCAAGTCAACGAATTTCTGAGGAATCTTCCTTCCTGATGGAGATTCTCATTGCGTAAAAGCTGTCAGTCAGCCTTGCGTCTCTGGGCATTGACCGCCTAAGGGTCGTTACGTACACGCTACGCACTAGGGCCCAGTTAGACCGATGTGCTCGGCAGGGTGTCCGATGGCGTGCGGCTCGTTGTTGCACGTTGCATCCACCGAACGCAACTTTGGCAGGTTGACCACACCGAGAACCAGGTTTTGGGTCCACCTCCGAAAGATTCTAGGAGGTCCGGGGTGCCTTGAGACTTCACCACAATGTCGCCATGGGATGACGCCAGGGCCGATCCCTGCGAGCCGCACACACTTTCAAGTTCCTGGTCGACCTTTATATCAAAAGCTCGCAACATATAAACCGGCCTTCGCCCTCTGATCAGCCTCTCCTCTTTATCAACATCAACCAAATCGTCAACAACCCTATCAGGGCCGAAGGGCAACAACACACATTATGGGTTCTTTTGACAAGTTCTCCGACCCGGAGGCTGTCAAGACCGCCCCTGTGGCGATTAGCGACGATGATGGTTCCGTCGGCGGTGAGGTCCAGGCAGCTGAGAAGTTCGCCTTTGGCGAAGACCGAAAGATCGGTATCACCGGCGCCGTCTTCTTGATTCTCAACAAGATGATTGGTACCGGTATCTTTTCGACCCCTTCGGCCATTTTTGCCGCCACGGGCTCCGTCGGTGTCAGTCTGTTCCTTTGGGTTATTGGTAAGTTTACAGTTGGGGAATCTCCATCTTGCCGAGACATGCCATCTCTCACCTTGGGGGCCACTCCGTCCTAACCATATTCCTACACAGGTGGCTTCTTGACCTGCTGCGGTCTCAGCGTCTGGCTCGAATTCGGTCTTGCTATTCCTCGCTCCGGTGGTGAGAAGAACTACCTCGAGTACATCTACAAGCACCCCAAGTACCTCGCCTCCTGCGTTCTCGCCGCGCAGATGATCTTTCTCGGTTTCTCTTCCGGAAACTCGCTCGCCTTCGGGCGCTACATCCTTTACGCCAACAACGGAGAGTCCGAAGACAGCTACAAGGCTCGCGGTATTGGTGTTGCCTGCGCTACCTTTGCCTGCGCCCTGCACGCTTTCCTTCCTAAGTGGGGTGTCCGCTTGGTCAATGTCCTTGGCGTCTTCAAGGTCGTCATCGTACTTTTCATCGTCTTCGCTGGTTTTGCCGCCCTTGCCGGTCATCGCCACGTCCCCGACCCCAAGAACTTCGAGCACGCCTTCCGCATTGAAACGACCGCTACCTACGGTGGTGGTGGTGCTTATGCTTACTCCAACGCTCTGCTCAACATTGTCTACAGCTACAAGGGTTGGGAAAACGCCAACTACGTTATGAACGAACTCAAGGATCCCCGCCGTACCTTGACCCTCGCCGCTCCTATCGCCGTTGCCGGTGTCACTATTCTCTACGTTTTAGCCAACGTTGCCTACTTCGCCGCTGTCCCCAAGGCCGAAATTGCTACCTCTGAGGTTCTTGTCGCTGGTATTTTCTTCAGGAACGTTTTCGGTGACAGCGCCGGTGTCAAGGCCCTTCCCGTTTTCGTCGCCCTCAGCAACTTGGGCAACGTCTTGGCTGTCTCTTTTGCCCACGCTCGTCTCAACCAGGAGTTGGGCAAGGAGGGTTTGCTTCCTCTTAGCAAGTTCTGGGGCTCCAACAAGCCTTGCAATGCTCCTGCCGCTTCGCTTTTCCTGCACTGGCTGATCACCATTATCATCTTGCTTGCTCCTCCTCCTGGACCTGCTTATAACTTCCTGGTCAACCTCTACACCTACCCCGGTGTCTGGATCAACGGCTTCGTTTCTGGCGGTCTCATCTGGCTCCATTTCTTCCGCAGAGATACCTGGAAGCCAACGTGGCGCTGCTGGGAGCCCATCCTCGTTATCTTCTTCCTCCTCAACGTCTTCTTGGCTGTCGTTCCCTTCATCCCCCCTGTTGGAGACTGGAACGCCCAGGGCTACCCCTACTACGTCTTCCCCATCGTCGGTGTTGCCGTTCTGCTCCTTGGTGCCTCCTACTGGTTTATGTGGACCAAGTTCTGGCCCTGGGTTCGCGGACACAAGATCGAGGCGGAGAGAATCATCGACGAGGATGGCAATGAGGTCATCAGGTACAAGAAGATCAAGAGGGCATAAATGCTTTCTCGAAGCGATATCACTATTACGGATCTAATGATGCTGGAGAGAATCATGGACGAGGATGGCAATGAGGTCATCAGGTACAAGAAGATCAAGAGGGCATAAACGCTTTCTCGAAGGGATCTCACTATTACGGATCTAATGATGCTTTTTGGAGTTAAGGGATTTTTTTCGGTTGGAGTTCAAGATACCCTTGTTTATCACATGACTTATCTTTAAATATCTAATAACCCTATTCAACAGAGGGTCTGGCATTTTATATGCCATTATCACTTTTTGTTCCTTTTCAATGGTGTTGCAAGTGACAAAGATGCAGTGATGTTGAGTGCTTTCCTGGGAATATTGTTGGCGTACTCTGTCATTGATGCTGAACAACGGTCCATTACCTTGCACAATCTCTTTGCTCACATACCTACATTAATCGATACCCAATATTCATGCCATAGTCGCAACTTTCAACATCCTGGCTACTTCCAATTTCCAAAGCAAGCACGCAATCGCTCAAATTTTTTTGTGTGCACCTTGTCCCTTACATCTCGCCGCCTGGAACGTTGACCTACCCGGGAACTGCCCGACACTAAAACAGACTAACAGTTCGGCGAACGGGTACCAAAGTAGTGGGGATCCACCTTGTCTAAAGCTTAGCGCCAGGTCCAGCGCTTACCCCTGAGAAGTGTAAACAGACTGATCCCGACTGGGTGGGAAGGATAGACCCACTTGGTTGGTTTGGGATGGGATGGGATGGAAAGGATTACGTATGGGATGCCAAGCGATTTTGATTTGATGTTCGGATGTTGTTGATCAAGTTCAGAGCCGGTCGAGGACAGACCGGTGCGTGTTTAGTCGGGGCGCAGAGGCGGACTTGAGGTTATGGCGAAATTAAGTTGCTGCGTTAGTTTTGCGTTAGAATGGTGCCTGGCTAGAAAGACGTTAGAAAACGCGAGGAAGGTTTGCTAGCTAGCTTAGTTCGGCACGCACGTGCAAGAGGTTCGTTCGGATCTGAAGATGTGCAAGATTAGGTATCGATTATTAGGGCTATACGAAAGATACGTACCTTCTCTACTTCGTCCTTTTCTGGTGGCCAAGCAGTGTCTCTTGGCGCCAAGTCGCTGGTCCAACCCCAAGTCTCTCCTCTTTAAGACTTTCACTACAACTTTACGAAAAATTACTGTATTAAAAAACGGACTTCACCAGTAAATTTAGCGCGCCCAAAAGGGGCCTTTTTATACGGGTTAGCTATATACCGGGTTGTACTGAGATTAATATAGCGGTTGTGAAGAAAATCGCAGATACTTGGGTTTGGTTTGGCTTACAAGATATAGGCGGAAAAGGTACGTATCTTTCGTATAGCCCTAATATTCGTTTCCCAAGATTAACCTCCACGACCGACCGATACAGATACCCGACTACCTACCCGACAACCCGCACCGACAGCCGGTAACATAGGGAGAGTTGAATCAACAACGACAAGTCTGATAGGCTGATACTCACATCTTGTGGGGAGTCGAGAGGGTAGCGTAATAATTACGCAGCTCAGAGGTCGGTAGTGGGTTCTCACGACAGTAGCTTGAGATGTTTGAGGCTATTCAGGACCAATCAGACACTACAGGCAGCGAGGGTATGGAGACTGGGAAGTGGGAAGTGGGAAGTGAGAAGTGAGAAGTACCTCTCGAGTAATACCCGTGGAATACCTTTGCCGGTGAGGCTCTCTCTGTCTTTCCTTCACAAGTTCACACAGCTTGATAGAAATCTGGTGGGAACTGGGAAGGAAGCAAGCACCTTTCTTTACCACGGAGCATGGCTAGAGTACTCGGGATAAAATGCGCCGAAACTTCCTGTTGACGGCGTTTGGGATAGCAAGAGACCATGGTATTCGTTCTTCGATGAAATACTCCGAGAGGTTGAGTGCAGCGAGAGAGAGAGATCAGTGTCAAGCCGGATCTTCCTCCTTCTTCACCTACCCGACGATCGATGGTCTTCCCGTCCCGAGATTGCCGACCCGGCAAGCAACCCGACGACTGCCGGCCGGTATCCAAAGAACGGAACGGACCAGGCTCCGGTCTCTTCCTGTGCACACCTCCCCCAAAAGCCATTCAAAGACCATATACACAGTACCTCCACAGACACTACTCACACATCATCGTTCGACAACAAGTGGGAAACCCTCATTGAGACATTTGACCGAGACTTGACCGAGCTTATGCCAAGGAGGAAAATAAGCCAAACCGGATGCAGCAACCCAAACCAGCGCTGGATATCTATCCCCTTGAACCTTAGATAAAGCAGATCGTTAATGGAAATCCCCAAAAAAAAAATCGCGAGGTGAGCCTCAAGCTCAATTCCAAGTTAGGAGACCTACACACTCGCTCTAGTCAGTCTGTTGATGCAACGAGAGGTCATGAGTAGGCCCACTTGACTTGGCAATGTTCCTCAGTCCTGAGAAGAAATGAGGAAGAAGCTTACCAAGCCTACGGGGCCACTCAATGATCGAAGCAGCATCAACAAGATACCTTGCCATATCTCGGCGGCGATCTGCCATCCAAATCTCCTCTTTCGTTTCCGTGAATTCGATGCTGCATGTTCATGGCGAGTTTCCATCGTCTTGTTGGATAAGATAACGCCATGCGATGACTACCTAGGCATTGTGGGCTCAAGCAGGCGAAGTTTGTCCAAACAATCAGGAAAGACCCGGACATGGAATCGATGAAGAAGGCCTGGAAAGACGACGCGATGTAATAGAAGCCAGAAAAACTTGGAACATGCCGACGACGCAAAGTGATGACCCAGAAAAGGGAGATGCGAAACTGCAACAAAATCGGCTGCAGTGACGAGAAGCCATTCCGACGGCAACTGGCAAGCAAGCAAGCAACCTTGTATGGATGGATCAAAGTGTGATCTCAAACCCGCAAAGCTACCGACCACCAGAACTCCGGCGCTGATGCAGACGCATGCGCTGAGTGATATGCAACGCTGTAACAAGATAATGTCGTCCGTGATGCACTGATAATGCTCCCGCATGCCCGCTGCAAGCCCTAAACCGGAAAGCCCAAAACCGGTTCTCTGGTCTTGGTGCATAGTTGCAGACCACTGCAGACCAAACACAAACCAAGAATCTGAGCATGTGAGTGAGAGTGCGGGGGAGGGACGAATGCAGTCCTACAAACTTCGCCGCCGCTTTTGGCCTCGGGGCTCGGGTGTATGGTTCGGCCTAGGATTCGGCTGGGGCTGCTGGGAAACCGGCCTGGTGGGAGAAACCATCATTCGCCGCCAGAGATTGCCACGCTCGCGGTTGTGAGGAGGGTTGCGAGGCTCTTGGCGAGGTTGCTGGTGAGGCTGGGCGTTTTGCTGAGGCATAGCTCTAGCTTGTTGGTTGTGGTTATTGTTGTTGCTGTTGTTTTTAGCCGCGGGCTGATGGGGATTCAGCTCAGCATGTACGAGCCTCTCCAGCTTTCTCGCAATCTCCAGCTCCCTTGCCCGCTCCCGCTGGCGTAACCTCTCCCGCTCCAACTCCAGCTCCCACACTCGCGCCAGATTCCGCCACCCATCGTGGATTCTTCCTAGAATGTCGAGTCTATGGCGACGACGCCGCAGCTGCTCCTCTTCCGGAGGTCTGTTGTCAACGGCTAAGGCATAATCGGATGGCCTCCAACAGCCTGTGTGCCAGGTGTGGCGCCTGTCGTCCGAGCTGTTATATCTTAGTCAGCAATGTAGTCCATCAGAAACGAGGGGCGAGAAGGGAGTGAGGAGATGAATGGGTTGACCTACCTTGACTGGTTGGAGGCGCCACACCTGTAGCAAAATGACCAGGCACATTTACACCTGATTATGTGGCAGCCCTTAACCAGCTCGACCATGTACCCACACACTGGGCAGAGTTTCCACCCTTGCTCCTTGCCCAGGGCGAGCACCTTGAGTGTATCTTGGTCTTGCTTACAAACTAATCTCGGGTGGTAAGGCTGGCGGCAGTGTTTGCAGGTGCTGGCGGAGCACTTGGGGCAGTGGCCGAGATCGCTCTTGATCAGGGCAGGTTTTATAAAACTGCTGCACCGGGGGTTAGAGCAGTAAAGCGGGTTTGGTGTCTTGATCTCCTCGATCATGTCCTCGTACGCCTGCTTTTCCTCGGAGGACAAGGTGGCACCTGTGTAGTCTTTTGTGTCGAATATCTTGCCGCAGCATCGGAATGGATAACGATCCTTGGTCGCAGTGCGGATACCCTGAACGAGGCAACCGTCGCAGTAACCGTGGCCGGCGTTGGAGGGGTTCGAGTCCGATGCTTCCTCGGAAGGAGAGGGAGGGCAAAAGTAAATTAGCTGGTCCGCGGGAGATTCTTCCATGCAGACGACGCATTCGGGGCTCCTGGGTTCCTTGGGAGCCTCATCGTAGTTGGGAGCCTCATCGTAGTCGACAGTTGTCGAGGTGACGACCATGATGTTCTTCGTATAAAAGGATGTGGATAGCCGCTTCGTTGGGTATCTCCTCAACGGGAGCGTCATGGCCTCGATAGTGTCTTTGCTGCTGGTACGCACCTTTGCTTGAATTTTCCCCCAAGAGGCGGAAATACGTTCCTTAAGGCGCACCATTTCCGAGAGGATGAGTCTGATTCTTGTTTTGGTTATGGACAAATTGGTTTCTGGGGTGTCTTATTCGCTGAAACCGAAACCGATGCGGGGATGTGGTTGAATGCTCAACAGCCGTGGAGTAAATAAGATGGTAATGCCAGAATATCCGGAGGTAATGGTTTTGTCAATGACACGGACATTTAGTCTTGTGGGTTATTCTGTCCGGGGGCTCTTTTACTTCTTGGTGCGGAGCAGATGGCGAGTATGTATCAGTAATCCTGTGCAGTTTCGGACTTGATGGAGGTTGTGACGAGAACCAAAAGGGTCTGATGACAGTAGCAAGGAGCTTTTATATGATAGCTATGGCTTATGCCTGGACCATGGTGCTTTTCACGAGCATATGTCTGCAGGAAATGTGGGGGATGCTGCAATAACTCATGCCCTCTTATCAGACACATGAATGACCAACTTGCCATGCGTCTTGCCCTTCCTGAGGTCCCTGAAGGCTGTCGGAACATCCTCAAACTCATAGGCATGCTCGACTACGGGCTTGACTTTGCCCTCTGCGACTATCTGGCCGAGTATAGCCAAGTCCTGGTATTGATCGCCCATCAATGTGTACAGTTGAAACTTGCGTTTTCCGCCACCGAGAAAGGAGGGTCTCAATAGCCTGGACATGGTCGAAGACACGGCAGCCAAGGACATAGGCCCACCGACCTGCACAAACTTTCCATCGGGCAGGAGATAGTCATCGCCGGCCTTGTACAGTTCCGCCGGAAAACCGACATTGTCGACGCAGAGCTTGAAGACTTGACCGCGTTCTTTCAGGGCCTGGCAGACATCGACAGCTGTGTAGTCAATGATGTCGTCGGCGCCAAGGGCCTTGCATTGCTCGGCTTTGGCGGCAGAGCACGAGATTGTGACATGGCAGCCAAGGGCCTTTGCAATCTGAATGCCAAAGGAGCCGACACCACCGGAACCGCCATTGAGGAAGACCTTGTCGCCAGGCTTGACGTGGGGAGCAATGGTCTGGTAGGCGGTCAATCCAGCACAGGGGATGGAGGCAGCCTCGTCAACGTCGACACCCGAGGGCAGGGAGGCACAAGCCTTTGCCGATGCCACGATGTATTGACCGCAAGCGCCCTGCTGAGTAGGGGCTTGACGGCCAAAGACAATCTCGCCGACCCGAAAGTTGTCGACGGTGTTGGTGGACTTGACGACGCGTCCGCAAAAGTCCCAGGCGGGAGTGGCAGGAGTTCGGACGAGAGCACGGCCCAGATTCAGGGGCAGTTCGGCGACCTTGTAGTCTGATGGGTTGATGCTCGCGCTGAGAACCTCGATGAGCAGCTCGTTGTCGCCCAGACGCGGCGAGAGGGTGGGCACGGGAACATCGTCCTTGAGCACCAAGTTTTGTTCCAGGCCACCAGTAGTCTGCGCATACTGCCAGGCGCGCATCGTAGGGGGGATTTCCGACGACATGGTTGAGTGTTATGGATCGCGAATCTAGTGATCAATAGCGTTGGTGTTGACTGTCACTTCAGTGGGAATTGTTAGTGTCAAGCTGTTTAGCGGGGCCAGGAGCTTAACCCGAATGCTGCAGTGCTGTAGCCGCTGGTGCAGTTGAGGAACAGGTTAAAGGCTTGAGGACGGGAGATTTTGCAGTTGAATTGGATACACTTGGGAAGCTCAGAGAGAACGGAAGACGAAAAGCTGGATCATCTGTTGCAAGGAGATAAAAGAGAAAGAGCGAAACAGAAAGCGCAACGCGTCGTCGTCGATAGTTTAGAGCTGAATGCCATAAGCGGTAGGGTGCACAGACCACAATGACCTCATCATTGGTTCGGCAGAAAGGCCTATCAACAGTTACCTCTTTGTTCCAAAACATCATCACACACAAACGGTTCATGCTTTGCCAGAGTCTTCAAAGATGGATTAGAGACATTCCTCAACTAGAAGCTATGCGCAAAAGCTTCTTTTTACCGTCCTTCAATTACAATGCTTATCATCAAAGGGAGTGACTCCCAGACCCAAAGTCTCCTGTGATGGGCTTTACGCTTGATAATCTACTATCTGGAACTCCAGCTGTTACCAGCCCACACCCTGGTTAAAGCTGCCTGAGCTGTTAGCGGCAAAACTGAATCGCTGTACTGGCCGAACAGCAACTCATCCAGCCTCGTCAGCTCCCCGTCACAATCTCAATTCCGTTTCGACATAACCACTGGAATCGATGGCCTGCGATACGAGTTTCAGATCACGGTCACCCGTCGGCAAGATGCCAAAACATCCAATGTTAGCGGCCATCATCAGGCCGCCGCCGCAGACACCCGAGTGCCGATACGAAGACTACTATGCAACATGTGATCTACCTCTTCACTCTCAACATGAAGCAACCTGCAATTGTGTATCAAGATCCTCGATGGCCTCTAAGCCTCGCATCTTCGTCTCAATGGAAACATGGTGGCTCAACTTGACAGGCTATGTTGATCCCTTCCTTCGCCCCTTCCACCCTCCCTGATTAGTGATTACGTCCAAGTTGCTCCTTTTGGGCAGATTATTTCGATTTTCAAGTTTGATGCCATGTTTGTACCCAAAGTCTGGATGAGATGCCGATTCTGTTCGCCCTTAAGAAGCAAGCAATATTGTCAGTGTTTCCACTACCACGTGGTTGTTGGGACGATACAGCTTCCCGCCATGTCAACAACCTCCACCATTTTTCAAGCCCAAGGCGGCCGAGTCTCATCCTTCACCCCGCTCTCTTCCTGAACCAGGTTGAACTCTACCTCGACCATCTTGCCCACTCACGATGGATCTGGCAGACAAGAGATATCGCGGCGGAGAGCTTCTGGGCGTTGACCTCGGCTCGTGGACACTCGCGTTCATCGCCGTCGCCCTTCGTGCCTACACCCGTCTCCGGGTCAGGAGGGACTGCTTTGGGGTTGACGATATCCTGATGTTCATCTCGATGGTGTGCTTCACGGTATACGTTGCCCTTTCTATGAGCTGCATCCACCACGGGACTGGCCATCGTGACAATGACGTCCCTAACGCGAAGAGCATTACAGAGGCCAGAAAGGTGTGTGTTGCGCATCCCCCCTGTCTCTTCTTTCACCCAAGGGCCAAGGCCGACCGAGTTCTTTGCTAACCTGACGGCGTTCTCAGTTCTGGTGGGCCTGCTACCACGCCTACACCTTCACCATCTTGTTCGCCAAGCTATCCGTCAGTTGGTTCCTGCTACGCCTCACGACCATCAACAAAATACACAGACGCATCATCCACGGTGCCGTAATAATCACAATCTCCAATAGCATAGCTTTTTTCCTTTTTACGATATTCCAGTGCACACCGATCTACTACTTCTGGGATCACTCACAAGAAGGTGGGAAATGCGTTAGCACCTCGGCCGTTCTCGCCGTAGGATACACGTGCAGTGTCTTCAATATCGTTACCGATCTCGTCTACGCGCTGCTCCCAGCTTGGATCATTTACCATCTCCAGATGAAGCTCAAGACGAGGATCGCCCTCATGATACTGATGGGTATGGGATGTCTGTACGTATTTCATTTATCCTACCCTCTGATCCCAGTCAGCAGCTAACTTCTAGGGTACTATAGTGCAAGCTGCGCAGTCATAGTCCGCATGCCATACCTCGACCAGCAAACCAGCCACCGGAACTCGAACTCTCTCTACCTCGCAACCAACGTAGCTATCTGGTCCAGCGTGGAACTATGCCTGGCCATCACGGCAGGTAGCCTGGCCACTCTGCGCCCGCTGATCATCAAAGTTGGCCGCAAGCTCGGGTTTGCCAGCGCTACGTCCGCGTCCGCATATGATATTGAATTTGGCCCGAGTGGACCTCTGGTGTTGCTCAGGGAACGCACCAACTCCATGTTCTCGAGGAGAGGACCGTCGACGCCTAGTAACGCTGTCCTGTTGGAGACCGAGAGGGCGGTGCCGTTTGATGGGGCCCATGCAAGTTGAGATTCTAGTAAAAAACAGCGAAAATAAGAGTGAGACTAACCAGAGTTCTTTCGAGCAGTTCTCCAGACACGTTATTGTTACGAGATCCGTCGACAAAGACCCGTCGTTTGAAGGAGATCATCAATCGGATTCTACTTCCTCTTGGCCGCTGAAGAAGTAGACTAGTTCCTCGTCTTTGCTCCACCATTGCTTCTACCAGAGTAGCAAGCGAGCCATTGCCCTTTGACTCAATGTCGTCATGTTCAGCTCAGTCTCTAGCCTTCAAATCTTCCTCAACGGACTATCAGGGCACTTCAAGGATTACGGCTCAGACGACGGCGACGTCTGGAAGGCAGATAGCAGGTACGGAGCAGCAGTTGCAAGACGCTATGAAGACACTCTATGAGGACTCGGCAGTTAAGGTTATGGGAATACAATAGAGACGGAGCTCGCGCGGAGGATTGGCAAACCAAGGACCGCAGTCAGTCAAGTCAGACGTTGATTTCACACACAAAACACCAAAGGCATACGAATGAAGTCAATGAACGTCATTATCCAGTTCTCATAAAGAAGTTCAAGTGATTATACCATGATTGCAAACGCATGCTAATCCCTCCCTAAGCCCAGTAACCACCACCCCAAACTCCAAGTCAAGTCATCAGTTCTTCTTCAACCCCTCCAAAATATCAAACGCCGCCTTCTCCGCCGCCAAGTACGTACTAACCGCCGTAAACGTCCCCGGAATCCTCGGATACACACTCGCATCCACGACCCTCAGTCCCTTGACTCCCCTCACCCTAAACTTACTATCCAACACCGCCATCGGATCCCCATCGGGCCCAATCGGGCACGTGGAACTTGCATGATGACCCCACGCTCCATCCTTGATATACTGCTCAATCTCCCCATCGCTCTGCTTATCCGCGCCGGGCCTGACCTCCTGCGTCCTAACGGCCTGCCTCTTCAGCGCGTCGCGGGCCAAGCCGATCGCTTCGCGCATCGCCGTCAAATCGGCCTGGTAATCGCCCGACCCGAAATCAAAGTAGTTGTAGACAATACTCGGCGTGTCCAACGGGTCGGACGACCTAAGCGTGACGCTACCAGCCCTGTTGCGCGGATGCGCCTTCAGCACAGCCCACGTCCACCAGTCGTGCTCAGCCGTGATATCCACGCTATAACCGGGGTAATAACCGGCAAAATTCACCGGTCCGCCAAAAGTAAACACGTCGTAGCTATCGTCTGTCGTCACGCTCGACTTATACAACATGGCAACTGCTAGACCGGAGGAGGCATAAGTCCCGCGATCGCCCAGCACATTAGGGTTCAACCACCGATCCAAGCACGGATCGGACGTGTTGCCGTACAGCTGGAATGTGCAACCCTTGAGCGCAGCCCAGTTATTCGGGACCTTGACGTTGACGCCGATTTCGTAGTGGTCTTGTAAGTTGCCGCCGACACCGGGCAGATCCACCAAAACGGGGATGCCGAAGCGGGATAACTCGACGCGGGGGCCGATGCCGGAGAGCTTGAGGATCTGAGGCGAGTTGTAGGTGCCGCCGGAGATGATGACTTCGCGTGAGGCCTTGGCGGAGCCGGGCGTGCCGTTGGGGCGGATTTGGGAGGCGCGGTTGGGAGAAAGGGGAGAAGCGCGGTAGAGGTGCGCGCCGTCGAGGAATTCGACGCCTGTGGCTACTGGTTCAGACCCAGAAGTGGTGTTGAAGGTGATCTTGGTGACGTGGCAGTTCAGGCGCACGTCGAGCGGGTACTTCTTGCTGCCGTCGGGGTTGCGGGCGTCGCGCACGGCGACGACGAAGTCACGACTGCCGGAGCGGGCGCCGTTCCTGCTGCTGATGGGAACCTCGTAGTAGGCCGGCGTCTTGTCGCGGGCGAGGGTGTCGGCGTTGAGGTCAGCCGCTAGGACGGTGGCGAGGTTGATGGGCGATTGGGTGATGTTGCCGAGGGCGAAGGCGCCGCCGAGGGTTAAAGACAAAAGTTGCGGGTCCTTGAGCGGGATGGTTAAGGGGGTAACTTCGGTGGAGAGCCAGCCGTCCCGGCCGTGGCCGGAGTAGAGACCGTTGACGTAGTTCTTGTCCTCCATGGAGACGAAGTGCTTGCGCATGTTCTCGGGCGACCAGCCTTGGTCGCCGGTCAGGTCGGCGAGGTACTGGAAGTCGGACTGGTGGGGGTAGACGGCGATCAGGGCGTTGTGGGCGGTGCAACCGCCGAGGACGCCGGCGCGGGGATAGAGTGTGCCGAGCATCTCGGCGCCCTCGGGCGGGGACAAGCCAGTGTAGATGCTGCCGTCCGGTAGCCGGTAGCTGGTCTTCCAGTCACGAGCCTGACGGTCGTCGTCGGGGTAGTGGCGGACGTAAAAGTCCCAGGACATCTTCTCGTCCTCGGTAGACCGGGCGTTGTAGGCCGGGACTGTGACGTTGACGTTGTTGCCCTGGTCGTCGCCGGCCTCGATCAGGAGGGTCTTGTGGCCGGCCATGGCCAAGCGGGCGGCGAGGGGACCGCCACCGGCACCGGAGCCAACGACGATGTATTCATAGCCGGTGAGCTCAACGGCGGAGGCGAGAGGGGCGGCGGCCAAGGCCAGCCCTAGGAGACGACGGAGGATCATGGTAGTAGTATTTCTCGGTTGCTGCAGAACCTGGAGAAACAGAAGGGAGTGATGAGACCGGCTGAAGCCAGCGCGAGCCGCGAGGAGGCCGTTCTTATATCACGTCGACTGACACTGAGGGGAGGTTGGACGTCATGGTCTGGAACTCCGCACGATGCCTGGCTGTTGTTGAGTTAGCACAACCACCCCTCGTGCCCCTTTCCAACAACACAAACAAGGATACAACATCGGTGTAGCCATGCACACCATCCCACATCCCGCGAACGAGAGAGGCCCGGACCGCCCTGCCCACGAGGGGCGGAAGTCGGAACCTTTTGGCACTAGCTTGCCAGGTCCCCGATGCAGCTACGATTCGACGATAATTCACCAAGAGTGTGGCTCAACAGGCAGCCAAAACCATGGTTTTTTTTGGGAGTATATCTCCGCCAGAGCGCGCATCTCCCCCCTCTCTCGATTTCATGGCGCAGTAAGAGCTGGCGAGCGAAGTTCGTGGTGAACATGCTATGAAGTTGCAGATAGAGCTTTCGGTCAAGACTTTGGCCCCGGGTCTAAAGGAATACCGATTCGGGCAGGAACCATGTCCAGACGGGGAAACATGATCGCCGAACTAAAAATCCCAAAGGTTGGGGAAAACGGGAAAATAGTGTACATCGGGGATCGGGCAGCGCAGATCGTGATCTGCAGGAAAGCGGTCCAATCACAGCTCATAACCTCCTGTTGAGTTCATTGAGCTATTCCATTTCTTGCCTAGCCCATTGGTTGGCTTGACGGGAAAGGCAATGGCATTGTCGATCACTGGGATTCAGTGATGGTGGGGAAATTTGGTGGTGACCGGGACCAACAACCTGTCGCACAACATCAAAGTGACGATGGCGGCGTCCGCCCTTCGAAGCCATCCAAGACATTCGGGTTCCCTTTCCCACGAATCCCATCTGTACATCACCCCATCATCGCCCATCGCCGCCAAATCTCGCATGAGCACCCGACCCGTAAGCCGGAATAAGGACGGTGAAACCCAGCGTATAGCGACTTAAAGATTCTTCCGCAGGCGCAAATGAGGCTGAACAGAGCAACATGAAAATATCCTACGAACCAGCTGAGTGGCTGCCTCAAGTAGATTCAAGTTAACGCCCTCCGCGGGCTCGCATGTCTTGATATCGTGGGTTGCATGGGCATCCTAGTTGCTCGTTTTACCAGTCTCGAGGGTTGAGTCTCGAGTCTCAACCCCCAGACTTCGTTCGGGGACGGGGACTTGAGTTTCCCGACACTCGATAGAAGATGGGAGAGCTGTGGTTCTCCATCGATATCAACACACAAGAGTCAATAGCCTCCCACAAGAAGCGGAGTTCTTGCTTTCGATAGTAGATACTCCGTGGACTCCTCTTCCCCAGAGTCTCTTACGTACAAGCGAACCCTAACGGCTTTGAACGGGTACGGATTCCCGCGGGAGATGGGGACGGGATGTATGTACCCCAGCCGCGTGATCAACAGGTAACCTGCCCTGCATGTTTGTCGAGCCCGTAGAACTAAATCCCAAAACGAACCTCTGGGACATAAAACTCGAATAAGGGCGCCCTAAACTTGACCTATATTCCATAAGCAATATTTGTAGATCACTTCGTGTTGGTTCTGTGAAATAGGTCAACAAATGAAGAACGTCAGCCAAGTCTGCCAAAATGCGAATGTGCCTTGAACGGCTTGTGGGGGGTGAAGGTTGTGGTGGACTTGACCGTCAGCTTCGTCCTTGGCATGCTTGGACGAGACCGACCTTGGAATTCTGCCAGACACGTCGACTATTCTGGTAAGATGTGATGAGGCTGCAGAGGGCCCGCATTGGGTTGAGCGACTTCCACTGTTCTCGCGATGCCATAATAACTCGATGGCGTGCATCTACTAGTGATATATGTGAATGTCTTCACTGGCGGCTATCGGCTATTCGCGGCGCTAGTGAGACAGTAGGCTAGATAACCCCGAGGAGTGCGAAAGGGAGCCGTGGGACCCGGGAGCGAAGAATGATGAGAAAGTTATGAGTATTATATATATACCGAGAAATGCGACAGGCCATGGTACACCTGTCGCCGGTGGAGGCGTTCATACAGTGAATGCCTCGTCTTAAACATTATCCATCATAGCTGCCGTTTCAGGTCAGATTTTCCATTACAATTCGTCTTATACGTCCAATGGGGCACAGGTAAAAATGACCCTTAAACCCTCCCCTGGCGACCAACGCTCTCCACGCGGAAGCCCAACTTCTCCATGCCTGCCACCTCCAACACTCCCCTACCATCAAACACCCAGTGTGGCTTGTGCATGTGGTAGTGAACCTTCCTCCAGTCGAGTCTGCCCTTGAAGACGTGCTCCTGTCCCGCTCCGTACCCACTGGTACCCGTCACCTTCTCGATGTAACAGTCTGGGCAGTCTTCAGCACAGTCTGGCACAGGGTTGAAGCGGTGCAATGGATCTTCCTTATCCTCCGCATCTGTTGACTGTAGCAGGAAGGTATGGAGAGCCAGGAGCTCAGTCTCGGTTGGCTCATCGCCCTCAAACGGCCGTGGGTCAGGGACGACAGCCTTGACAGGGGCTGCCTTGGGGGCCAGAACCTCGGCAGACGCTGATACCGGCTCACCGGTGTTCTTGAACTCATCGAATTCGGTGGTAACTAGTAGCGCATCGGAGGAGTGGCAGGCTTCGTAGGCGTCCGCATAGACGATCACTGGACCGCCGTTCCTCTGTAGCACCTCAGCGCCGACATAGCGACCGATATCCTCAGCCATCTGCGCTGGGTTACAGCAGGGGTCGTAGACAGCAATCTCTCGTGGTCCTTCCTCGACCAGCGTCCGAATTATTTCCACCGCGGGCGACTCACGGGTATCGTTGGTGTCCTTCTTGAAGGCGTAGCCGAGAATGGTGAGCTTCTTGCCAATGAGGGTGTTGTTGAGACACCTCACGACACGCGAAGCGAACCTGTTCCTGGCGAACTCGTTCATGGTAATGACGTTACGCCAGTAGTCTGCTACCTCGGGTAGTTGGAGGCTCTCGGCCAAGTAAGCCAGACTGAGCACATCCTTCTTGAAGCAGCTGCCGCCGAAACCGATACCGGCCTTGAGGAACTTGCTGCCGATACGGGGGTCGGCACCAATCGCACCCGCAACCTCACTGACATCGGCGCCAGTCGCCTCGCACACGGCCGCAATCGAGTTGATACTGCTGATGCGCTGGGCGAGCATGGAGTTTGCGACAAGCTTGGCGAGCTCGGAACTGAACACGTTGGTGGTGATGATGCGTGACCTCGGGATCCAGGCGGAGTAGACAGATGCTAAAGCGGCGGCAGCGCGCTGACCAGATGGCGTAGCACTGGAGCCGATTAGGATACGGTCTGCGTTGAGAAGATCCTTGATGGCAGTTCCGGCAGCCAGGAACTCGGGGTTGCTAAGAACCTCGAAGTGAATACCAGGCCTATGGAGCGCAAGCTGGGGAACAGTTAGCGAATCAATCCCTTTACTTGGACATATTGGGTCTCCTTACAGTGTCTTGTACAAACTGCGCTGTCCGGCAGGGAACCGTAGACTTCTCTACAATGATGGCACCCGGCCGGGCATGTTGCGCAACCACATTGGTGACCGCCTCAAAAGCAGTCATGTCCGTCGCAGAACCTGCGCCAGCACCACGGCTCTTGGTTGGTGTGTTGACGGCAATCAGAACGATGTCGGCTTCGCTGATAGACTTGGCCACATCGGCTGTGAAGAAGAGGTTTGGCTGGCGGGCAGCAATGGGTTTCGAAACATGGTCTCCGCACTGGCTGCCGCATTCTGAGGCCGGAGTGGAGGCATCAGAGACATCTGGCGTATTCGAAGATGTGGTGTTTGTAGCAGAGAGGGGCTTGGTCTCGATGGTGCATTCCTTGGATCCGTCTCGGGCAATGCGCAGAATATGGTTCAAGCCGGGCTCATAGATGGGGGGATGTACGGAGTTCCATCGTCGAATGCGCTTCTCGTCCTTGTCGACTACCGTCACTCGGATATGGGGGTTGTTGAAGGCAATGACAGCCGCAGTAGGGCCACCTAGAGGTTTGTTAGTCTACGAACACTCGACTGTAACCCCCACAAGACTCACCAACATAGCCAGCGCCAACACAGCAGATGTTGCGAACTGGTGGTGTCCGGGCCGTAGTGTCGAACAGCGTGGACGACAACGACCTGGAGGCACTCTGGGGTTTCATAGCGGGGATCCCCGGTTGTTGGTCCGCAGCCTGGAGGACGGGACTGAAGGACAAGTTGCTTCCTGGGGTCGTTGGCGCAGTGGAGACGTCGAGACTAACGTCGTTCCCCAGGTCGAGAGTCGAGGGCAACTGAAGGGCCATTGCCTTGTGCTAGTGTTTCTCCCAGAGACAGGCGGTGATGATGGGGAGAAAGGGGCAGCGGAAGGAATGAAGGGAGAAGCAAGTGGTCCAAGACAACGATGGCGGGGGACTACTTCCACTTTGAGGAACCAGGAGACATGGCCCGACAGCGCCAGCGGGATGGTCCAGGAGAGGGTCCAGGAGAGGGACCAGGAGAGGCTGCCAAGAATGGAGAATCCGGCTTTTAGACGATTCCGGGGAAGAAAGGGGAAACGCCATCCCGAGGGCGGCGAGGCTTCAGGATGGTTTTTTCTGGAGGCCAAGACGGGAGGGTGGACATGACGAAAGGTGGAGCGGTGGATGTGGATCGGCAGGGTGACATGTCGAAGGTATTTCCATCTTCCATCAGTCGGTCAACACAAGATCAGATGTCGACAAGTCTTGGGCAGGGTCTTGGTATTAGTCGGGATTTCTTGGACTTGGCCATTGTTGGTTGGATTGGATTGCCTTTGTCTGTTCTGTTCGTGATGGTGGCCCGACTTGGCCATTGAACCCGTGAATCACCGAGCACATAACATCAATCTGGATAACATGTCCATATCGATCCATCATGTTGAAGCTCTGTTCGCTTCCGGCAGCCTTGTTGACATTGGCATCTTGAAGAGGAATGAGGAAAAGTGATGTCTTGTCTTGGACCCTGTAAGGTGCTAGCGGCCTTAGGTACAAGAGCGCAAGAGACATGTTTCTCAATGGCCGAGTTGGGCCAATAAGACTCTTCAAGATAATGACTTGTCAATTGCAACTTCCAATGCTTAAAAATGTCGAGCAATGTCCACCGCTGCTGCCGTCTGATGTTCTTTTTGCTCGCATGTGTTGGTCTTGGCGGACGTGATTCTTGGTCCTCGGATTTCTCGATCGACCAATCACTGGACCGAACTTACGGAGATAGTGGGAATAGTGGAGAGTTGTGGATCCCAGCCGTCAGGGGCCAAGCACCCTCCGCTGCATGGACGGGGATTTCCCCTCCTCATCCGGGGACGCGCGTCAGCGCCAAGTCTAGAAAACGCGTGGAATGCGCCGTGACATCCGAACGAGCTTGCGACTTGTAATTCAGGAACTGCAATTGCGACCAACAAATGTTCCGAGACCACCAATTCGCATCGCCATCTTGGAAAAGGAAGGCACAATAGTCGTCGTACCAGGCAGCAGAAATCTGCCACTTGCCAGGTACGCGACAATGTCCTCGACTGGTCGGTGAGCCGTGGCACAAATCGAACTTGGTCCAATCGCTCGCTCTCTGTTCAAGAGACAACCTCTATCACCATCATCGCGCTCGATACCAACAACCCTCGACCGGTCAATCCAATACTGGCATCCGATCCGATCCATACCTACCACGCGCTCCAACCCTGCCTTTAGATCCCACCTTCGAGACGCCGGATGCGCAGGGCTCGAACCGTACATACTGCGATACACAAACATCAAGCGATGACACAGTACCGAAGCTCAACCCAGGTTTAAGAGTTTGGTGGAATACCTATTACAACAAGCCAGGATGACGTACCGCGCATCCTTCCCGCACAGCGGGAGCACCGTAGCATTCAAGCTACTGGTACCAAGAAACACCATCCCTTACCCATGCCATCCCGCGATCCCTCGTGGTTTTAGCCTCAACCGAAATCCCCGACGGCGAAAGCCCTGGCATCCCATTCATCAAGTGAGGTCTGGGGCTTGAGACTGCTCAAATGCGCTGATGACTTTCAGTTCGAAGCGCGCAGATGATGTGCCTGGCTCGACAGTGCCTCCCGCGGAGCAGAATTCGGGAATTTGGACGACATCCGGCTCCACATTATCCGCACTCCGGACCCTTGCTGGGAAGTATATCCAGCCGACACGGACAGAAGGCTCGACCGAGTTTCTCAGCCGACCTGTATCAGCCACATTCGATGATAACCCAGAGAGGACTAACTGCAAACAAGAGCCCAGGTGTCTTCTCTATCAGGGCTGGACTGCGTTCTATCGTTTGAAAAGGACAATTTCGGCCATCCCAACTTATCGTACAACGTGTCTTGAACGGGAAGGGTGTTTGGTTGATGTTGACTGTCCCCCACTTGGATGCAAGAGGCCCAACTCTCCAGATTGCAAGCCACAAATGCGCAAACGCATATTGGGTGTGGAATCTGAGCCTGGGCCAATGGTTGTTACCTTCAGAATCTCATGGATGAGCGTCTAGCGAAACACACACTGAAGCGAGGAGCCTCTTCGTATGTTGGATATCACCCGAACCCTCTTGAGCGACTCAGGAGGACTACATGACGCGCCTATGACATTTCCCACTGCTGTTGTGGCTTCTTGTCCCTTTGATACAAAGCTGTGCATTTGCTTTCTCTTTCAGACTCAAGGATACGTACAGCTCTGGATTCCATGCTGCTCCAGTACGGGATACTGCTTACCCTTCACGCCGGAGGCCCAAGATCTCCTAGCATTCCATCCGTCCCCCTATTTTTACCGGGGTATAAGTGCGCCAATCGTCTTCTTTGCGACCTTCGTGGCTCCAAAGACCGTTTGTTCTGCTGATAAGTGTTTGTAGTGACCGTCAGAGCGGGCGTAAGAAGGCATTGGGGCTTGAGGAGCACCAACGAAGTTTGGTCTTTGAACATCAAAGCTTGATAGTCACTCGAATGAGTACGTCTCCTGCGAGTAGCTACTGGATTCTGGCTGCCTGCATCGGATGCTAACACTTGCACGGTGTCTCCGTCCGTCGTTTGAGGGTCGCTTCTGATGGGCTGTCAACAGAGTATGGTTTTGTTGGAAACCTCCTTAAGAGTTGCTCCGCCCGGACGTGTTCAGACGATGAGGCACAAGGACACCACCCCCCCAACCTCTTTGCCACCCTTCGCAGGCTTACACTCTCAGTCCCAACATCGAACAGCCCTCTTGGACCAAACCCCGTCGTTCTAGTCTCCCCTACCCCTCCCCACGATCACTGTCCGGCCGAAGAGATGGTGACCTTCCAAAGTGGTGCCTTAAGCAAGTTATGCTCCAAGGACCAGCAAGAACTCCTGGATGCCATCGATCGTCTCCGTTTGGAGGGCATCAACAACTATGTCTCACTGCCCCAGATCATTGTCTGCGGTGATCAATCATCCGGCAAGAGCTCTGTCCTGGAGGCCATCTCTGGCGTCGCTTTCCCATCAAGGCGAACTTGTGCACTCGCTTTCCCACGGAAGTGGTTTTGCGCCGCACTCTTGACATAAGCGCCCATGTTTCTATTGTACCTAATGAAGACGCCAACGCGGCTGAGCGCAAGGCTCTATCTGCCTTCAAGGAGAAGATGACCTCATTCGACCTCCTGCCGGACATCATCGAAAAGGCAAAGAACCACATGGGAATCTCGACAACTCAGGCAAAGGCGTTTTCTAATCATCACCTTCGTGTTGAGATTACGGGTCCTGATCGTCCACACCTCACTATCGTCGATCTTCCCGGTCTCATCCATTCGGAAACGAAAAACCAGACTGCCGCGGATGTCCAGCTGATCCAAAACGTCGTCCGCTCTTACATGAACGAACCCAGGAGTATCATCTTGGCGGTCGTCTCGGCCAAAAACGACTTCGCCAACCAGGTGGTGCTGAAGCTGGCTCGCGCAGCCGACCCCCGCGGCCACCGCACTCTCGGTATCATCACCAAGCCCGATGCCTTACATCCCGGGTCCGAGAGTGAGAAGCAGTATGTCGACCTTGCCAAGAATCAGGAAGTCGAGTTCCGTCTTGGTTGGCATGTACTCCGAAACAAGGATTCCGATAAGGAAGCCAAGAACGTTGTCGACCGTGACACCATGGAGCAACAGTTCTTCAGTCAGGGCGCCTGGACTGAGCTCCCACTCGCCCATCTTGGCATTGACAAACTCCGTGAGAGACTGAGCAAGGTCTTGCTCAAACAGATTGCCTCTGAGCTTCCCAATGTGATGGAGGAGATCGAGACCAAGTTTGAGGCATGCAATGCCCAGATCCAGAAGCTTGGTGATCCCAGGGCGAAGGAGACTGAACAGCGTCTCTACCTGTATACGATTAGCCAGTCTTTTCAGCAACTTGTGAAGGCCGCTGTGGACGGCACTTATAACCACGACTCCTTCAAGGACGCCAAGACCGACACTGGTTATAGACAGCGAATCCGAGCCGTGGTGCAAAACCTGAATGAGAGATTTGCCGACGAGATTGCGTCCCGCGGCCATTACTATGCAATCGAGACATACCATTCTCGCGTTGTCGGTGACAAGATGGTCTTGATTTCTGAAGAGAAGTTCATCAAACATATCGAGAACCTCTTGAGACGTACCAAAGGCCGGGAGCTGCCGGGGACTTTCAACCCAATGATCGTTTCGGATCTCTTCCTAGAACAAGCACGGCCTTGGGGTGATTTGGCTCGTCAACATGTCCAGCGAGCGTGGGAGGCTGCCAATCAATTTCTTGATCTCATCATCGCCCAGATCGCGGACGCGTCGACCCTGAAGTCTCTGAAGAAGGAAATCTTCGGACCGTCTATGGACGAGATCCTGACAGATATGATGGATAAGGCTAGCGAGCTTCTGATACCGCATCAGAGTGGTCATCCGATCACCTACAACCAGTCGTTTACAGAGGCGCTCCACACTGCCCGAGAGGAGCAGTCGAAGAAGAGGCTGGAAAAGGCTGTACGCTCGTTCTTCGGCAATGAATGCACAGAAACAGACATCCAGCACAACAAGACTGGGTATTGCAACCGTTGCAACCGCGACATCACGGGCGGAACCAACATCAAGGAACTCGTGGATGCCCTGGCGCGGACTGAACCAAACCCGCAACGCTTTGCAGCCCAAGAAGCCTTGAGCTGCCTTAACGCCTACTATACGGTATGAGCTAAGATAATGCCCTTCGTTCAGCCCCTCTTTCAACACCCACTTACACTGAACACTATTCCAGGTAGCGATGAAGCGTTTTATCGATGACGTCGCCGCCCAGGTGATCGAAGATAAGCTGATCGACGCTCTTGGGAGTATCTTGTCTCCCGTCGCAATCTTCGAAATGGATTCCAAGCAGATCGCCATTATCGCGGGCGAATCCGAGGATAGTCGTATTGAACGAGAACAGCTCACCAAGCAGCTTACGGTGCTCCAGAAGGGTATGGACACTTGCAAGCGCTTTACCGGGATGAAGTTCACTGGTAGTAAGTCCGATTATTCCATAAGTCATATTCTTCCATACTGACGAAGGAGTAGACTCGCTGTTTGTCTCTGCAACTTCCGAGACCGACTCTGCGTCTGGGGCTCAGAAGACGCCTGGCTCATTGGGTGGTGCAGGCAAGCGGAAGCACAAAGCGCAGAAAGACGAGAAAAAGCAGCCGCAGAATGCAGAGGTACAACTCCTGAAACCCCCTTCTGATCCAATAAGAGATGTTAACAATCATTCAAGGCTAGCGCTTGAGCCCGGGCTGTAAACAGCGGCAAGCGAGGCAAGCGAGGCAAGCGAGGCAAGCGAGGAGAACCCAGCAGTACCTTCATGGAGGATACTCCATTGGTTCCGAGGCGTGACCTCTCTCGCAGGGACATCAACTCGTGGCGCTACCAGGGGGATGATGAGAGTGATGTGGGTGGAAAAACAGGTCATCATTGCGCGGAGGTTCATAAGAGAAAACCTACCCACACTCACCCCCAAAACTATACGCGCCCACCCCCCATAGTAAACCCTTACCCTAACAGCCCACGCCAATCCGTAGCCTATATATAATACCTGCATTTGAAACCCCTATTTTTGCCGCAAAATTTCGTATTTCTAATACATATAACATTATATAGCTACTCGAATACCCTTTTCTTTCTCGATCTATTTAACCCAATCTACCTTAGTAGTCGATTAATATTACGCAATTGTACCCAGTTATATTGTAACCCTATATTGTATTTAATTAATAGTACGTCGTATCGCTCTAAACTAATTGCCCCTTGCCTATTACTAATAAACTTTATATAAATGCCTCTTTGCCGTTGTTGTAAATCGAACAATTCAATCGTTATTTTTATATTAAGCGCTTTATTTAATTGCGATATTTAGATTGTCCCCAATTTGCTAGAATTATTATTTCCCTTCGATATTTTCGATAAAGTACGCCGCTAATTTGCCGTTGTTTATTATTATTACTAGTTTAGTATTATTATTCTACGGTCCTAAATGTATAGGATTAAGAATAAGAAGTATCCGATATACGGTGCGATTAACCGTTACGTTTATTAATACGATTATACTTCGTATTGTAAATAATTGTTTGATAACCTACGTAGTAAACGCCTTCGTATATTTACGAAGATTGTTAGGGATTGCTTATTTAAGGTAACGGTTAATACGATTACGGCGATTAATTAGAAATAGATTGTAGTAGTTACTAAGGGTATATACGAAGGCTACCCGTTATTTAAGAATTTTGATAGCTATTTTTCCCTATAGGAAAGAGTATTAATTTTAGATGCTGAGGCGACCTCTTAGGTTGATACTTTATTCGGGAGAAGGGAATTTACTATCTGCTCTATTTATTCTATTATTAAAGACCGTTACCCTAATTGCTTCGTTACGTATAAGGACTTTTGTAATATGCGATTGTAGCGTAGGAAGGTAGTTTAAGAGGGGTATTAAAATATATAAGTATTCGTAAGAGCTTTAGAGAATAACGATAAGGTCGTTTATTATTATATCAAGTAAGAGGACGAGGGTAAGATTATATTTTCTAGTACTATTTGGGTTTTCGAGTACTAGTATAAAATATAGAAGTAGTCCCCTTTTACTATTTTTATCGACGCAACGTATAAAATTAACTACTATTACTTTCCCTTGGTATAGGGTGTTGTTTTAATTTATAAAATGACTTCTATGCCTATATTTTAAGCTACGATTAATAATGAGGGGAAAGTTAGATTTGGCTACTTCGCTATTTAAATTAAGTAAATTACTAATATTTTAAGTATTATTTTATTAAATATTTTTATTACTAACGGCGATAAGTAGTTAATTAGCGTATTTAGTGATACTTTTCTTAACTATTAACTATAGTATTACGTTTAGTATATTAATTGCAACGTTATTGATTAAATTAAGAAAAAATAGAGGTGTTAAAATAATAATTCTCTTAATAGTAATAGTGACGACGACGATAATTCGTAACCTTCTAATAGCGATAGTAATAATAACTCTAGTTCGAATTCGTTTAATTTAGAAAATAATAATAATAATAAGAATGATAGGGGTATTAATGTTAAAAACGATGCTAACGCCTGTAATTTTATAGAATTTTAGCGTTTCTATTAATTAGTCTGTATAATAATGTTAACGTGTGGCTAGTACTGTGCCTTGTAACTGCCTTGTACTACCTTGTAGTATAGAAGGCTAGTTGAACTATTCCTTCTACGGAATCAGTTGACTCAGTCCCCACAGAATGTACTAGAATACAAGAGGTTTTGCCACTGTATTCTAGAGTCTTATAACTTAGCTAGCATTTCTTCCAGACTGATTTGTCATCACAGGATTCAACAGAAGCTTCTAGATGCTTAGTGTCCATGTATATAGAGACCTCTCCTCTCCTTCAGTTCGTCACTCCTTAAGCAAGCAAGCACAAGTCAAGCAATACAATATAGTCTTTTCTCACAGTGCAGAGTCCACTGTAATCTTCTGTCTTGAGAGCAGAGTCCTCTCTAAGACCTCTTTTACAACATCCTTTTATTGTACTTGCAACTACGCTGCTTCCTTCAGCATTGCTGTCGTACTTCCTACCGCTTCCGCTCCGCTCTGCTACAAGTGCATAGTTCACTGTAGCAACCTTGTACTGGTGCTATCATTATAGGCCAGTCAGGGCACCGCAGGAAACAAATAATAAGGACGGCCGCCACCCTCCCTTTTCTTATTTAAAACGAAGTTATTAATATACGTATAGGGCTATTTTTTATATAGTAATATATACTTTATATTTTAACCGTCGATAAATTAAAAAAAGTATACGAAATTTTTATTATAAAATTCGGGGAATCTTAGCCGCACTTCGTTATTAGGTATATTAAGGCTAAGTAAATGTTTAATAAGCGTTATTAGGCTAGCTACTATATAGCGAATAATTTTAATTATAATTAGAGAATTACTTCCTCTAATGAATTTAATAACGGTTTATTAAAATTATATTGTGTATTAATATACGGTAGCCTCTTCAATTTTTATTCAGCTTACTTATAGTATATTAATAACCGATACGAATTTTATAAAATAACGAATAGTAAATCGTTTTTAAGAATATGGGTTAATTGGATTAATAGCGTATAATTAGGTAGTTACTCTCTAGAATTTTCTTTATAGGCTTTCGATATATTAAATTGTTAATATTATTAATTGTTTGTAGTATTCCCTTTTATAAAAGAGGGTAGGAAGGTCGAGGGTAAATTTCTACCGCCCTATACTAGTACGTTTAGGAAATAATATAGATTACCCTACGTATATATAATAAAATTACTAGTTAGTGAATCAGGTATATTAATTATTGAGGAAAGTTATTATTTATTTTAGTATTTAAATTAGATTAAGGTAAGCTTCCCTATTTTTCTCCCAATATATCCTATATTAATTTATTTAATGGAATTCGGTAGATAAATATTTATACTTTAAATTAGCAGTTAAGGTAGTATTTAAAGGCTGCTTATATAATGAAGAGGGACTGTTTAGTAAAGACTATATCTTTATAATACGATTACTAATTGAAGGCGCTTCGTAATTTTAATTATAGAGGGTTACGCGGTCCTAAGCTATTTTATTTTAATAATTAGTTGGCCTATACGGGAGGTTAAAGAATATTATACCTATTAGCGCCTCTATTCGTTATTATTATTTATAGTACAAATTGGGTAATAATATTAAGGCTTTTAATATTGTAAATATAGTTGTATTCTAGCAATTTTAATAATTCTAGCAGTTTAAGAAGGTAATTAAGAAGGTAACTTAATTAAACGAGCCTACCTTACCTACCTAGTCCCGCTAGCGAAAGCCTACCCTAATTGTTAATTATATTGTTATTTTTAATTTTGAGGAGGAGGCTAGTTTTGAATTGGATTTTAGGCTCTTTATTTTATTTAATACTCTATCCCTCCCCTCTTTGAAAGTTTCCTCCTCCCTCTTTATATGGTAATCTTCATCCTCCGCTAGAGAGTAGCTACCTCCCGTAATCCTATACAACGATACTACTTATTTCGATAGGGTAGAAATTAAATATAATTTTTAAAAATCAGATTTAAAAGAATATTTTATCCCTCTTAATAGGAGGGATATAGCGAAGCTTGGGAAAGAGGGGACGCTAACCCCTCTTATAGACGAAGAATAGTAAACTTACTTTACTAAAGAGTTATAGGAATAGAAGGAGGCCGCCGCTTATACCCTCCCCCACCCCCTATACTACTTCTTAAAGCGGTTACCTTATAAGATGGAGTCCCTATATAGTATTACCTTCGAAAAGGATAGAGAGTAGTTAGAATAGTGTAGAACTTATATTAAATACCTAGAATTATAGTTAAAAGTAAAGTAGGAGGTTAATTCTATTCGTTTATACGTATATAGAGACTAGGTAGTTAAAACTATATCGTATAGTAATCCTTTTATTGATAAGTATATTAAATATACCCGCCGTTTATTTTACGCTAAGAGTATTTGAGAATTTAGAAGGTATATATTATTATTGAGCTAATAACGAGGGGTGGGATTGTGATACCTCATCGTACTAGGCTTGGTATAAGGATGGCTACGCTAACGACGAGAGCGATTGTAACCCTATTAATATCTAGTTTGAAAGGGAGGGTGGCAAGAGGAACCCTATTGTAATTAGTAATAACGAGGAGTAAATAGTAGATATTACTAAGTAAATAAATAAGAAATAGATAAATAAGAAATAGATTTACACTTAACACTACGAAAATCTCACGACTCTGGCGGTCTCAGTGCACATGGCGATTTTAGCAGGGATGTTAGAAGATATGATAAAACGACGGTTTTTATATGTCAGCTATCAAATGGGGTATTGAGGGTGCGTATAGTTTTGGGGGTGAGTGTGGGTAGGTTTTCTCGTTTATAAGCCCTACACCATAGTTGACATAGATTGAGATTGAGCCTGCTTCCGACATGCCTCCACTCTTATCGATGCCATCTCCTCATATACTGCGCATGACAATAATGAATATTTTTAGGGCATCAAGCAAATCTCCCGGCGCACTGCGAAATCGCATCGCAAATCTCAGCCTCCACCGTCCAACCTGACAACAATAAGCTAACCGAGGCACCTGGATAGTCAACCCTTTCCTAAACCGGCTATGCATCTTTGATGCCCTTAAAGGATTGGACTGAGGTATACATCACAACAAAGGGAACAAAGCCCAGATCTGAAACGAGACCCCAATGGTAAGCAGAGCTTCTTACCCATTCCTTTGTTCATTGACTTCGCTTTCTTAACGCGCGTACGCATACTACCTACCTGCCATGACAAAACCTCCTCGAGGCTTGGTCAAGAACCGTATCCTCCAGCATCGCACCCGAAACATTCTTCGTCGCGGAAACTCGAACTCATCATATCATATGAGCTGGACCTCAACATCATCTCTCTGGACCAAGCTATTCAATGCTCGACCTAAACGACAACCGTGGCACCAAACGCCGATATCCTTCCCCCCACGCGACTGACGACAACGAATTGGAACCCCCGCGCGTCCCTCTCTTTTCCATGCCCCTGACCAAAAGCCGCAAACTCATTCGGTTTCCCTACATCACAATGCTCTCCGCTAAGCAAAACACCCCGCGGCCGACCAAGAGGGTAAAATGGAACAAGGAACCAACCCACTGGCAAACAACAGAAGGCGACTTTGTGGACGGCACCGTCCTCCACCCCTCCGACGACGAGGATTCCAACTCCAGCTCCGAAACCCTGGAGAAAGGAGTCTCAGGAGGCTCAAACAACACCTCCGCCTCCTCGGACGGTACGGACCCAGACCTAGTCATGCTCGACGGCAGCCCCTGCTCCTCCAAAGCCGAACTCGCCTGGCTCCCGAACAAGCGGTCTGGACCTGGACCCTTGGGATTCCTCTCCGAACCGGCTTTGTACCAGACCATCGACGAAGCGGTGCAAATGACGTTGAAAAGACGGCTGGTTCCGCATCTGAATGTGGTCGAGAAGATGGTGGAGCAGAATTCGGCTGACGCACTGGAGAGGATGCGGGAGAGGATACGGATCTCTTATCAGTTGGATTATGAAAAGTTGGAGGAGCAGGTGAGGAGGGCGAAGAGGGCGTGTAAAGAGCGGGAGAGGGAGATTGAGCGGTTGGTTAGGGAGCGGGAGGGGAGGTATTGGGGTGATACAGTTGAGAGTCAGGGTGGGGAGGGGGAGGGGGAGGGGGAGAAAAAGTCGGAGGAGCAAAGTCTGGAGAGGGTTCGAAGGATGTTTGTTGAGTTCAGGGCAAAGGTGTGGGAGTTTGTGGGTAGTTCTGCGCTGCAGTTGGAGACGAAGGGGGCGAAGGTGACAGAGGTGGATATCATGCGCTTGCCGTGGGTGCCGGATAAGCAGCTGTTTGGGAACGCGTCGGTGGAGGTGAGGAGGTATTTGGTTATGGCGGCCGTGTTTCAGGTGCTGTATTCGAGGATTTTGAGGCCGGGGCATAGGACGTTTGGGGCCGAGTTGGATGGGGAGGTGGATGAGAGGGGGGAGACGGGGCGGGTGGAGAGGCAGTTGGAGGATATTGAGGGGTATTTGATGAGGCATGAGAAAGGTATGTTTCTTTACGCTGTTGGTGATGGATGATTGAATGCTAACGAGGATGTGACGACAGTGGGACAAAAGAGTGAAGCAAAATGGCGAGCGGTTAACATCAACCTTTTCAAGCAACTTCGTCAGGGGGTGTTGACAGCTGAAGCGAAGAGTGCGGCGCAAACGTTAATCGGGTACCTTGAACCTTTGATGAAGTTCACTTTCGCCCGGAACAAGAAACTGGTTGAGAAGACCATCGAGCAACTCTGCGAACAGGCTTTGGATCTCAAACTGGCGATTAGGAAGTCACCAGTCCCATTACAGATCGAAATTGCTTCGAAGAGCACCGACGAGGAAGACGACGAAGATCCTCCCGAATGGGAACCGAAGGTGGACAAATCTGGAAAGGCGTTGATCCACCCGCGATGGCACGAGAAAATGGGCCAGCTAAAGCTAACAACAGAAGGAAAGGAGGTCAACTCAAGGGTCAAGTACATTGCTTTCATCCCCTTCGGAGCATTGGCGAGATGCGAGCCTAACGAACCTAAGATGGTTGTGGAAAGGGCATGGGTTATTGGAAGGACCTAGCCGTGGTCATCTCGGGCTGAAGACGGCCGTGAAGCTTCCGTACCTAGCTGTCGTCAACAGTGGAGTTCACGCGGCCCCGAGCCGCTGGTTCGGGAGTCAACCCGGGGCTGTGTGTGCTCCACAGCCACTCCACTTTTGCGGTGATGCGGCCGCAAACCCGCTCCGGCCCGCTCCCGGATATTGGACCCGCGGAGCCCGGAGGTAAGACGAGAGATCTCATTGGACGCAAGGAGTTAAGGCATGCGACTCGATGCGGCTTCGGCTTATGTCAGATCTAGAAACGAGCTAGTGCCAGGCATGTGTTAGATAGCATCATTATTTGTCGGCCGCTTCGTATATGATGATAATGATATATATATTTTCCCACCCCTCTACAAGTCCGTCAAACCCTCTCTTTCCTTTTCGTTGTTCTTCTTAACCCATAGCAAACACACCAACATCATCAACCCAAAATGCATCTAATCCTAACAGGCGCCACCGGCCTCGTCGGCTCCGCCGTCCTAGACGCCATGATCAAGACAAAAGACATCACCAAGATCTCCATCATCAGCCGACGACCCGTCAAGATGGCCGAAGATGCGAAGGACCCTCGCATCAACGTCATTCTTCACAAGGATTTCGAGAAATACGATAGTGACCTGCTCAACCAACTTAGGGGAGCAACGGGATGCGTTTGGGCGTTGGGAATCAGTCAGAATGCTGTTGGGAAGGAGTATGTTATGTTCCCTTTCTCTTTTCCCATCCATCTGTTGTTTCCCTAAACCAAGACGACAAACTGATACTGATGGACTGTAAAAGGGAATACGTCAAAATAACAAAGGACTTCCCCCTCGCCGCCGCCGCCGCTTTCCAGACCCTCCCCTCCTCCGGCCCCTCCGGCCCCTCCTCCTCTCCTGCTTCTTCTTCCCCAGAATCCCAATCCCAACCGCAGCAACCCTTCCGCTTCATCTACGTATCCGGCGAAGGCGCCACCACCGTCCCCCTTGACTCCCAGCCCCTCCTCTCTCGCCTCACAAACCCCTGGTTCGCCATCATCAAGGGACAAACCGAGCTCTCCCTCTCCCAGCTCTACTCCACCCCCGGCACCTTTCTTCCCTGGTCAATGAGACCAGGCTTTGTCGACCCGTCCTCCCACCCCGCCATCACGCCTTACATTCCCAAACCCCCCTTCCTCGTGAACTTGGCGGGATGTGTTTTGGGACCGCCGATCAGGGCGGGGTATAAGAAGATGTGGAGTCCTACTGAGCCACTTGGGAAGTTTTTGGTGGAGATGGCTATGGGAGGGTGGGATGAGACGATTAGGAAGGAGGGAGAGACGGGGGGAAAGGGGATTGAGAAGTTGGAGGGGGGTGGGGTGGTTGTGTCAAATGAAGGGTGGAGGAGGGTTGCTGGGTTGGGGTAGGGTTGAGAAGAAGAAGAAGAAGAAGAAGGGAGGAGAGGGAGGAGAGTCAGAGGGGAGAGGGGTGGGATAGAAGGGAACGAACGGGGAGGGAAAGGAGAAGGCTGACTTTGTATGGTGGAAGACACTGTGATTCTGATGCTTGGATGCTCGTTGGTACGTAGACTAGCTAGACTACGTAGTTCGTAGGCTTTTTTGGGCCGCAAGTTGCGTGTGCAAATGTGCTGGCTGTTTGTTCGACAACAAGGCATGGCATGGGAGTGCCTTATTTTTATAATAAGAGACAACGGAATGAGGCAAATGACAAACATTAAGAGAAAACCTCAGCGCACTCCAAGCCCAACCTACACGCACTCTAAGACCCATATGACAGCTGTCATATAAATACGGTCGTTTTGTATGGTAAACTGGGTTCATTTCAATGTTCCAAACATCGCTCCCGCCAGAGTAAAAGTCGTGATACTTTTCGTGGTGTTGTGAATCCCCCATATCGAAATAATTTGAACCCACCAAACCCGGCACGCACAGTCAGCTCAGTACAGTCTTGATCCCTGAAATCCTTCTCTTGTTTATTTACTTGGTCACCATAATGACAGGAACCCATGGATCGTATGGCAACACTTGCCGGGCAATAGCAAGAACCCTATCGTATTAAGCGACTCAAAGTAGAGTGGTGGTGATGCGACGTGCAAAAATCACCCAAAACCGCCAAGTTCAAAAAGGGGTGCAAGACTGGCCAAAAATTTCACGAAATGTGGTGCAATGTTTCGTGCATTGAAATGGGGTATTTTCACGGGTAAAAGTGGACTTTCTGATGTCGGGTGTCATGGGGTGTTATGGGGTGCCAGAGACCCTAACCCTTGGGATTTTATGGGTCTTAGAGTCCGTGTAGGCTAACCTTGGAGTGCGCTGAGGTTTTCTCAACATTAAAACCGAACCAAGTGCTCAAGTGAATGAAGGACGTCAGACGTCTACAGTAACATTAAGTGATTATACTCTATCTGAAGGCTTGAGACTGTTCTAGATAAATGGCCAAACGTCCGCCACTGCACCCCACATCCCGAATGTGCAGTTTCCTGAACTAGGCCCCGTATGGCGCGACGACATGGGGGAACTGCTGGTAGCAGGTCCCACGGTTGATATCTTCACCCAGGCCGGCAGACAACCAGACCTGTCCGCCGCAAATAAGAATGTTCTTTCTTCCGAGAGAATCTTGGAGCGTGAGCTCACCAGTGACGGAATTCACGCATCCCTTGATCTTGCTGACCTTGGCACCCGCCGCAATTTGACCCTCAACAGCTTGCTTGTCGTTGATTTGGAGCCAACTGCTGCCCGAATTTAATGTCCCGATATAGACGTAGTATGTGTAGGTATAGGGAACAACTCTGTCGTGAAAGTACAGAGAGCCTTCGCTATCAAGAGCCAAGTTGTACCGGGGCTGAACGGACGCGGAGGTGCTGGTGCTGCCAAATAGCCAGTTCAGGTTACCGCTTATGCCGTTCAGCAAGTTGGCGTACATGTAGATGGTGTTGCCATTGAAGGTGGTCATTGCACGGAAGGCGTCGGTGTTGGTTAGACACACGGGTTGCACAGGCTCGGGGGCGGCGGTCGCGGTCTCGATCGCGGTGACAGTGGCAGTGAGAAAGACGATATCAGTCTGAGTGGCGGTGACCGTCTCAACATCCTTCACAAGCACAGTCGTGGTAGCCGAGGCTGTGGCCGTCACTGAGACCAACTCAGTTTCCGTGGTGGTAACGGTGGCAGCGACAGAGGCAAAGACGGTCTAGGAAAAAGAAGTCAAGTTAGCTAGGTTCCCCTGCGAACCTTGGGATAGTGAAAACTTACAGTGGTCTCCTCGACAGTAACAGTCGAAACGGGAACGGGAACGGTGATGGTTACGACCTCAGCACCGACGCACTTGCAGGCCGACTTGTACTTGTCGAAGGATGGGCAGTCCAAGGCATACTCGGGGAGCGCCGGAGAAGACTGAACGGGAGCAGGCTCGACCGGGGCCGAGCTGGTGGGCTCCACGAACGTCAAGGTATCGATGTCACGCTTCTTCTCGGTCGGAGCAGGGACGGTGATGGTCTGGAAGACGGTCTCAGTGCTGGCAATGGTCGTCTCAGTTGTAAGCTGAGAGACTGTCTCGGTGCCGATGGTGACGGAAGAGCTCTCGGTGAAGAAGACAGTCTCGGTGGCAGCGGTGGTTGACTCGATCTCGGTGACAATCTCGGTGCCAAGGACGGTGGCATACTGGGTAGAAGACACGGTAACGATCTCGGTCACGATTCTGGCTGGAACCTACACAGTCTCGATAAGGACCGAAGCGCAGTCATCGATACCATGTTCGTTTAGGACAATGGCTGTTGTGACAAGACGTTTGTTAGTATTTCCGTGAGAACATTCTACTGAAAGCAATCGTACCCTTCAAGCACTTGTTGCTGCGACAGCAGGCGGCCGAGGCCAGGTTCAGCCAGGCAAAGCCCGAGACCAAGAACAAAGCTTGCTTCATGGTGAAAACAAAAGAATGACTGGAGTGAGTGGTAAGCGAGTGTGTTTTGTCGAATCCCGAATCCACGGTTGGCTGTGTCGATCACCTCTCTTTGGAATGGCAATGGAACCCTTTTAACCAAGTGTGCCCGAACCAAGGAGAGCGGTTGAGGGCTGAAGTCGGTATGTGTAATTTCCGTGTGCTGGTATTGATAGGACGCCACACGAGCTATCATCGATTTTGCATCTCCTTTCGGGGAGGCCATGCTGGGCCGATTGGACGAGTCTAGACCAAGTGGTTTTCCCGCTAACCCATCTCTAGGCGGACTAGTACTGTGTTGACATGTTCCCGGCTATCTGGGAGACGGGCAAGCACACGTGTAGGCTAGTAGGGCCGTACACTTGATTGGAAACAAGCTTTCCATGGGAACCTGGGGTGTTCAAAAAACGATAGTGCGTCAATAGCGCGGTCGGAGTCCGTACTCGCTTGGTGCCCGATGACAGCTGAGCCGCCGTAGAGAAAGAGTTGGAGGAAATGGAGGTTATTCCCAGGCATGTCTACCTGTGTCCTTGGGGTGTCCGTATGGTCGGAATCAAGGCCAATCCGAGATGTCGGTGAAAAGGTCCATTGCTTGTTGACGTTCCATGTTAATCTCGGCTGGGAACCGAGAGGATGACGGCATCACCAGAGTTCTACTCGGCCAGTCCGCAGAGCTGCCTACACCAAGGTCAAATTGGATCCGGCGCTATCGTGGGGAGGGAGGGATGTTGCGAGGATCCATGGCGTCCATTCAATGTCAATGGAACCCTGGGTGATCTACCACGCCCTGTTAGCGCTTTGCCTTGTTTTGTATGGAGTTCGGGGAAGATCACTAACGGGCCGAGCCCGGGGTCTTGCCGAGGCTCTTGCCCAGCATTGCGATTCGACGGGACAGACCGCGAAGAGGAAAGACAAGCGAGGAAGACAAAGAGAAAGCTGAAGACGAAGCTCCCCAGTGGAGTAAACAGACTGCCAGGGGGATCCTGGGAAAACAGCAGAGCCCACAGAGTCCAGAACGTTGGGGACATGGAGATTGTGGAGTCGTGATGAGATTGGAATTGGTGACGTTGATTGTTGACAGGGCAAAAGTCGGAATGGCATCCAATTTCCAGTGGCTGCTCCCTTCTGCGCCTCTGATCTTGCCGTAAAAGTGGCACGTTGCTCCGGTTCAGGCCGATTCGACGCCACGGAAGGAGTGGCTTGCAGTGGCTTCAGGGGGCCTGCGTGAACTGCTGCAAAGCCCCAACTTGCAGTGCACCGTGCACTTGCCAGGCCTTGTTATTGACTGTTTGACATGTCCAAGTTTTATTTTATTTGTTTCCCATGTCATGGCAGTTACATGAACCACCGCAAGTGGAATGTTCACATCCGGCATCCGCTCGTAAACCAGTGCCCGAGGACCAATCAAGCAAGCATTGCATCGACAGCGATAATGAAGCAAAGACGAAGACGACATTCGGCCATCGGACCAATTTCTCAATCTCCCCGAGCATGACGATGGAAAAGAGGAGGACCATGATGGCTTTACAGTAATGGCACGACAGCTAGTCAGATTGATGTTGGACAACACCGAGGCCATCCAGGCATACACAGGCTGTCTTCCTCAGACATGGTTCTGACCACGTCTCTCGGACTCGGCGTCGTTCCATGATTCCATCTCATACTGCCGAACCCCATGAGGCCCATCAGCACCCTTGGATCCAACCTTCTCTGCCCCGGGCTGCAAGTGCTCAGCACTGTCGGCATCTGGCATCTTGACAAAGCTGGGGAGCTCGTTCTGCTTGGACGTGTTCGAGCTTACTCCCAAAAGGGACATGAGGGACATGAGACTCTCGGTTGGTATGATGCGTGCCAGGATCGGTCGCAGCGTAGGGCCGCATGCAGCAACAATACCGATATGGACCTCAGCCAGGTTCCAGATGGAGAGACCAGTGAGCATGGCTATACCACTGCGTTAGCAGATCATCTATCAGACGAAATAGGATAGGGGACACTGGCGCTTACAGATGGCATCCGACGTCCACAGACCCAAGCTTGCCTTGATGTAGATGTAGGCTTTGGCGACGGACGCACCCACGGACCTATCATCTACTGTTAGCCTGGCTGACACTTCAGGACTTGGACAGACAAGACTCACAGGGCACCGATCATAAAGGTCAGCAGCGTCAAGAACCTAGTACGTTTGTCCATCTTCATGCTGTAGATCACGGGAATTGGGATGAGCAGCGTGATAAAGTCGGTGGCAACATCACTGCCCACCATTGCATATCCGGTGGGAATCGCGCTTCCGCAGTGATCCAGATACTCTTGCGGCTGTCCGAACAGAGCCTTGAGGTGCGAGCCGCACTCTAGCAGGCCACCCAGGACAAAGGCCAGAGTCCACGCAATGATGATTGCGATCCAGACCATGAGGAAACGGCGAAACACGACTCGGGCAAAGAGGTGCCAGAACAGGAAGCATACGGATAGCTTGATCAAGCCGAGAGTAGCGATACCGAGCAGCAGGAACGAGAGTTCAATCTAAAAAAAAAAACAGTCTGTTAGAAAGGGCAGAGCAAGGCTTGGACAAGGAAGCGCACATGTTTGGCCTTGTTCAGACGTCCGTTGACTGCCTTGGGGTCTTCGATCGAGCCCCCCAGTGGATATCCCAAGGCGTGTTCCTTCACGCCTGTTTCTCGTTAGAAGTTGCGGCGAAGAAGATGTGGTCGGCGTTTTCACTCACCATAGATCTCCATCACGGTCATCCCGGTTGCGAAAACTGCAGCCACCACGATCAGCCAGTCGGCCGCAATGTAGCCTTGACGCTTCCACCTCTTGGAGTAGAATCTCAAGCCAACACAAAGTGTCGAGATAATCCACATGATGACAGACCCGGCGATGAGGCCGCCCGGGCTGTCATACTCGGGAGGTGAGAGTTGGGGTTGGGACATGATGGCTCAAGGCTGTTTGGACAACCCAATCTGCTGTTGGCAATGACTTGAGCCCAAAAGTCAATTGATCTCGGGCATTTGGCTTCCAAGGACGAGACACCGAGGTGTCAATGGCAGCAGCCTCAACGGGAATCGCTACCTTATTACTCATTCCACCATTGCGCGGGCCAAAAGATACAGACCTGATCCTCTCCAGCCTTCCCTGGCCAAGAGTAAGCGACGAGGGGAAATGTGCCGGCAGCTGATGCCAGCCTCTTCCGTCTTTGCCCGTGTCGTTGCACAACAGTTCCCTCGACCCTTCTTCCTTCCCAGCATGGTCTTTGGTCCGGGCATGTCACAGTCCATCCTATTCCTACCTTCCGCCGACGCTCACCCACCACCACGCTGATATTGAGTAGCAATACATGCTAATAAACGGTGTGCCGTGTCCAGCGTCCGGGATGGTTACACGAAAGAAAATCGTGGGCTTGTCTGCCTGCTACTACTATAATATCTGCCGTCAGCCCCTCACCTCACCTTACCACCGTTCCTTGGGACCATTCGTCCAATGCATACACGCGAACCACCGAAACAATACCACATTGGCTGCAGGCGAACCATGGTCAGTCAGCAAGGGGACGAACCGCAAAATGAGGGGGGCGGACAACGGGCCGTTTTTATATGGACACAAAGACCACAAAGCTGCTTCATTGCGGCGTAGACGGAGCACTCACTCAGCACCCCCCACCATTCTATCGGGGGGTGTCGCACGGCAATACTATGTGGGTAGGATCAAAGTCGGATAAAAGAGCAAAGGGATCATCATCAGCCAGACCCTTTGCCATGTCGCATCTGCCACCGTTCAAGCGAATAATGCAACACGGCAGAGTATCAGGAACCACTATCGGGGCATGCGGAATCCTTAGCCGGTGGTGGTTTTGTGATGAGCCGTTGCAGTTGCACTCCGATAAGCCGCAGACGGAGGATTTTTTGGTCTCGTATACGAAGAGCGAATACAAGCTCCGGGTCTTGGAGACCAACACAGACATTTCCATGGTACACAAAAACACCGGTTACGTTTACAATTACACTGCGCATCAGTCCAATCACTTAAACTTGTCGGACTTGAAGTTGCTTGCAGGGACGGAGTGCTTGGTCTGACCGAGGAATCGCGACCAGTACCGTTCTGCAACAGCCATGTCCTAGATGTAACTGTTGGTTGTTGGTAGGTTCCGTTCCCATGGCAGTCAGCAATCAGGACCTCCTGTCATTAAGAGAGTCCTGACTGATACTTCCCGCCCAGTTAATTGGTTGCCCTGTTTGGACGTCAGTAACCCCGTTGGACCCCTCCATTTGTGTTCCATTCGCCTTGACAGCCGTTTACGGTTGAAGCGCCACCACATCTAACAACCTGGAAATCCTGACAGCCATTGTCACCAAGTCGTTCTTTCTCTGGCACATGTCAATAATTTGGGACAAAGTCAACAAAACATCACATCACCACCAGTATTTGCAGTTTACGCCATCGAGCAACCGGCCAAGAAGCTTGACTGCTTGAAGCACACCAATGCATCCTCATTACCTTTTCTGAAAAAAAGCCAAAGCCGAAGAACGCCACCACCACAAGCAACTCAACCCAAGAGCCACGCACGATGCTAGCCGCACTTCGACCGCTCCAAGCGGTCCTCCTCGGCCTAGCGCTCGCGACCTCTGCTGTCCTCGCGACAGACACAAACCCCATCGTCAAAGACCCCATCAACAAGCTCTCCTACAAGGGCACCATCACCACCCCCCCCAATTCACCAGAAAAAACCACCAAAATCGAACACTTCCTCAACATCCGCTTCGCCCATGCTGCCCGCTTCACCCCTCCCTCACCCTTCCTCCCCTCCCCCGGATCTACCATCGACGCCACCTCTCCCGGCCCCGCCTGCCCGCAATCTCTCCCCGCCATCCCTCCCTTCTTCTCCGAAACTCACGCGATAAGCGAAGACTGTCTCAATTTGCGCATCTCCCGCCCCTCGGGCGTTAAGGCAGATGCAAAATTACCGGTGGTGGTCCATATCCATGGTGGCGGGGTAGTCAAGGGGTCTGCTTACGATCCCCATTTCGACCCCGACCGTCTGCTGGCGTTGAGTGTGGAGATGGGGCAGCCGGTGATTTATGTGGCGATCAATTATCGACTTACCATCTTTGGGTTTGCGCGGTTGCCGATCCTAAAAGAGCAGAAATCCCTCAATCTGGGCATGAGGGATCAGAGAGTGGCGCTGGAATGGGTCAGAGACAACATTGACCATTTTGGCGGGGACCCTGAACGGGTGACGGCGTTTGGATTATCTGCTGGAGGAACGTTTACGAGTTTGCAGATGGTTGCGTATGGAGGGGCTAAAGGGGCGCCGTTTACGAGGGCGTGGATGATGAGTGGACCGCCGGGGACGGCGTTGAATATGACGAGTGAGGAGACGGAGAGGCATACTAGGGAGGTTGCTGAACGGGTGGGTTGTGATTCTACCAAGAAAAATGACGAGGAGGTGTTGGAGTGTTTGAGGAAGGTGCCCATGGAGGAACTGACGGAGAAGGCGATGGGGTATTCGGTTGAGAATCATCCGCCTGCTGGGTTGTTTACTTTTATTCCTTCGGTGGATGGTGACTTCATCCCGGACCGTCAATCGGTTCTTTATCAGTCCGGGAAGTTTGTCAAGGGTACGTCCCCCTCCCCTTTCCTTCCCTTCCCTTGGCCCCGGCCCTCCTCATCTCCCCACAAAAAACATTCTAACAATCTCCCACTCAGGCATCCCAACAATCCTCTCCTGGGCACAAGACGACGGCGCCACCAACGCCGGCCCCGCCCCCCTCTTTACGTCTGAAGAATCCATGATCCCCGCCCTCCACTCCTTCACCGGCCCCTCCTCCCTCACCCCCTCCGACATCACCACCCTCTTCTCCCTCTACCCCGCCTCCGACTTCCTGCCCGAATACCTCTCCTACGCCTCCTGTCGCGACCCGGACTCGGGAGACCCAGAAGCACCAATCCACTACTTCCGCATCTCGCGCATCCTGCGCGATATCTTATTCACCTGTTCCAGCATCGACTTCGGCTACCATTTATCCCGCGCTTCTTACGCCGAAAATCCGGACTTTGCCGGGGTAAGACTGTATACCCTGAACCAAAGTATGTTGACCCCGCTCTTCAAGGGCGCGGGCATGCCGTATCTGGGCGCGGTGCACGGGAGTGATACGAATTATATCTTTAACGGGGTTTTCCCGGAGTTGGGCGATGCTTGTTCGGAGGAGGATGGCAAGTTGGCGAGGGAGATGGCGGGGGCTTTTGTGAGGTTTGCTGCGACGGGGGATCCGAGCCCTAGTAGTTCCAAGGACAACAAGAAAAGGGGGGAGGGGGAGGGAGATGAGGAGGGGTGGGAGTGGCCGGAGGCGTTTGGGGGTAAGGACGAGTTGTTGGAAGATGGAGTTGGGACCAAAGGATTGGAAGAGCTACGGGGAGTTAATGTGCATGTTATTGGCGGGCCGGTGGGGACGGGGAGTTGTAGGGTTAGACATCATGGGATTGTGGCAGGTGAGCAAGATCTGGGGAGCATGCAGAAGCCGATTGTGGGAGAGGGGGTGGAGTATGGGGAGATGGGAGAGAAGGATGAGGATGAGGAGTCTACGGCGGCTAAGAAACCGGAGCAAGTGAGGAGGAAGAGGGAGGCGCTGTTGGAGAGGGAGAAGTTGCTTAAGCGGTGTGCGTTCATCAATACTTTGAACGAGAAGCTGGGCGTTTGAGTTGGATAGTCCCGAGTTGAGGTATGCTCTGGCTCGAGACAGGTCTGGAACATGGCAACTGGGCAAGTGCAGTACCGTGCCTGGTTAGAGGCGGGAGAGGTCAAGCAGGCTGAGGATAAGAATAGCAACACGGAAGCAGCATTTGATGTGGAAGATGTAGGCAATACCTACGGCTGTATGTTCAAGATGATGGCTTTGGAAGATATCACACGGGTGGTTATTTGTGACTACGTCCCCTCTTTGTAAAGTACAAGCTGAAGCCAAGAAGTGGGAAACACTTGGGACAGTCGAGGATGGTTTGCAACGTTGCCTCCTCCCTCTTGATCGTGTGCCATCTTCAGTCATTGCAGGATTGTCGGGTAAGGGTGGCTTTAGGCTCACCGAGGCTCTCACATAACATCGCCAACAGTCGCCGATATTGGATCGTTTTTAAGATTAGTGGCCACCTTCCCAGTGTCAAATGCGAACTGTCTCCCGAGGCACTGTTGAGCTGTGAATAGCTTACGGTTCCGAGACCTGACATGGAGAGGTGACCCTGCAGAGCAGTGAAGACAGATGATTGATGGAACAACAACGACTAAGTCAATATCGGCGTACTCGGTGCTTGACTGTCGTTGGCGCGGATACGAACCTGTGGGATCAACACCCAAAGGAGTTAACATTGAAGAGGCAAGAGCAAGGCAATGACGAGGCACAGTCAGCGTTGGACGCCGGTAGTTCTCCGTGCGGATGCAGTCATAAGCCACGATCGGACCACTGCCGTTGCCTTGCTTTGGCGGTTACTGCAACGATGGCTCGTGCAGTTATAACTCTTGAGTAAAAGGTTTTCCTTGGGCTGTTATGGCTGCCTGCGCACTGGGTGCACTGTAAATGCTCGGTGCTTGGCGATACGGTATTCCTCTCCGGGTGTTTCCCGAGGACGGACGGTTGAATCGAAGGATCGTGCTCGGAGTGCCGAGTGTGTCTGGCCCCCAAAAGCGTGATAACGGTACCTGGAACTACGAGTCGACCGCTAGCATATTCCTGCTAGGCGCTTATTGTGATAAGTACCGGAAGGTGATGATACCTTTCAAGATCTTTTGCCGATCGGGTCTGGTTGTGCTCTTGGGACTTTGTTTCCTTTGGCTTGTATGTATATCTTTCGGTCTGAAGTCATCGTCAGTGCTGAATGGTCTCCCCGATTTCTTTCCTTGCTTCATCTCTTTCTCTCCAGGCTGTCTTTCAACGCTGGCAGTTCGCAAACGCCTCTCACCTTCAGCACAACGAGGTCTTGTACGCCATATCAGCGTTGCAAACATGAAGACTGTTACGCTGTTTGTCTTGCTTGCGGCGTCAGTCGCCTCAGTCTTTGCTGCTCCCATTCCGTCTTCAGGTAAGGAAGCCCCAATGATTTTGATGAGCCCATGACTGACGACTGGACCACCATAGAGCTTGCTCAAGCCACTCGACGAGATGGACATGGGACAGAGTTTGACACGGACCTTTGTCTTCTCAAGAAGCGAACAGGAGTGATTGGCGAGGGGATCGACAATTGCGACATGTGAGAAGGATCTGGGTACTTGGTACAGGCATTGGAGTGGAAGTGTGAATGGAGGGAGGTCGGATGGATGTCGGAGGGAAGAAGAGGGGTCCAGTTACACAAGGGCAGCAATGGTAGGGGACGGCCAGTTCCTTCCGAAACAATGTTGTTTTCCCGGGTTGGGTGGGATTTAAGGCAGGCACGGAAGGATCCGAGAATAGCATTTCCATTGTAACTTCCGAAAGGGCTGAACTGATGAGCGGGAGAAGAAGGGGTTTCCAAGAGAAAGTCGGTGTGCAATCAATTTATTCATTTGATCTTCACTTTTGTCAAAGCCAATTGCGCATAAGGTTGTTCGGGTGTCTTTGATTGCGCCGCAAAGATATACACATTCGCCCAGAGGCCATTCCAGGCTGCCTTACTCGGTACCGTCCACGATATCTGACGCCCCCAACTCAAACTCCGGTACTTGTGCACCTTCAATATCACACTGTCGATATCTTATCATTCGGATTCCGGCAGATGGGCCCGTTCTTCCCCGCCGCCGCCTTCCCATGTTTCGTATCACTCTTCGCTGACCACCTTAACGGCACCCTTTGGCCCTAGTCCTCCACCCTCATTCATATGATGTGTCTAGCCCTACAGCGCCAAGACGCGGGTTCCTCAGCCAAATTGAAGAGCCGCCGTTGCTATCGGTCCGGCAGATCAGCGCCCACCTCCGTTTCATGGGCGCCTGTTCAAGGACAAGATCACCGGCATGGCTTACTCACCCGTATCGTACGATATGCTTCCAGATGCTTTGTGGGCCAATAGTTGAACGTCTTCATGAGTCAGGAGTCTCATAGCATACCTCTATGCACTGTTACCATAATCTTTAGTCCTGAACACTGATCTCTTTTGCGGTACTGTGCGGTTGGCCTACAAGCGCCTACTGACAAGGATGAGGGCGAGAAGGATCATGGACTGCATGGCATTTCACACAACCGCTTTCTACTTGTCTCCAACATCAGTTGTTGTGTCTCTTGCCCTGGTCAAGACCTTGATGCAATGCCGGCACTTTCAATCGGTTCATGTCACTCCCACACTATGGGTCTCTGCTTCTTCCTCCGATACATTTCTCCCACTCATTCATTGTGCCCATAGGTTTTGACCAGTTCTGTGACGACTGCTCAGATTTTCTTTGACGAGATTCTCATCTCAAGAGACTCCATCATGGAGCCATTGATCACAGACGAGAAGCCCCGGTATGCTCGTTTGCACGGCGATGATGAGAACATCCCTGAGAATCCAGAAGCATTAGCCCTCATACGGAAGTGGAAACGGAGATTCTACGTCCTGCTCGCTTCATCTCTTTCCTTCATTACAATCCTCTGCGGTGTTGGAGTCTACAGCATCTTGTCATTGCAAGACTGTCCACCATCAAAACCCGGGGCCGTAATACCGTATTGCAAGTTCTTCCTACATGACGACTTTGCAGTTACTAACACCATTCACAGCACCGGCTCCGGTACAATATGTCAATAAATGGCTGACTGGGGACCCGGACACCAAAAAGTTCATGGGCAAACCTCGTCCTGAACTCGACCAAGCATGGCATGACCTCCTTGACAGCACTCTGATCAAGTACTCAGCCGATGAGCTCTTCCTCGCCAATAACGCCACCTCAGTCCAGCACAAAGATGGCGGCTTCGTCGGCGGGCTGGGTATTTCCCATTCTTTGCATTGCCTTGTAAGCGGCCACCCTGCCATCAAGTACCGACCATCGCGTCTCGGCATCCCCACTCTCCCCTTTTTGCTTACAATCTCCACCATGCCAAGAATCACAAAGTAAACAAGTTTCCCAATCCGTTCACTAACACCTCTGCGCACAACAGAAACGGCTGAAGCAATATCTACACCCCGAGTACTACTACGGCCATGAGGCGCAAGATTGGGACGAGCTCTACTCACACGTCGATCACTGTCTTGAGTCGTTACGTCAGGAGATCTTGTGCAATGCCGACGTGAATGTCTACACCCTGAAGTGGACGCCACACAGCCGGTTCAAGCCTACGGTAAAGGTGCCACAGCCGCATGCCTGTGTCGATTGGGAGGCGCTGCATGGCTGGATGAAGGGAAGGCAGGCTAGGTTGGAGGATATAGTCGGTCCGCCCGAGAGTTTGTTTGAGGGGAAAGATTCCAAGGAGACAGGGAGTGCAAAGGGTCCGGAAGAATGTCAAGGGAAAGGGGACTGGGAAGGGAAGGAGGGGAAAATAACGGAGTGAGACTGCTTGACGTAAAGGTAATGATTGGGGATCCTTGGCGTAGCAAAGACAGATCTAACAGGCACCAATCTCTCCGACCTGTTTGGGCACCTCTCGAAAATGTCGAGGTGCCCCTCTGACGTTGGTTCCGACCACACACGAGGAAGGAACGTGCCTCGCAGCACGATTTTCCAAGAAGGAAGGCGCTCATCGCGTTCCTGCTGCTGTGGATTGCGACGAGTGCGTGTGTTAGATCATTGCCTTTGATCAATTCTTACATAGTTCATCCATTGCTGCTGTTACAACGACCGCAACCACGCACCTATAGCCATCACTCCGCATTAACAAGCTCAACATATTACCAACAGTATCAATATCTTGCAATTCATCAACGAACTTCCAGTATCCTCGGTATTATACCCTCTTTCCTACCCTGCCCACTGCCCACTGTTCCCTTCAAAAATCTTGCTCCCACCAAACACGCTAACAACCCATCCACAGCAATGTCCGCCAACGATTACTACAACAACAACAACAACAACAGCTCCACCTCAGGCCCCGGCCATCAACAGCCCTCCTCCGACACTCAACACGCCCCCAACCAATCCCAATCCCATAGCTACCCTCCCCAAGGCCAAGCTCACCTCCACTCGTACGACAACCATTTTCAACTCCAAGACCACGCCGGTCGTCGTCGCAGCTCCGCCATCTCCATCCCCGCCGGTGCTGCCGGCGTCAGCTTGAACCCCCATCTCGCTCAGGGTTTTCTGCAACATCAAGTCCCGAACAACACCCCCGCCAACCATAGTGGTACCTCTTCCGTTCAACATGGTCATCATCCTAACACCAGCCACTTTTGTCCGGTGGGACAAGACTCGCACAACACCAGCACCTCCAACGTTCTCAACGGTCCCAACGCCAACGAACCCCACGGTTATAACGGCCCCAACGCTCCCAACGCTCCCAACGGCCCAGACGGAGAGCGCGGTCTCGGCGCCACCCTCGTCGGCGGAGCAAGCGGTCACTTCCTCGCTCACCAGCTCGGCCATGGCCATCACGGTGTCCTCGGAAGCACTGCGGGGGCGGTGGCTGCTAATTTGTTGGAGCACCAGTTGAAGAAGAGCCACCACAATGATCACCACAATGATCACCACAATCAGAATCAGCATGCTCATGATTTGGGGCATAACGGAGGAGGTGGGAGAGGAGGGTTGAGTGGGATGTTTGGTGGTGGGCATCATAATCTTCAACAACAGGCACAGCAGCATCACTACCCGGCTACGCACGCTGGAGGGGTTGGGTATGAGCAACACGGACAAGGATATGGTCAAGGAGATGTTCATCAAGAGCACCATGGACATGGAAAGCATGGGAGGTGGGGTCATTAACCGCTTGAGAGGCTCTGGGAAAAAGTGTTGGTGAGTAGTTGTCCTATTTGTATCGCTTACCTACCTACCTGGTTTTTGGCTTATCCTTGATGTATCGATTGTGTCAGGCCTAGTCAGTAGACCTACATGAAACAAAACTTTATTACAACTTTCCACTTCACGAGCAAGAACATCATACACAGGCATCGCATGATTCGCATCACGTTGTGCATATGGGCCTTAGGCATCGACCCCAACAAAGATTGCTGCCACCAATTCGATCCCACTATCCGACACCTCCGCTGTAAGTACTTGCCCATTGAAGCAGCACGTCCTTACGCTCTTGGTAACAACCTCGCTGACCAGCTTTGCTCCGAGAAGTAAGCCAAAGGGGAAAATAGTAACGCTGTCACCCTGCTCGACACAAAAAGGTAGCGACATAGGTCGGAGCGGGAGGGTGCCCAGACGAACCCGGACTCCCAAATCTCCTCGCTGCCGGCGGTCACACCCCTCGACAAAGCCGACTGGGAATTCCGCCTGATCCTCCAAGCCTTTGGCAATTGGCATCCACCACATCCCCATCCCGCGTCCTCGCCCTTCCCCCTTCCAACGTCCCCCTCCCGTTCCCACAAGCCCCTACATCCCATCCTGGCTCACATAGCTAATGCTCCGAGAGCGTTGGGGGAAAATGTAAAAAGAAAACAAGTACGAAAATAATAAAAAAATATACTTACTCCGCTGGGAAACCGCTTGGTGAAAACCCAGATCCCGCTTGAGATTCGCTGTTGGTTAGTGACACTCGCTAGGTGGTTAGTTATGCTCGCTATGGGTTAGTATACTCCCTGGGAGCCTAGCCTGTTAGTAGCACCTTCACGCGCAATTTTGTGATGGGAGCCTGGCCGGTTAGTAGTGATGGGAGCCTGGCCGGTTAGTAGCGCAAGTTGCTATCTTACACTAAATTAACTACTCGCCAAGGTTCGGTTCAGCGACAGGCCCTGCCCCTACACCTGTATTCCCTCTCTCGGCCCACCCAACAAGTGTAGAGACAGGCGGCGACCTTCTAGCCCTGACGAGCACATAATGATACTGTAGATTTTTTTTTTTGGGAAAGAGGAAGGTCAACTTGAAGGAAACAGAGAACTCACACCGCTTTGATACCAGGGGGGGAGTGCCTAGGACGTGCCCAGACAGCTCCCCCCCAGTATGGCGAAAATGTTGCCCTCGAGGAGGAATCGAACGGATGACCTTGCGGAAGGTGCGATTCACAGCCCACGTGGGGAGCCGCTACGCCACGTGGCCACATGGGTTGTTGTTACCCACTTCAACGGGAACCCAAACCTAAATAGGCATAGACGTGTCCGAATCCCCCTTCCGTCCCAACTTCCCGTCCCAACATCCCTGGCCCGATGTACCTCCACCATCAATTGCCAACACCAACCCTTTGGGTTTTCGCATCGCATTTTCCACCGAAGAAACTTGCCAGGGAAAAGAAACTCATTGACGTGCTCGCGCACAGAAGTGCTGGAAAAAAAAGAGCAACGCTGGGAATGTTCGAGGAGAAAATTTGCAAAAAGAAGACAACAAAGAGGAAAAGAAAAGAAAAGTGAACCGGAGGAGGAGGGAGGGGTTTGGTTTTTATCTCCTGCACCAGCTGCACCACAAACCTGCCAAAGTTGCGTTCGGTGTATGGATGCAACCAACATGCAACATGCAACGAACGACCTGCTAGCACAACGGACGATCACATGGCAATTTGAGAACATCCATTATTTGGTTAGTAATGTGGGCATTTTTTTGTACCAGTTGATAACAGTTCAGTTCAGTTGATGCTACGAGATATCGGACTTGACGATACCAGTTGCACTCTCCGGCAGCCCAGAATCTTTTGTAGAGTGGCCATGGAATGATCCCAAGGCAAACCAAAGGGCGGGAATTGTGTCAGATTCAAGGGTGATTTTAGCCATACCATATGGAGGTTAGCGCTCCAGCTACCTAATATTGCCTGATTTCTGGGTATATTTGGGTTACCCTAATACCCTCTATACCTTCTAAGCGAATTAATCATATACATTCTTCAATCAATTAATTCTACACCATTATATCTAACAATTAATAATCTAATTTGCGTATTTATATTCAACGCTATAATTATTAATTATAAGCAAGATCCCTACGAAACTAATAACATCAACTATATCCTTATCAAAAGAATCTACCGATAAGGCTATTACGGTTATTTTTAATACCCGTACCGACTAGCCTAATTAATATAAAATTCTCAAGAGACTTGTTAGTAGCAACTAGGAATTTAGAAATTGGCTGCTTAAAGGAAGACCTATAGTTCAAAAGGTTCTACCTCCGAAGCTGGAAGACTTCTTCTTTACTAAGTAAGTAAAGGACCGCCTTCTAACGGCAAAGAAGGAGCTCGTTAAATTCAATAGAAGAATCTGGGTTAAAAAGGCCGTAACTATAACCGTAATAATTACTACTACTATAGCTACCAATACGAATAGTACTATTACCGAAACTACTATTACTACTTAATTTTAAAAAGAAGCCGCCGCCGGCGCTAATGAAGACGATGAAGAAGGAAGTTTAGGAGAAGAAAATGAAGAAAAGAAAGAGGAGCATAATAAATACCGTACTAAATAGAATATTAAGAAAAATATAATTATTAACTCCTCTACTGACCTAATAACTACCGGGAAAATAGCGTACGATTAAATTAATAATATAAATAACGCTCGTTATAAATACTAGAAAAATTTTAATAATGATAATACCTAAATTCTTAACTAAATAAACACCTATATTACTACCTATTATATTAATACTTTATTTAAATAGGATAAATCCAACCGTAATTAATTTAAAGAAATTGAAAATCAAATTAATTATTAACTTATTGACTAAATTGCTAAAACTCGTCGAAATTATTAAACCTTTATTAAAAAAATAATAAAGAAGTAACCTAAGGACTTCGAAAAATAGTTATCTAATTAGGAAATCCTTATTGTAAACGGGAAAAGACTCGGAATTAGTAAAATAACATTCTTTACTTTATAGTTCACCGACTTTATCGATATAGTCCGTAAATATAAACCTATTTAAATTATCAGTTTTTAGAAATTCGATGACGAATTCGAAGAAATATCCTTAAAATATAAAGATATATCTATTAATTTTAAAAGGGTTAATATATTAGAACGTACTATACTATTAATCAAATTTAAAAAGGCTATAATTCGTAGCGCTTAGGGTATTAACCGCTCTAATTCGTAAGAGTTCGTATTTAATAAAGAGGATATTTCTAATTTTAATTATAAAAAGAAACGGAAGGTAAATGTAAGGAAGAAACGTAGCGCGGATAAAAACGCGAAAAATTCTTTATAGCCGAAAAAGAGAAGAAGCGCTACGGCGCTTTATAGAATTTACAAACAAAGTTCTTATTCAATAATATACTATTAGTATTTAATATTTAAATTAGGAATAATCCTAAATAGAAGCTAAATAACCCTATTTGAAAATTTGTTAATAAGAATCTCGAAAAATATCCTAAAAGTAATAAAGAAATTAAGAAGGTTAAAAGTTAAATATAAGACTGCTTTATTACTTCTACGTAAATTACTACTTCGAAAAATTAAAGGAGACAAAAAATTAGTACTTGTAATTTAATAATTCTTATTAAATAAAGTACTTTTAATACGAGTAGTAGTAAGGTAATGTTTATTTACTTAAGAAATCTATAATCTTTAATTCTGGGGCTTCTATTTATATTTTTAACGAAATTAATTATTTTTCTTCGTTTTAACCAACGTTCTTAAAGGACCGAATTTAGGCTAGTAAATCTCAAATACCTATTAAAGGTTTTAAAACTATTAATATAAAAACATAAAGAAAAAAGGGAACTTTAAAACTATGGTTAAAAGAAGTAACCTTCTACTTTAATTTTACTATAAATTTTATATTATTACGCTTACTTTAAAAGTAAAATCTTTATTAGGATTATAAACCGCCTAGTAATTACCTCCGTCGGTTAAATAATTTACTTTTTTATTTCTTTTAAAAAATCCATTATTAAATAATTTTCAAACACCTACCCCTCTCCTTCAACCGTCCTACCTTCTTTACTCGTTAAAATCGCTTTAATTCCTTTACTGGCTATTGTGTATATAAAATACCCGCCAAACTCTAATATAAGTAATTCGGTTACTATAATCCTCAAATCTTTAAATACTTTTATAATATTGAAGGCATTAAATTCAGAGGGCCCGCTACTCATTAATACGATACGTACAATATTTTAAAAATTAAACGATAAATTAAACGAAACTTACGAAATAAAGGATTTAATCTAGGAAAGCGTCTTGCCGTCGATTTTCTTAAATATAAAATAGGGAAAAGTAGCTTTGAATATATTATATTTATTACCTACTAATAAAATAAATTCGTTTGGGACATTTATGTAGCGAATCGAATAATTAAGGCCATCGCTAAAAGACTCTATTTAATTATTAATATAATTAATTACTAATATAATATTAAAATTAAATATATTAAATACGATAATAAATTTAATAATTAATATATTAGAAATAAGTTAATTATACGCCTTATTATTTTCGAACCTTTAATACTTAATATTTAAATTTATAACGGTAATACTAAATATTATAAGGGTATAATTAAAGAAAAAGCGTATATAATAATAAATAGCGTTAAAAATCCCTTATAATTTCTAGCTTTAAATCATTTTAACTTCCGTTTACTTTATTAATTAATTGCTTAAATATTTCTATAATTAGAAGTTACTATACGAATAGATTTATACTTTTGTAATTTACTATAAAGGGGTATAAATTAAACCCTGTAAACTTAATTTTAATTATTTATTCGTCTACGGCTATAAAATATATATAATAACAGGTATTATATAAAAAAAAGAATAATAGTAAAAAGAATTTTAATTAAAGGCTTAAATCGGATTCCTTATTAGCTATACTACCTCTTCTAGTTACTAAATTTAAAACCCGTAAATTAACTGTATTGTGTATACTCGTAATATATTCTTTAACGAAAATCCAATTTATTTAAGGAACCTTAATAATTGTCAAGAAGGACTAAGGTTAATTAGTAACGAAATTGCCGATCTATTCAATTAAATTAATTAACCTCTTTAATTCTTTATATAATATTTTGAACCCTTCAACGTAATTTAAAATATAGAAAATAATAATCTTACCTCTCTCCTACCGTTATTTATCGATAATAAAAATTTAAAAAATAATAACGAAACTATTTCGAAATTAATAAAGCTTACTGCTCAAAATAAAATATTTGTCGACTTTATATTTAATTACCCTACTCCGCTAAATATATTACTAACTATTTTTACTACTAACCTTATAATAAATTTACTAAAACTTATCTCCTTCTTAACTTTCGAATTATAGGAAGTTATATTTAACATTAGGAAATTTATTCAATTAATTAAGTAATAGTAAGGTAAAATAATTATAAACGTAGAAATTAATTACCTGATTTCTAAAGGTAGTAGACTAAATTCTATTAAACGTTAAAACCTCCTTCTAATCCCAAAAACTTACCGCAATTTTAAATATTATAATTCAAATAATCTTTTTAAATAAATAAAGGAAATATATTTTAACAATTATAAAAAAATAAAATTATAAATTAAAGTTGACGAAGACGTTCTCCGTATTAAAAATCTTCCAATCCTCGACTATATATAAATATATATATATAAATTTAATAAATATAGTCAATTATTAAAAGTAAAGGCTCCCTTTATAATTAAAGGAAATTAGTAATATAATTATAGTAAGGAAACGTATACTTCTACGTTAATTAATCGCTTATTTCGGTCAATTATCACCTACGCTATTAAATTCGATTTCGAACTCATTTAATACAATATAATAAACGCCTTTGTTAATGCCTACCTTAAAAAAGAAATATATATATATATATACCCCCTAATTATTAAAAGTATAATACTATCTTTAAAATCCTGAAGACCTTTTATAATCTTTAACGAACTCCCTTACTATAATAACGAAAATTTAATAGGACCTTTAAAAATTTAAGGTTCAAATTATTATTCGAAGACCCATATATCCTCAAACGTAATAAAATCCTAATTTTCTATTACATTAATAATATTATTTTCGCCTTTAATGAATTATAGTATAATAAAGTTACCCGGGTTACGAAGAAACTAAAAGAGAAATATAAATTTACTAGTAGTAATAACCTTTAATAGTTTCTAAGTATCGAAATTATTCGAAACTAAAAAGTAAACTATATTTAATTATCCTAATAGGAATATATTTATAAAATTACTAAATTAATTAAGAATCCCTATACCTTCGCCTTTGTTCCAATAAATAATAAAGAATTAATACTTTATAATAGTATAACCTCTTTTAATAAAATCCGGGAATATTAGGTTATTATTGTCTCTATAATATACGCTGCTATAATTACCCGGCCTAATATCACCTTCGCCGCCAGCTGACTAATTCGCTATAATTATAACCCTAATCCTTAATATTGTAAGGCTATTAATAAAATTTTATATTACCTTTAATATTACCTTAATCTCTCCCTCTATTATAATAAATTAATAAAGTTTAAAATCGCTTCAAATATATTGTACGCTAACAATTTTCTAAATTGAAAGAATTCGTATAGATTTACAATTAAATTCTTTAATAATTTAATTTATTAGGGTATAACTAAATAAAAAATAGTATCCACCTTAATAATAAAAATAGAATTATTATCGATTTTAAACGCTATTAAGGAAGTTATCGCTATTATACATTTATATAAGGAGATTAATATTCCCCTTAATAAAGATATGCCTGTAATCGGTTGTAATAATATATAAATAATCTGTATATTAATTATTAAAGTAGCGAAGCTAATAATTAAATTAAAATATATCGATATCTATTGTTATTAATTAAGGTAAGAAACTATAGAGGGAAGGATTAAAGTTAAGTATTTAGAGACGAAGAAAATATTAGCCGATAGACTAACGAAGGTTCTAAGATAATTAGATTACGAGAAATTCTGGGAATTAATAGGAATAACGAATATACTAGTTTGTAAGGAGATAAGGATAGATAAGGAGATTCCGGATAATATTTTAAAGGATATTTACAATTTGGTTAAAGAAATTAATGTATTAGAAGAGAAATTTTATAAATAGCTTTACTTTTGCCCTATTTAGAAAGTTTGTAAGTAAGAGGGTGTATCAAATTTAAGGGTGGTTTTAACCATACTATATAGAGGTTAGCGCTCTAGCCACCTAATATTGCCTAATTTCTAAGCATATCTAGGTTACCCTAGCACCCCCTATATCTTCTGGGCGAGTCAATCACACACACTCTTCAATCAATCAATTCTACACCGTCACATCTGACAAAATGATCCCGATGCTAACTGATGAGTGAGTGGTGAGTGCGAAAGAAGACATAAGATCTGTTTTGCAAGACAACGCTGTAAATTGATGAGCATGACCTCCTCTTAGCTGTTGATTCCCCTCCCCAGATGCTTGATTGGATCTCCGTTGTTGACAAGACGAGCTAAATCGTATCTGTCTGTAGCTTAAAGTCCGCCATGGCAAGTCTCCCCAAAGCCACCCACCCACTAACCTCTTATGCCCGCTCATGCTCTCGGGCTCGGCCAAGAAGACCAATTCCCAATGATGCTTTCGTAGTGAGAATGTAAACCACTGCCTCGGTAGCTAGCGTATAACAGGTGTTCATGCAATGTTCTGATGTCCATAAGCAAACAATGACTTCCACTCCTTTCCTTTTGCCTAGTAACCGCGCCAGAATCCCCCGAGCCGAGTCTCCTTGATTGACACCCCTGTCCATTCCTCAAATACTGGCCGTAAACACTGTTTCTTTATTGAACCCGTCAGGTATCTTTGATCCACCTTGATGACATCCTCCCCCAGATCTTTCCCAAATGTTACTACGCCCGGACGATACCCGCGCCCTCCCGGCGCCCCCTCGATACCGGGATCTGAATCTCCCCTTCCGAATCCGAGTCTCCTCTCTCCCTTGCCGCGGCAAGCTCCAACATCCTATCAATGTCCTCATCTTTCAGGCCCGTGCGTGCCGGCCTCGAAGGTACCGTGAGTCCCGAGGAAACAGGCAATTGCTTCAACTTTTGTATAGGTGCGTGCGCGTGCGCGTGTTGTTGTGGCTCGCCACCAGTAGCAGCATGGCCGTTGTATCCTCCCCTCTTCCGCGGCATGCCTCGGGTGTTGGTGTTGCTGTACGGCGAGACGCCGTAGGTGCCGTCGTCCATGTCCATGGCGTTGGGAGACTTTTGGAAACCTACGCGTTTTTGGGTGGACTGGGACTGTGTTTGGTGGGCGCGTGGGTGGTTTGTTGGTCTTGCCGAGGGTAGGCTTTTCCGTGGTTGTGAGCTCGGCAGTGCGGTTCGTTGTTGCGGTTGTGCGTGGCCGGATGGCAGTGGTTGTGATGATGGCAAAGGTTGCGACGACGATAGTGGTTGTGATGATGAGGGAAAGCCGTGTTTGAGGTTAGCAGAGTTACCGGGACTACTCATGAAGAGCAAGGATTCTATGGCGTCTTGTTCCCGGACGTTCTGATGTGGAGGGTAGAGTGGCGGATCCATTAGCGATGTCCGATGATGATGTGTTGTTAGGTAAGGACTGGGTTGCCCAGCTGTGTTGAGTCCTTGTTGGGGTGGTGGCTGGTGGTTGATAGCAAGAAAAGCCTGTGTGTTTCGTGGCACCGAGTTGCGCCGAGGATGTTGAAATTGCTGTCTTGTTGGCTGAATAGGAGCGGGAGGAGCAAGAGTAACAGAAGGAATAGGCTCTGCCTGCGAAGTTGGGCTATAACGAGGAGCCAAGTGACCCGATTCCGGCGGATAGGGACTCTCGGCGGGCCGCCCTTGGCTGTGATGTTGTTGGGAACCTGACGGATGTTGTTGCGAACCCGATGGATGATGCTGCTGAGACCCTGATGGATATTGCTGGGAGGATGTTGGGTATTGTTGAGAGCTAACGGGAGCCATACTGGCGTGGCTACCTCTGCGTTGGAGGTTCGAGAGCTGTGGACTGGCGGACGATCCGTTCCTCATGTGTACCGTGGAATTGCTCGAGGTAGGAGAAGCGGCACGGGAAGCCAGCGACTCTACTTGGTCAATCGAGTGGGATTGCCATCCATTGTTGACCTTAACCATTGCGTATGAAAGACGAGTCTTGAGCTCGGCAGAGAGCTGTAACAAAGGTGGTGTTAGCATTGAGAATTCTAAAAGCCAGAGATCCAACCAAAGACTCACCTCTCCAAGTCGGCTGGTGGCAGTAGAAGCCATACTGACGGCGCTTGTGTTCCTTGTGTGACTGGCGGTACCAGCGAGAGATGGGCTGGGCCTTTCGTATGTGGGCTTGACCATTCCGTCGGCCATGCGCTTTCTTGACAAAGCATTTCCATTCTCGGGTATCCTCTCCTGTGCGGCAGCAATCTGGGACAGCTGCAGCAACTGTGAATCCTGGCTCGAGTCGTGGCTGTTGGGCTTGCTGGGGCTTCGACCACCTTCGCTGGAGGGCGGGGTAAACACCAAGTCAGCGTCGTTGGTGGAACTTGTTGCTTGCGAGACGCTGAGAGAGTGCGGGAGGCGGTGACGTTGGGACGGCGGAGGAGGTTGGAAGCGACTGGAGCTGTCGTAAGGAGCTAGATTGGCACTGCTGGCGTTGACCGGCGGGTATTCGGACGGGCGAGGGTCGTAGATACGGGGCGCCTCGGGGGCCGGGTGTCGGACGGGTGCCGACGGCTGGTGGGAATGGGGATGCGGATAACTTGGGACGCGATAGTCGGTCGCGTCGTGGGAGCTGGTGGCCGCTGGTCGCGTCTCCTTGTCGGCAGTAGAAGCTTGTCGCATGGTGGCGGCGACCATGGAGCTATGAGGAAGCAAAAGTGTCGAGTCTTTGTCGGCATTGTGAAGCGTCGGCGTCGGCGTCGCAATGGTCGCAATCGCAGTGACACGTCCGGGGTCCAGCGCAGGCAGCACCGACGCGGAGGGCGTGTCCGGCCCCATAATTGCACTTTGAGTACAGCGACAACGGCCGGGCAGGCGAGGGGATCGTGGCGGAGAAGGGGGGGACGCGGTAGTTCGGGGCAGCAATTGGAATGCAGTCGTAGGTTGAAGATTGCTCGATGCGAGATTTGGCGACAAGCGAGGCTCTTTGGTTGGAAGCTCGGGTAGATGATCTCTATAGTGTTGGCGTGCGTTACGCGGTTCGCGACGCCGCCCGCAGATGGGCTAACGAACTGGAACCGCGCTGTGTTGCACTTACACGACTCCGCTTTCTCTAGCTGGGCTGCTGTGGACAATGGTTTCCCTACACTATTTAGCGGGTCCCCACTGCCGCGCGCGCGTGAACTTCTGGCGCTCTCGGGGCTTCCCTGTTCTGCATTTGTGAGCACCGCACGGATCGAATGGTGAGCAGCGCTACAGAAATTGACCCCACAATCTTCAAGTGTGCTCACGCCAAGAGCACGTGTGATTTGAGACCCAAGTTGATCATTTATGTTTCGCCTCTTCAATTGGCTCGGGACGCGTCGACTTGTCCTCTTCAAGTCATTTCACAACTCCAGTCTTCACTCTTCACTTCCGCTGTCCAGATCGAGATGAATGATCCATCATCAAACAGTCATCATGTTCGAGATTTGGTTGACCAAAATCCGCTAATTTACACTTAGGCCAATTTCCGAATTTTGTCCAATCTTTTTTTGTCTCGACGCCAACAAGCACCATCAAACTTAGTCAAGCGTCAACTGAACGCGAGGTCACGTGCCTCCAACTACACCTCTTCATATGCACATGTTTGAACCACTTCCTGTCATACTTCTATGCCCCCAACATTCTCATCATTAGGTGTGTCAATCAACCATTACATCTCTTGAATTTCAGTGCAATCTCCATTCAATCCGTAGAACTATCTAAAGTCTGTCCCTCTCCCAGCCCGAAGAGTCTTCTTCAACCACAAGACAAATACCCCTTCCACGTGAAATTCAACGCCCCCCGAATCGGCACCGAAAACATCTTATCCGCATCAATGAACGTCCCTCTCAGTTCGTTGAACGTGCAAAGCGACGGATTCCTCTGCAGCTCGTCCGACATGGAGTCCTTCTCTGGGTCCCAGTCTCTCCAGCCGCCTTCCCGGGGAATGCTCCATCTGATAACCGAAGCACCGCCGCGTCCGAATTCTTCCTGCTTATGGTGACAGGTGGTGATGTCTTCGTGGTCGCATTGGTCGGAGCAGCCTGTGTCTTGCCTGTAATGGCGGTCTTCAGCTTGGGTGGGGGTTGCGAGCTTGGGTTCTGGATTGAGGACGAGACAGAGGGAATCGTCGGTTTTGGTTTTGGAGGTACTGGATTGGTAGAGGAGGCGGGGTCGGCGCTGACTCGTTAATGAGGGGATAAGGATCGTGTGGTTGAGGGTTTGAATTTTGGGTTGTGGCTGCGAGTTGTCAGATGTCGATGGGTTCAAGGACATTCTGATGAACTTGACGCTGCAGGTCAGAAGTGGAAGACAGATGTAGACGGCATCAGAACACCAGTAGGTGACACCAAGGGGTACTGGCAAGTCATCCACCCTCTTGTGAAAGTGGTACGCAGTCGTTAACACATCCCCAGACTGCTCAAGTCTCGGTTCTTCGGTTCCGGTGTCCTCACCGGCTTCAAACCGGAATCTGGTAAGAGAGACTGTTGCTTTCGTGACATGAGAGCTTGCAGCGTCGAAGTTGATGGATAGGGCATACAGCAAAGAGCCGTCGGAAGAGAAGCGAATTTCGGTCAGTAAGCGTGAACCGAAGCGTGTCCCAAGGTCTGGCATCTGCTCTTTCTCGGCAATTTGAGCTTCCGGCAACAAAGGACCATCCCTTTCGGACAACTTGGGTAGGCTAGATGTCGTGGTCTTTCCGCTGACTGTGTTCATGATACTCAAGCTTTCTGCATCTTGTGCCCAGACAAAGACAGGCTCCCTGGGATGCAGCGTACCACCCATCTGCCTTCTTGTCTTTTGCCTTCCGTGGCATGGGACCCACACAGGATTCCCTTCTTCACGAACGATGACCAGAACGTCTGTAACGGTATCGCACTCGGGCTCTGTTGCATCCGTTGACGAGTAAATAAGATTGGAATCCCCTTCCGTCTCACTGCCTGTTTCGCTCTCACTCTCTTCTTCATCCTCGTCAAATTCCTTTTCATCATACTCTTCATCTTCCTCTTCTTCCTCGTCATACTCGGAACGATCATCATCTCCTGGGCCTCCTCCATCTTTCTGTCCTGTACCTTCCGCGAGCCCTCGGAGTCTCCCCATGGATTGCGAAGGCCTTTGCACTGGCGTAAAATAACATGCCACGTTGACCTTCCCTGTATGGTTGGAAGCAACCCGTACTTCATTGACGAGCTGCCAACTCTGTGGTGTGCTCGAGAGACATTCGCTTACCAGTCTCTTAGGCAGCGCATATGACTGTTCTCCGTCAGAATTTATAACCGCAACATCCAGATTACGCTTGCAGATTGAGTACATCCCGGGAGAATCGACAGCTGACAGCGAACCGAAAGAGCTGAAATGACGGAATGGAAAATTCAGACCTGAGTTCAGAGACCCAGAGACCCAGCCTGGCTTCGAAAATGGTGTTGAAACAAGCCATTTCAGCGATCCATCACCGGTGTCACTGGGCTTCATCAAGAGTACCCGAGCCTTGAATACGCCCTTGTCAGTACACACCTCGTCTACCGATACATCGCTGCTTGGTCCCAGCGCACGTGGACCAAGGGCGACTCGCCTGATTGTCTTGTCCAAGAACTTTGCTCTTCCCGGAAAAAAACCCCAACCTGCAAGGTCCATGGGGCACAGCAACAGAGCATCCATGCCAGACGAGAGTGCCTCGTGCCACTCCATGATGAAGCGTTGAAGATGGTGAAGAATCTCCAAATCGTGCGTTGACACCCACCCATTACCAGGCTTATCCCACCAAAGCGGTATTGTTGAAGCGATGAAGTCTGATGTACTCCATTCCGACCCATCAGCTCTCATGCTATAACCACAGCTGCCACGCTGTACGTATTGGGCAAACAGATAGCGTGCTACTTTGGTTTGTACCCGAAAGGCAGTCCAAAAGCCGCAGCTTTGGATAAATTTTCGGATCTCTTGACGCATTTCCTCGCAAGCCACGCCTCTCATATCCAAATGTTGAAACCAAAAGACAGAGGCATATCGAAGGAATGCATGCTCAGGGTCGGTTTCGAAAGACTCTGGCAGGCCATCCGGACTCTCATAGCGTTTGAAACTCAGGTACGTGAGACATATCCGGCCCATTTCCCGATGCGCCGATGATCGATCAATGAAGTACTTGGAGAGATGTTCCGAAGGGACCAGGCTATGGCGGAGAAGGAAGAAGTCTTGAACGGATTTGTGACTAAGCTTAACAATCGGGCTTTGTGCGGTATCGGCAGAGGGAGAATCGATGGTTAGGAACGATCCACAAAGCCGACGGATAGCGTCTTGAGATGGAATTCGTTTTGTGGAATAGTCGTTGGAGCCGATCCGTGTGGCCAATGCATCAAGCAGTTCGGTCATGGCTAGGAGTTTCCTGGTTGTAACAAGAATGACGATGGTGCGCCTGTAGACGAGTGGGTGAGTTAGCTAAGCAGTTAACCGAGGGCACCCCTCCTGAGAGCGAATGCTTCTTACCTTGCCAGCTCTTGCTCGTAAGTAGTCCGATAATTGAGTTTCTCGAGACTGCGCAAGTAACAGCCGCTCAATCCCTTGGGATAAGTTCTCAGTTCCTCTTCAGCCTCTTCCTCGCAAGTGATGCCTTGTCCAAGCAGGGTATCTGCTCGCAGTTTTGCATAGAGGAAGTTGCCCTCCGACGCTTCCACCAAGTCTTCAATCTGATCCGGCGAAAGTTCCTTCTCACTAAGCATGTCTTCAAGGTAGGCTTTGATATCTGCAGCCAAGCTTGCTGATGAAGGAACAATCTGAAATGCTTTGACCCTTGACATGGTTTCTCCTATTGGGCCTTCATTACGACTGGTGAAACACCACTTGGTGGTTCCATGCCGCTCCGAAGCCTGCGAAATCAGCTGCTCAAACATGCCATGGAAAGGATACGGCCTTTCCTGGTCTAACCCTATTATTTCGTCAAGACCGTCCACCACAATGTAAGCAAGACTCGTAGCCTTGAGAAGCTCATGGACGACATCCATGAGTGGTCTTTCGTGGTTGATGAAATTATTGGAATTGGCTTGGTCCTCGCGGAACATGTCAACAACTTTGTCCGGTATCCTCTTGGACATGTACCTGCAGAGTAGCTGTATGGCAATGGAACGAAGTGCGTTTCGAGGGTCTTTGCGGGTGGGGTCATCGAAGGAGCAGAAATACCAGACCACCTTGTGGTTCTCCTGCTTTAAGCGGCTGACAATCTGGGAGGCCAAGATTGTTTTTCCGCAGCCAGGAGGTGCGTTGTACCACAGGACAGGATCTGACTTTTTCCCTGTCCAGACATCACGCCTGTCCCATTCCTTGTATCCAGGGTGGTCGAAAATCCATGAACAGGTTCCGTGGTGGTGAAGTTCTAGCATATCATACAGACTGTGGCGAGGGTCGAGCTTGGAGGGGCCTTCGGGGCCGGCAACCCATGGGATGATCTGGTCTCGCAGCATGTCTGTCCGGTGCCTGCATTAGCGTATGTAACGAATACCAAGAAGTTCGGATGAATGCGTACCTGGACGCCATTGACGGGTCAGTCTGGCCTCGATGGACTGAGCGAGACACTGGACGCTTGTACGGTCCTCCTTAATGGTGCGTAGACAATCCTTGATGTCCTTGTCGAGTGGGCTGATAAGTCCCTTGGCTATGCTCTTTGAGAACGGAATTGGAGAGGATCTTAATGGATTCCCACCAGAACTGGAGAATGTTCCTGTATGATGCCACCAGTCTCGCCTGCATGACTGGGTCATCTCGATAGGCATCGTAGAAGTTGTCGTAGCAATGAAGGTATGTATCGATCTCATCGAGCGCTTCAATGACTGTATTCAAGCACTCCTGGGCGTTGAGCGCCAGCATCAAGACCATGCGAGCACCAGAGAAAATGGCGGCCACCGCCATGGGACATGCCCCGAAGACGGTCTCGCAGAACTTGGCAAGCTCGGTCAAGGATAACACGAAGGGTCCCAGCTTGTCCAACGCCCTGGCAGACTTGCTGTTTTTCTTCTTGGCGGCGACATCTCGGGAGAAGTCGTTGATGAAGGCTCGCAGTTGGGCTTCCTGGTGCTTGGACTCGGACGAGTTCTCGGGCGCAGTTTGATCGCGTCGCTCGGTAATGGACTTGATGAAGGGATGTTTCGCGTCTCTCTTGGACAGCTGAGAGAGGAAGTCATCGACAACGGCAGCGAAGCGTTGGTTCGGCGTCTGTGTGCTGTCGCTGTCGCTGTCGTTCTTGAAGTCGTCAGTCGTCATGTTGTGTCTAGAGCTTGGCTCCCCGAGGTCATCGGAAGCAAAGAATCCCCAACAACATCAACTGCCAGGGACTTGAGGTACAGACCGGAGATACAGGCCTTCATGTTGGGGTGCAGAGACTTAAAATTTAGGGCTGACTCCTTGATTACCACCCCACCCTATCCCATCCTTGCAAATTGACCTGGTGGCGGCAGCTGACACCCAGACTGAAAGTGTTGAAGGAGGTCACCAAGACCGGGAAGGAGAGAAGGCTGTGACGACAAGAGAAAGCCAGGTGGCGCGGGGTAATATGAATGATTTTGGCGATAAGGTTGCTTCGTTTGGAAGGCTCGAATGTCTCCGGCAAATGGACGATGGATGCCTGGAAACACCAATGTAAGGTGCTAGCCCAAAGGAGCGCTTAGCGCTGAAGCCGCATGCAAATATATGCAACTATTGCATGCAACCATCCCGTCATGCAGCAATCAGCAGGGGCATCTGACAGACTATTTAAACCGTCAGAGCGGGGATGGGGTCGGTCGATGATAACCGGAATGGCATGGCATCACCAGGGGCATGAGCAAGCCTGGTCTATATCGTGCCTCCAATGCCCACCATTAAAATGGCTCTACCTAGTCTTCATACCAGCAGTTGGCATGAGTCCACACCTGACAAACGCATCCCATCAAACGAGCAGCCATGGCGAACGTTGACGCCGGAACACGCCTTGAAAGCTTGATCCTTCGCCGCAAATACGATCCGAAGACTCGGGAGGAGAAGGAAGTCAAGGTTCACAATCTCAAATCCGATGCGCTATCCGAGGAACAGCGCAAAGAACTCGAGCATGCTCTCGTCATCCGTCAAGTCTACGACCAGAATGGCCGGCAAGAGAAGACCATCCTCAACGTCAACTCCCCCTTCATCCTCCGCGCATTCCGAGATGTGATCAAGTCCCATCCCATCGTTCCCTCGACCTTTGAGGAGCCCTTCGAGCTCGAAAGTCCATTCCAGATGCTGATTCACCACTGGGATGACCTGGATGTTCATCGCCGACAGACATCCGACTACGATGTCCGATCCCATCTCAACCTCCTTTTTGACTTCATGGAGTCTGAGCTGGGCCCTGACTACCAAAGACTCCAGGCCATGTGGCAAAAAGGCCATATTACGTACGAGACATTATGGTCCGTCTTCAAGCCCGGCAGCCTGCTCATCACGTTTGAGAACGGTCATCCCTGGCTTCTTCGCTGCTTACGGACGGGTTATGAGGTGTACAACAGCATAGGTCCAGTCTGTCATATTTACGGTCAGTACACCGACTTTGATGGGAAAACATTCGGAAATGCCACTCAGGAGTTTCAGATTCGCCAGAAGGTTAGCTTGAATGGTCTTCATCCTGGTCCCATCAACCAATTACCCATCTTCCCCCTTGCGTACTGGACAAAAGACGAGACCAAGATAGACGACCTGAAGAGAAGACTCCAGATCAGGGGAGAGGCCTTCAAAGAGATCGATGGCGTCGCTCTCAGATACTACCACGGTACGGCCAAGTATCTCAAAGAACCTCCGATGAGCTACTACCATCCCTCTCTTGAAGGCGAATCAGGCTTGTGGATTGGGTTCACGGTCAGTACACTGACCCCAAGGCTAGCAACACTCTTGAAAGCCAGAGCAGTACTCATTCAAATGTCAGTATAGGAGTCAGCACGAGTTGTCTTGGACCGGGTACTATTCGACGAGGAAATATTCTCCGAACGCAAGACCGTCGCCGCCAATCCAGGCGCGGACCTTACCCTCTGTCCGCCCTATACCAAGGGGTTTTCCCCAGCAAAGAAGACGTTCTGCCGGTACTACCTGGACTGTCTTCGCCCTATCGACTGGAAGCCAGATGCCTGGGAGTCTCTGCTCCTCCCGAATGCCCAGAAACGCATTCTTCGAGCTCTCGTTGAGAATCACATATTCCCTGACAATGCCCGGGACGAAGACATGCAAAAGGGCAAAGGGCTGGTTCTCTTGTTACATGGAAGCCCCGGGTCTGGAAAGACGATGACTGCAGGTTAGACTAGTCGGCCTGTGGCGGTCACGTCTTTTCCAACTTGCTAACAAGGGCGCACACAGAAACTGCTGCAGAAGCAACCAAGAAGCTTCTAATCTCAAGCTCACTCGGGGAGTTGAACCGAGACAACTGGGCATCCGAGTTTGAGAGACGTCTCAAAGAGCTATTGCATTACGCCACAAAATGGCAGGCAGTCGTGCTACTCGATGAAGCTGATGTGTTCCTAGAGAAACGCGAGGATGCGGAAGGTCACAACGCCGACCGGAATGCCTTGGTCGCCGGTGCGGACCCTCCATGTTGGAACTATATGCCAATGTTCGCTGCCACTCGTCTTCCCTACCCACAGTCTTCCTGAAGCATCTTGAGTACTTCTCAGGGATCGTGTTCCTGACCACCAACCGCGTCCGGTCATTCGATGCCGCGATGAAGTCTCGCATACACCTTGCGCTGACCTACGGACCACCCGATCTTGAGACTCGGCGGCAACTCTGGATGAAGTATCTCGGAGCGATCCCGAAGAGCGAGATCAGCATGGGTATCAACGAGGATATTGACGAGCTGCTCACAGAAAAGCTCAACGGACGTGAGATATCGTATGCGGTCAACACGGCTCGTACCATTGCTCGTCATGAACGACAGCCACTGAGTCTTGATCACTTGATGACTGTTATCCTAGTGCGGCAAGAATTTGACAAGTCTTTGAAGGAGGTTTCAAGGATAGAAAGGAAAGATTCCGTTCTTGACGCTTTCTAACGCCTGGAAGAGTATAAGGTGCCCAGCCTTCTAATAAAATTGGATTAAAGATATTATTAATGGGGCTCGATTACAAATTGCGTGATGATTTCTGCATCGCAGCATTCTGCGTCGCAGCAGAAAACATCTTCTCCAGAATAGCCAGCTTCTCCATCACAGGCTTAAACCTTGACTGGACCTCCGTAGTAGCCGGTCTCCCGTTCAGCATCATCATCTCCATCTCAGAAACAAGCATATCCTCCATGGAATTCAACTTCTCCTCCGTAGAATAAAACGGAGACACGTACGCAGGAATACCATGCTCAACAAACATCTTGTCCAAAGCAACCAAGTTCGCCACCAGAGACTTGTACTCGAGCGAAAACACCATAAAAGTCCCAGGAGCTTCCTCACTTCCCCCCTCTTTGTCATCCCGGTTCGAAGCAAGCCCCTTCTCCATGGCAGCCAGCTTCTGCTCCACCCCCTTCTCGTCCAGTAAAGTATTGTTAATCCGAGAAAGAAGTGGAACGAAGACCTCCTTCATATGCTCCAGCCTATACTCCACCAACTCAAGCGAAGACCTGATCAGAGGAAAGTTATCCGGAGAAACCATCTTCATAGCATCCATTTCGGTCTCCACAAGCTGAAACCCAGCCAGGATCTCCTTCCAAGGTATCCTATCAGCTTCCTCATCTTCCTCAGCTTCCTCAGCTTCCTTAGCTTCCTCAACTTCCTCAACTTTGTCCCCTCCCTCCTCCTCGTCGCCACCCACACGACGTCTCTTGGCCGGACTCTTCCCCTTTTTATCACCACCCCCGTCTCCCTCTCCGCCTTTCCTCACCATCTCAGTAGTGACCTTCTCAGTGACCTTCTCAGTCATTTCAGTATCCTCAGCAGCAATGACCCTCTCAGAAACCTGAACTCCCAAACTCTCCCTGGTAAAATCCAGCCACTCCTCCCTCTTTGCTTTCCACGCCTTTGTGTCCCCAAGACTGTCAATTGCGCAGCTCACCATGCCCTTGCGCAAATGCATCAGACCGCTGGCTTGCCAGGCGGCGACGGCGAAACGGACTAGGTCAAGAATGTAGAGGGTTCGCTCTTCTTCGGAGAGGTCAGGGGTGGAACCGATTTGGTTGAGGACTTGGGTGTGGACTTGTTGGTACATTGAGGGCTCGGGGTCGGGGTCGGGGCCGGATTGAGGTTGGGACATGGTGACGTCGGGGTCGGATTGAGGTTGGGACATGGTAGCGGTAGGCCGTTTACGGCGAGTGGTAACAGGTTTGATAATTGATGGGACTGGTGAGTTAGATGAGAGGGTTAGTTCGTGTCAGAATGATGGATTTGGCTGATCTGGCTTACAGAGTATTGTCTAAAGTATTGACTGTTTTCCAAGAAAGAATCCGGCTTGATACCCGGGAAAAAAAGGGCGAAAGAATCCCGTCATTCTCTGCTCCTGGGACCCGACCTTTAAGTACTGAAAGAGAACGGCAAAAAAACAACGTGAGCCGTGGCTTCCAGGCAACCAGGCCGCACAACAACCCAAGTAGGAGCGTTGTGTTTGGATCTCCCGTGCCACTCACAGGACGGCACGAAGGATTACCTGCGTTCAAGTGCGTTCAAGGATCAGCGTTCCTGGCTTCGGTTCCTGCACCTGTCCGAAAGCGAGGTTCCTGGGGTGCTGGCGCAGGAAGGGAGATCGTGAGCTGAGTTGACATGGACAAGATTGGAAATTTCCACCGCTGCTACAAGGCAGGCAGAGATTGGTCCGAAGTTTTCTTGCTACTGTCGTCGGTGGGAAGAAGGAACGCCGAGAACGCAGCTTCCACCGTGCCTTCCCAAAGCGGAAAATAGCTACCGGATGTGTAATATCTGATTGGCTAGCATGTTGGGATGAAGTGGGTCTAATGTTCGGCGAGTCGGGCGCCGGCCGCGTCGGGCCCGCAAACGACGACATTCCGAGTGCTGCCATCTAGTTTGACGAGATCCTGCAAACCATTCACAAATTTGCTACATCGGTTCTTCAGTTATCCTCCTCGATTATTCTTGAGTTATCTCCTTGGAATTTCAGAAGTGAAGATAAATCCCCAACCAACCCATTCATCCTTTGATGGCCCTTGTTCGAGATGCAACACAGCAGAAGGTGTTGGCGGCCGGTGGCCGGGAACAAAGCATCGACCGTAAAGGGACCAACATGAAGCAACGCCATGCTCCATGTCGCGGTTGGTTCAGGTATCCGTACTGAGAGGAGGGGGGTCTTTCGACCTGTCCGCGAACGGTACTATGACAATTCGGAATTCAGTGACCTGTACTTAGAGCCCTCAACTTTTTTTGATGTCTAAATGCACTGACGTTTCACCTTTGAGATATTTCGTACCTGATTGACTGTTAATTCATGGTCTTTTGACAATCCGAATATTTCAAACGTTTGGGAATTTGGACGTTTCGTCGGGCGGGATAGTCAATTGATGGTAAATTGGCAGTCGTAACCAGTTTGACATCGGGGGTTCTCGAGGTGTCTAAGTACAGATCGTAAGACCCCCCTCCTCCCAGTACGGATCTTCCCCCTCCTCTACTCTACCTTCCTCAACCTTTCAATCCGCTGAGAAAGTGCAATATGACAGACGCGATTCGCATCCTCCTGACCTTCGCTCCTACTGCGGCTCCTCCTACTGCGCCTTCAACCATCACACGCTGGACCGCCTTACCGCTTGATATCGCAGCTACCTTCCACGTCGAAACCACCAGAATACCATGAACATTCTCTCGAATCTCAAACCCAAGGGGCGGAAACGCGAGAAGGTAATCCAAGCCCACACCCAACAATACCAAGCCTCGAACAGATCTTCCAATCCGACAGCCAAAACCACCATATGTCTCAAGTCCAACCCCCTCCTCTCGCACACACCTCTCTTCCCTCTATGCTTCTGAGGCTGTTAGAATGCCCTGTGTTCTACAAACCCCCGACTCAGGTCCCAGGGCCTGTTCTCGAATTCATCTTTTCCACCAGGTTGCTATTGTCGGAGCCGCACCTTGTCCCTTTTATCCACTTCATATCAGCGTACCACTGAACCCCCGTTCCGCGCTTGTTTGATGTTAGACAGTTTGAGCCTCCCTCCAAAAGCTTAATCTGGACGAAACAAAGCATCATTGTCTGCTTCGCAAACCCGCCTTTGTCGCATCGACTCCAGTCCCTGTCTCCCTGAGAGGGGTGGCGCAGAGGGCTTATCCCGTCCCGTGTTGTCGAGACAAGGGATTCCGTTTTTGTCTTTGATCACAGCATGGCCGTGGTTCATTCACGCTACCACGAACCATCTGCGCTATCTTGGGTGCTTGGTGTAGCATGACAAGATGGGGGTTAAAAGTCGTTCTCGACGACCGAGAAAGCTGGTTCCTCCCTTCCGAGTGTTCAACCGCAACGCCATCTCCAAGAACTCAGGAGGTCCTCCGCAGAGTTCAGGCACACGACGGCATACTCTACGGATACCTCAGCACGATAAGCACGCCAGTCTACTGCCATCATGAAGGTCACTCTTTCCTCCTTCATCGTGGCCATCGGTCTCTCTTCGATGACCATTGCCTCTCCTTTGCACCGTGCCGTCAGACGTCAAGAGGATGGACATTCTTCGAGTATGTACCACATCATCCGCCACTGGTTGCAGTGAAACCCACAATTTATCAGCTAACAACACTACCGCAGGTACTGCCCCCGAGTCTGTGTACCACTTTGGTATCTGGCCTCATAATCATACCAGACCTCATAAACCTACGGGCAGCCATACGGGCAGCCCTACTACCGATACTGGCATCCTAACGGTTCAAACCCAGACCTCATTAACCCAAACCGGCCCGACACTGGTCAATCGTGATGACGCCACTACATCCCCATCTCCAACTACCGTCTCCGACTTTCGTCCCCGCAAGTTCACCGGTTTCGACACCCACAAATTCACCGGCATCCCCCCTCCCTCGGTAACCTGGACTCCTCAGAGCGGCAGCCACACTCGCTCTGCCCACACAAGGCCCATCTACAGCGGTACCTACAGACATATACCTCCTCCCCCAAAGCCCACCGGCCCTATCGCCTGTGCCCTTGGGGAGTCTGACTCTGACGATGTTTTATTCTTTGCCAAGAAGAAACACAAGGAAGCCACCAAGCACGCCTCCCAGTCCCACTTGAACCGCAGAGAAGAATCTGAAGGACCTTGGGTCGGCGAAACGATAGTCATACAATCGTATTACACTCACCACGCCACGGTCACGAGAACCCAGTAGTCCGCCGTAACAATCACTTCTCTTCCCGGGCAGTATCAAAATCACCTTCCTCCCATCACAACTCCCCCTCCCCCCACCAGCACTTCTCAACCTCCCAAACCACCAACAACCACTTCCTCACACCCTCCTCCTCCCCCTCCGCCTCCTCCTCCTCCCAGCAGCAGCACAACCACCGCCCCAACCGCCACCCTAACTTCCAAAGCCATAACCCCGCCCACAATCGAGTCCAAAACCCCCGTCTGCCCCTCCGCAGGTACAGCAGGCACCAACAACAACAACATCTGGTGTCTAGGCGGGCAGACCTTCTACCTCGAATGCGACACCGACCACCACGGCGACGATTTCGGATCCGTCAACCTGGTCCCCCAGAACTGGGACATGTAGGGACGGTACGGCGCGCTTTGCGCGGCTGTTCCTGACCAGAAATGTACGGGGTTTAGTTATGTGTGGGGGACTGGCATGTGTTATTTGAAGGAAGGGGGGAATGCGAAGAAGAGTGCAGCGCTGTATTCAAATTAAATTGCCAAGCCAAATATAAATGAACAATCAAATATAAATAAATCAATATGCGTGTATATTTGATTTGCCCAAATAAATATATATCGATATTTGATTTGATATATTTGCCCGCCCGGCAGAATCCCTGGGTTAGGGTTTAAGCTGGCAAAACCCTTTCATTTTTACCCTTAAAGATTGCTATTATCGGGACCCTAAACCCCTATGTACGGTATCCTAAACCCTATATACGGCCAGTTAGCTCGCTCGAGCTACCTAGAGGGACCCGTATTTTAAAATTTTTGGTGTTTTAAATTACCGCCCGTATTCTAGGTACCTTTTTGAGGTTATATCGCTAACCTTTTACCCTAGTTAGTTCGCCTCTGAAATTAAGCCTTATTGTATTTAATTGTACTAAATCGTTTGCGATATTTATTAATTGTCCCTCCCTCTTGTTGTTAATTAGTACTAATTTCTATTTAGCGCTATTAGTATTGCTGCCGCCGCTGTTAAAATACCCGTTGTTAAAGACTTCGAAATTTCGTCCACTGTGGGCAATATACCGATTATTTCCTTTAAAGATTTGATTGCGTACGTAGAGGCTATTAATATATTCGATAGGATATATCGTCTCCCCTTCCGTCGATAAATTAATTATTTGAAAATGATTTACCACGACGATTTGTTTAAGAATATTGAACGTATATTGAAAATTACTTAGTAGGGAGATTAATATATATTAGAGGTATAGTTATGTAAACGTTTTAAATGAAACTCTTAGGTCAGCGATTATAATATTTATTTAATTAAAGTATTTAGAAATTATAAGTTGAATAGTTATTAGTATTATAATTTATACGATAATTTCTACGTCCTTTATATTATTAATTTAATTTTTATTTACTTTCGACGTATTTATAAGATTAAGGAATTTATTAGCGAAGATACCGATTAGCTAATATTTAAGAAAGTTCGCTCTATTATAGAGTAATTATAATAAATTATTTTTTTTATTATTAAGCTTATCAGCGAGGTATTTTGCGAGTTATTAGTAGAGATGATTATTACGGCGCGCTTCCTATTTAATTTTATTAAGAATAAGGTATTTCGAAGGTTCTTATAATTAATAGATTGTAATATAGTTAATAAGTTATTATTAGAGTCGCGCTATAGTTTTATAATATAGATAAAGAATAAATATACCTATTATTTTAATTATTTTAAAGAGCGTTTAGATAAATCCTTTTAATAGAAATACTTCTCTTTTAATTTTTAAACCTCCTTAAACGGCCTTATTATATTCTTAATATTCATTTATTATATAAATTACTATAATATTATTAACAATAATCTATTTGACCTCTTTTAAATTTATAGTAATTATAGTAGCGAGAATATTACGGCTTCCCTTCTATAGGTTATTAAGTTCTACGAAATTAAAAGCGATAAAATCGGCTTCTTTTAGTACGATAATGTTAATTCTAATAATTACTATATTTATTACGTTTTTAAGGGATTATACTTTGCCCTTTCGAACGAGGAAATCGAAATAGAAGTGTTTTATCGTCGTCTTCGTTATTTCGATTACGTTTTAAATTTCGGTATAAAGGCCATTATTAAATCTTCCATATCTTACACTACCGATACTAATTATTCCTTTTCCCGCCTTTTTATTATTAAAAAGAATATTATAATATAGGAGTAGCATAAGTAGGGCCTAGTTAGAAGGCTTTATAGTATTATATAATTTATTTAACGAAATTTTTAAAGACGGACGAAGTTTTAAGAAATTATATAATTTAAACGGTATTTTAATTTAATAACGAACTCTCTCCCTTCTTAGATATATGTATAGAGGAGGATGAAGTTTTTCTTACTATCGGCGTTATTTTTAATAATGTAACGCACTAAAATTCAAATTATTATATAATACGACGCGTTTAGAAGCTACGCTACTTTATTAATCATTACGTTAATAAGGCTATATAGTATTTAAATGTTTTGAAGAGGCTCTTTAAAGAAGATTAATTTAATAATAATGATTGGGCTATCCTTACTTCTATTATAGATATAATACGCTACTTTAAAGACTTCACTAAGAAATTTGAGAAGTAGGGTCCTTACTTCTTAACCGTTATACTTAATTTATACCGCTTTATTACTATTTTTAACGATAAGAGGGTATAATTTAATAAGAAGGTTATTTTTTAAATGTTTAAGGGTTTAAATATCTTAGAATTTAATATTGTAATTTCTAATATTTAACGGCGCCGCATACATACTTTATAAATTTAATCCTCCCTTCAAATTTAATCTTCTTCTTCCTCCTCTTCCTAAATCGAGCCCTCTTAAAAACAACGAGCCTCCTATTAATTATATTGACGATTTAATTAACGAAGGTATAGAGTACGTCAGTTTAATATTTAATAGAATTATTACTAAATTAGAAAAATATAAGGATTTAATAGAGGAGGAGAATACTATATATTAAATTATTTATATCCTCTACCCTAATTATTGTAATAGATAAGTAGTAAAATATCTTTCTAATTACGAATATAGAAAGATTATTAGGGATTTCTAAATTATATACGACGAAAGTTACGCTAATGCTCTTTTTAAACATCTACTAACTAATATTAACAATTAATAGGCTAAATTAACTAATACCAATTAATTTATCGACCCTAATTTCTACGATACCCTCCTTTTATAATTAAAGAAGGAGGATAAGTTGTATTACTACTTTAACGACGAAATTTACGTTATTAATAATATAATTAGCTAGTAGAAGACTAACTAATTTTTATACGTTCGTTTAATACGTATAGTATTTAATTATTATTCTATTCCTTCTATAGTAAACGATTATAAGCGGTCTTTTAACGGCGCTAAGTTAATTATTAATAATTAGAGGCATAGTCTTTCCGCTGAGTCTATTAATATTGTCGAGAATTTGAAGTTCTGGCTAGAGAACGGGCTTAAAAAGTATAATTGAGGTAGGGGTTTGGGAACCGACGACGACGACGATGTTTCGGATGGGGAATCTAGTATTCTAATGAGGTTTAGGGAGGTTTGGGGAGGCTGTACGTAAAGAAAAATGAAAAATCAGGGTTCAAATGCATTAGAAATCACGATTTTACGAATTTAAATATTTGACTAAATAAATATCGATATTAATTCAAATAAATACGATTTCTTATTTGACCTAGTTAAATAAATACAGATCGATATTTATTTATATTTGATTTGAATACAGCGTTAGAAGAGTGATGGGGGGAAATATGTGGAGGGGACGCATGGTGGACGGGTGGTCAAGTTGGGGGAGAAGGAGGTGGGGAATTGTCTTGGGGTGAACCCGAGGGTTGGGCAGTATATGGGGTTGAGTGAGGGGGTTAGGAGGGATCTTGAGGGTTTGGAGGGCGTGGAGTGAGTGAATGGGATGAGGTGAGGGATTGGAGAATTGGGGGGTGGGGGCGAGTGATGAGTCTATCTCCGGCGTTTTTCTCCTGAGAGAAGAGAGGGGAATGTGAAAGATGAGGTGAGATGAGAAACAGAAATTGAAAAGAAGCGTAGAAGATAGATGCATCATTCCCTCTATCCCATCTCTTTGCCGCATATGAACGGAACAGTTATTCTTGCTCCTCTTTTCCTACGTGCTGTGAAGCTTTGAACTTTTCAAAGAAAAGCATTGACGTTGATAGGACATACCAGGAACTGTTCACCTCTTTCTTGTTTTGACGAAGTATTCTTTATTACTACCCTATGAACGACTATCCCGCACAAACAAGAAGGTTCATAGAACATATTGCACGCTTCATGTGTCACCGCGCTCACCAATTGCGCGTGATACATGCGAGTGTCCAACAAGCAACGTCTAGCTCCGGCTTCTGAGGTTTCACACACCGGGGGTCAGCATAGCAATGAAACGGATCAAGGATGAGTGAGTGTCCCTGCATCACTCGACGTCCTGACAGTCCCTGAATAGCCTCCGTCCTGACTAGCCCCTCCTCCGTTCCTTAACGGAGGTACCTTGCTGTGTACATATGGTCATTGATCTACCAGCTCCGTTGGTCCTTCCTTGACAGGCAGACCGTTATCGTACGACAGCCGGTCCCCGTATGTTCCCTGTAGGTGATCCTTCTTTAGCCCCAATGACCCAACGTGTGTAAGACACTTGAGGCCAATGGGAGAATTGCACCACTAACTCCGTGAGTGATCCACGGCAGGGAAGATATGAGACGCTATCTCCGCTTACCGAACGACGACAGCTGATGGGTAGAGGGGAGGAGGGGTAGATCAACGTCTGTCTCACATCCAAGTGATGTTGTTCCAGATATGGACCTTGAACATCGCGAGTTTTGTTGGCTGGAGATAACTGTGATGCGATGATATTCCCTCAGCACGACGACGATGATCAGGTTGACGTGACTCCGAACAGACAAGGACTCCGAGGGTCAAGGTGAGCTTATCATGACCGATCAGCAACGGTCTCGGTATCTTCCGATGTCTGGCCGGTTGTCTTGGATGATCTATCTGTCTTGCGTGGTTTACTTGCCTGGTCTTCATGTTCACGCCATATCGCAACTTCATGTACTGTAGCCTAGTGTAGCGGGTATGATCTCGCGAATCACAAGCTCACGGGTTGCTAGTGTCTGGCTAGTGAGGGTGGGGGACAAGACTAAGAGGGCGCGTGCTGCGGTTCAAGCAGTGAATGCCATGAAAAGAGTCGTAGCGTTGGTGGATAGAAACGAGGGGAAGAAGAATCGAGCAACCCAAGGTGCAGTGCAGTGAGTGAGGCCACAAACAAACTCGGGCGGGACACTCGGAAAGAACGAAACCAAACACTCTCGGAACAAGTATCTTCTCTCATCATCTGTTAGAAGGGG